AATGAGATGACAGATGGGAAAATCATTGACTTGATTGCAATATACCTTTCATTGTCAATGAAGAGCAATTACCATGTTTACTGGACAAAAGGTTGGTCATTTACCCGTCTGGACATACTACTTCAATGGTCATTTACTCGACCGGTTATTGGGACCTGCATTATTAACTCTATAGATTTTGTTCCGAGCCCACCAATCACTTTACTTCCTGTTAAAGTCTGAGTGGACTTCTTGTAAACACGTCAGGTGATATTGTCATGGTAACCAGACCTGCTGTCACTCTGGTCTTGTAGCACAACAAACCTCGGATGTACAGGAAGCGACAGACATTGTAACAAATTACATCATTAAAATCTAGATGGGATATCATTTGCAAAAAAATAAATGTTTCAAATGTCATTAACAAAAATATTCAAAGAATAAGTTGAAGTATGCAGGATCCGTTTCCTCCGTTCACATTTATAAACAAAATTGGTGTTAAGTAGCTTTGCTGCATTTCCTTGTTTTTTTCCATTTTTCATCTAGGAAGCCAAATATAGATTACCAAGTGCAACTGACAAAAATCTGTTGACAATTTAACAGAATTCCAAGTGTTTTTTTAAAATCATTTATGATAATGTGTCACATAAGTTGTTGTTTTGATGTTTGAAAACAATAAAAAAAAATGAGATGACCATGACAAGACACAAGTATAATCTGTGGTGGATTTGTTGCCGCACATTAGGTCTAATGTGTCAAAACTACTCAACCACATATCAAGCTTTTAACCCAGCTTTTTGCATTGAAATATTCCACTAAAATTGTTTCTGTATACAGTTCCTATTGCATATCTATAATGAGGGTGAACCAATTCATCCATGTGCTAACTTGTTAAAATAGGATAGTGTGTTGAAATTTGAAATGTGACAGTGTGTTAAAATTTGAATGTGCGAAAACAATCAGGTTTATAGTGTCATAGCTGTCAACTCTCCCTCATTAGGAGGAAGACTCCCTCATTTTGACCAAAATTTACCAATCTCCCTCAGATCTCCCTCATTTAAGTCCAAACTCACACAAACTCAAAAATGTACATGCTGTGGTCAAATGATCTCCTAGTTACTGCAGGGTGTGTGTAATTATTATAACAGGTGTGTCTGAATCAAATGAATGCTTTTTAGCTCACCTGGTCCCAAGGACCATGGTGAGCTTATGCCATACTGCAGCGTCCGTCCGTCCATCCATCTGTCAACTTTTCCTTTAGAACACTACTTGTCCTGAATGGCCAAGTAGATTTTGAATAAATTTGGTCTGGAGCATCCATGGAGCAAGGGGACTCAAATTTGTATAAACAGTGTGTGGTGATCCCCTGGGGGCTGAGGAGGAGGGCCCACTAGGGGAAACATAGCAAATTCTTCAAAATCCTTCTTACTCTGTAGGAATGACTGGATTTTGTCCAGATTTGGTATGAAGCATCCTTGAGTGAAGGGGAACTAATTTTGTATAAACGGTGGGTCTGACCCCCTTGGGGGAAGAGAGGCGGGGCCCAATAAGGGATATAGAGGAATAGCTTTTATTCCTTCTTTTTCCGTTTGGGTGAAGGTATTTTGACCAAATTTGAACAGTAGCGTCATATTTGGAAGTGAAATCAATTTTGTATAAATGGCTGAGCCCAATAGGGGAAACATAGCAAATTCTTCAAAATCCTTCTTCTTCTGTAGGAATGACAGGATTTTGATTAAATTAGGGATGAAACACCCTTGGGTGAAGGGGAACCAATTTTGTATAAATGGTTGGTCTGACCCCCATTTTGGCAGGGAGGCAGGGCCAAAGAGGAAAAATAGCTTTTAATCCTTCTTCTGTAGGAATGACAGGATTATGTCCATATTTGACCTTAAGAATCCTTGGGTGAAGGGGACCTAATTTTGTATCAATGATGGGTCTGACCCCCCTAGGAACAGAGGGGCGGAGCCCAATAGGGGAAACATAGTAAATTCTTCGAAATCCTCCTTTTACTTTAGGAATGACAGGATCTTGTCCAATTGTATATAAATATAACACCCGACTAACCATGTAATACAGGTACAGTTCCAGTAACATCATGCTATTCTAACTTCAATTTTGCTAACATTTCCAGGTGAACGATACAGGCCCTCTGGGCCTCTTGTTTTAGTTACTTTTATGCATAAAAAGGGAAAGATAAATTGAGCTATCCGGGGGAGGGGGGGGGATGGTAGTTTGGAGGAAGGAATAACTAGGGGAAATAAGTAATCGTACTTAACGGATACTGAAATGGGATTTTATTGAATTGTTTCTAAAGCGCAGAAGTTGTTGTTAAAAGTAAACGGATTTATGTGAAATGGGGACCTATATTCTCACTGTACATCTTAAGTCATGTATAATGAATGTCAGGATGTCGGGAGGTTGAAACATTCATTGATATTTGTGGCCAGTTTCTATCTAATCTCTCTAGAGTATACATTTATAAGGGTTTAATACATGCATGTTGATAACGGAATGCCTTCTGAGAGGTTGGAGTTGGTGTGAAGCTCTCGTTATAATTGGTACTGGCAGAAGTACTGGACCAATAGGTGGCACTAAATCCCTTGACAGCCAACGTATTATCCAGAAGTTTTCATTGGGTTGCATGCATTGATCTGCCATATTTTGGGTACCCTGTGCATAGGGGCTATGTCTTTGTATGTGAAATATCATTTAGGTTGGTCAGTCATTGAATAAGTTGCTACTATTGGGACACAATGCTGTTAAAAAAAATTGGAAAAAGTGGAGCGTCAGCATTGACTATTTTAATGTTATTAAAAGGTAATAATTGGAAAACAACTGTATTATATTCATAAAATTTGGAAATGGTTAAAAAAAAATCCAGTCTTAAGTTTAAAATATGTTTGTTTATTAATCTTTCAATGTTTTTAAATTGGTGGTGTCGACGTCATTTGAGTGAAAATGCCCTAATTTGGGTACAGCATCGCCTGTTAGACTTCAGTCTATGTATTTGAATATGTGTAGTTAAGTGGCCTTGAATGTGTGTGTATTTTAAAATGTTATTATTGGTATGATCAACCTTTGAAGAAGTCACTACCGTTGGGCTAGGATGCCTCTGGTGTATGGTTGGTGTATTTAGTGGTAAGCTTCTGTGTGGTAGTTTGTATGGGAGCTACATTGATCAGTCTTTGAATAAAGCACTCATTCTGAATAAGAAGTGGGTATGCTTTTGTATCTATTTGGTTGCTTTTCGTGTCATTTCCTGTGTGTACAGAAGTAACGTATTCACTGGGTATTTTATTTCACTTCACTGGGATATGCTCAGATTTGAATTAATTATCAAACAGTAAAGATCTCAGATTCAGAACATTTTGGCTTTCTTGCATTTGTCAGGAACTGTAGGAGTGCTTCTAGATTTAAGAGTGTCCAACTTGCCAGTTCAGAAATCAACTATTTATACAGTTTCTGACAAAGGCCATGAACCTGAAAATTTGTATGTGAGAACTTGATTGTTTGATAGTTAATACATGGTCAAATAAAGAGTCATGCTTCTGTAGAAGTTTTCACATCAAAGATCATCCTGAGTAAGTCTCTTCCTTGGAAAACAAATCTTCCTGGAATATATGCTTTTGTTTTTAGCTCACCTGCTAACTTTTTGGGCCATAACTTTGAAACCGTTAAGATCCCCACCCCAAAACCATATATACTTTTGATGCATAAAGAGATAAACAAAGTCATATTTAATAATTGACCCTGGGGTCTGCCCTGGTTCCACCCTTGGGGACTTATGTATTGGGTCATATCTTTGAAATGTTTGAGATCTCTAACCTATAATCAGATAAACCATTGCTTGGCATCAAGAAATGAACACAATCATGATATTAGTATTGACTCTTGTGACTGGCCCTAGCCCTACCCCTAGCCCTAGGGACTTACTTTCTCTGCCATAACTTTTAAATGGTTTAGATCCTGCATGAACCCATAGCCATATATACCTATGCTGGGCATAAAGATCCAGGTGAGCGATACAGGACCTTTGGACCTCTTGTTCTGAGTTACACTTAAACCTCATTATTCTGCCAAACATTTTCCAGCAAAAGTTTTGGCATTATAACATTTTTTAAATACCGAGGGAGACGAATCAAAAGAAAAAAATAAGAAAAAAAGGAAAAGATTGACTTTTGAAATATGTTGGCAGAAAGGCAAGTGGCAAATGAAATGAGGGGTATTAAATAAAAGTTTAACTATTGTGGTCATGCCCTCTGTATGATCTGAAAGTCTTCATGTGGTTAGTCTCTTTCTCTAAGAATCCTCATCCTTTGGGACACTACAGTATACCCTTAATTTCCTGTATATTGTGGAGCCATGCCTTGATATCTGATACATATATACTTTTCCATGTGGTTTATCTCTCCATTTACGAAGCCACGGCCGTCAGGGACACATCAATGTATTCCTGTGTATTCCTTTACAGATATGTAGTAATCCCTCTGACCGTTGTTTCACATTACTACTGACAAACGTTGTACATTATTGACTGGTATGTAACATAATAGAAGATCACCATGTTGGTATTATATATACATGTATATGTAACCTATTGGAACACAAACAGAGATATTGCAAGACATCAAAAATGTACAGAGGACTGATATTGATAGATCCAGAGTTTATTGGGAGTTCCAGTATCATTTTAGTGGTGATCAAATTCAAATAAGAAACATTGTTTTAACGACATAATCAAATACTTATACATGGAAGTGTGGATTAGTAAGTAATGTACTGCAAACTTTTTGATGTTAAATAAAACTGTCAAGAGACACATTAGTTTCCAAGTCTTTTTGGGGGTACATGTATGTAGATGGATTCCAATTAAAATGAGTAAATTTCCAGAGAAGAAATACAGCGTAGATGAAAATTTGATATAGATCATTCTGCAGGAACTGCATGATTCTCTTCAGGTAGAACATACAAAATGTGAAAAATATATCAATTTTTTTTATATTTTTTTTCTGTTTCAGGTCTTGGTGTAAGACTATGTCCTCCCAATAGATGCTGGTGTGACCCCTACTACATACACTGCATCCATTTGTGATGGATTCTCAGGGGTCAGGGCCTTCCTTAGCATTATCTAACCTACATAAAGATGTAGGTCCCCCGTCTGAAGAGAAGTGTGGGGTTTTCTGGCTCCACAACCAAACCAAATATGACTTCACAGGTGGCAAATATGGAGAGATTCCATTCACCCTCATCATCAACACCATTGGATGGGTGGTAAGTGTCTATTTATAGCAAAAGGAAAATCCCCTTTATCAACATCACCATCACCATCATTGGATGGATGGTAAGTTTCTATTTATAGCATAGGGAAAATCCCCTTCATCATCATCATCAACACCATTGGATGGGTGGTAAATCATCATCATCATATTATAATCATCATCATCATCATGGGATTTGTGCTGTCTATTAATAGTTTAGGTGAAATAACCCTGTCACCCTCATTTTCAATGGACCTGTATAGAGGAAACCCCCTTTACAATCATCAATAACATCTTTTCACCACCTAAAATAAAATTCTCGCTATAAAAATAATATTTTTGTCTTTGTAGGTGATTATCTTACTATTTGCTCTTCTGAGGAAGATTGCTTGGGACTACGGTCGGATAGCTCTAGTGAGCAGAGCGGAGGAGAAGTAAGAACTTTTACAGTTTAATTTGTTTCTTATTAATGTTGTTATGTGTTAATGTCATTTATTGTAATGTAAGCGTATCATTGTTTCTATTTCTTGTTGTTAAGTGTTGTTAATTTCGTATCATACAGCATCAGATGCTATAATAATTGATTTTCACGTTTTATATATATGGAAATCTTTGTAATCCATTCCTTCATTTAGGTACTACTGTATAAATTAATCTTGCTCTTACTGAAAACCTGTCTACCTCGACCCCAACTATCTCTCTCCCCCAACCCCCCACCACCCCAAAAAATTGAAAAAATAATAATACTTGTAGTACATGTATTACACATATTAAATGAAAAAATGAAAGATGTTCCTCTTTTCAGTCATTTAATGTGTATATTACCAATGATTCCAGTAAAATCATTGTATCAAAGAGGTATCCAGCTTCAATTATGGTTGGATTTAGACACTGCAAAGTTTAATTTGGAACAACTTCATAATATCATGTGTTCACAGTAAAATTCAGCGGAGAAACACTCCAAAACTGTGCCGTACGTTTTATGGCTATATTAAAGACGTATGTCATCCCAGATTTTTATTTCAAAGATGTTTTCGAATTTCAAAAACTATCAACTAACTTATACATATTTATATATATAATTTCAAAAAAATCTGTATGAACACAGAAAAATAAAAACACTCTTTAAATGTTTTCCTCATCTGTTGAAATTATTTTTCATTTTTTATTTTTTTTATCAGGTAAATTGTTCCTTCAAATTGGTCCCTATGGATCTGCTTTGTAGATTGCTGCATGATTATCATGTAAGATTTTTGTAAGCGCTACAATTGAAATTGTGCTGATGTCGTAAAATCAATTTTTCTGCTCTCCCGACGCCAACAATTCACTCAGCCTGTCTGAAGCACAGCAGATCCACATAGGTTTAGATACTGTAGATTTCACTTGATTCAAGTACTATGAATCAGTCAGGATTTTTTCCCTATAGCTTTTACAGATTTTTTTCTTCAGCCGTCTAACCAAAGTACATTGGAAATTCCTTTATTTAATGTCGTCCATCTTTGTGGCAGGAATACAGAATGAAAATTCAAAACTTGTGTCTGTACTGTAGATATCTTCTGTAAAGGTTTTCTTTTTGTACATAGGTAAATGGTATAAATTAAATTTGGAGAGAAAAAAAAGAAAAAAAAGATACATAATATTTCCACAGAGCAAACATGTTGTATTTCTTTCAAATTAAGACAACAATAGAACAATCCAAGCCTTGTTATATTAATGTCAGCTTGTCACAATAGGAAGAATTTGATTCGTAAAATATATCATTAAAATTTTGTTTGTGATATATCATTTGTAAGTGATTTCAAATATTCCTGTTTTATGGAATGATGTCAATAACAAATGGATTATACTTCTTTATAATGGCAAAACCAAACTCTGTCGTAAGGGAGTGAGGATTCATACGGAATTGGTATTTTATCAAAGCTGAAACAACTGTTTATTCTGAATTTATGTTCGGTCTGTGAATTACGTTCCAGATGAACATCACTGATTGTAACATTCCTGTACAATGCTCTCACAAGCGACAAGAGTTTTAGATACAATACTGCCTGAGAAAGTGAAGGGAAACACAGTAACACTTAAAGGCTATAAACAAGAGGAACCGAGCGGAAAACTTATATGTCTTACCTGGCCTATTACATTTACCGAGGTGGCCATATTAGCCGCCACGTTCTCCCAAATTTTACCATCACAGACCATGTGATTCTTCAAACGTGATCACAATATTGCATTTCATGTAAACATTTTGCAAGACTTCAGTTTAAACATTTTATATCAAGGATACTCTCTTAATTCGTCAGATTTATATTTTATATTATTTTGCTTACATTTGAGTTATATTAATCTAGCCACAGCTGATCAGCGGTTTCTTTTCAGTTTTAATTTTGTTTGTTTTTCAATTTATGTTTGTTTACAGTGCTCAAGTGCTGAGGAAGAACAATGGTTACAATGTGTACGGTTCTACTGTTTTAAAACCTCCACCCCAACTTTTTGTATTTATTCATTTGCATTTAGAATAGATAGCATTTATCCAAATATATGTGCACTTATATTAACCTGCTACATCATTCATATGTAATTCATCTCCTGATCATATGGGGCCGTGGTGACTGAGTGGTTAAGGTGTCTGACCGTCTACAATTCCTGGCTGTCACTAAGTGTTGGAAACGGGTGTTTTTCATCATGGCTATAGCTTTTATAAATCTTTTGTAAAAAGAAAACCACCTTGCGGGAGTTAAGGGGAGGTTACTGTATATATATAATTCATTATTTGTTTGACAGGATTACGAACAGCCCAAGGGCTACTAGTCTTTTTCCTCACATTTAACAAACAAGTGAACGGTACAACATTTACATTATTAACATACAGTACAAAATACAGGAAGTGCATGAACATTTACACTGGTCATTGGCACCACTTCATGACACATACACACCCACACACAACACACCAAATACTGTATATAGGAAAGATTTATAAGTTCAGGTATTTAATTTAATGCAAAAGACCATGTTAATTTGGATGTTAAATAAATGAAGTTTTGACATCTAGCTTTGCAGTTTATAAAAGTATTTGACTGATATTTATACACGTATTACTACTGGTAAGAGTCATTATGGTAAAATCTTGAATGTGCCCCGACAACATCAATTGTTAATTTCTCAAGATTCTGCATCAAATTGCACCAATGTTTTGAATGCAACTTGATAATTAAAAAAAAATAATCTAATTATTTGCTGTTAGCCTTGAAAATTAATACTGGATGTATAAATATTGCATCAAAAAGAAAAAGCAGTGGAACTTGTATCACTTTTGTTATAAGTCTTAGAAAACAAGTTTGAATTATACATATTCTACATCAAAATATTTGACCTAATGCAGTTCATATCCTGATGAACTACATGTCACTTGCTACAATGTGTCTGCTTCCTTCTCTTGGTGGTTGGTGCTGTAAACAAGGGATTGGTATTTTGCTATGTATAATGGGTTGGTATTTTGTTTTCTTGCATACTAGACCGAGATATCCACATTTCCGGCATGCTGGAAAATTCTATCCGACCCACAGGTCTGGATTGCTTACACACATAGACCCTCGGGGGAATTCATATTGACCTTTAGTTTTGGGGTCAGTCAGGGTCATTGACGACATTAACAATTGCCATCCGGGCTTCATATGAAAATGAGAAATGTGCGGACAGTTTACAACTTTACTAGAAGAGCAGCTGTTTTACAGGTTTTAGGTAAAAAGCAAATAATAGATTCCATCCCTGATGTGAGGTATGGATAAGGTAATTCAAACCCTCGGGATAAAATATTGAGCAGAAGCCTCGGGTCTCCTGCTCAATATTTTATACCTTTGGTTTGAATTACCTTACCCATACCTCACATCAGGGATGGATTCTATTAATGTATAATGGGTTGGTATTTTGTTATGTATAATGGGTTGGTATTTTGTTATGTTTAATGGGTTGGTATTTTGTTATGTTTAATGGGTTGGTATTTTGTTATGTATAATGGGTTGGTATTTTGTTGTGTATAATGATTGGTAGTTATAGGTGACTAACTATAATGTTTATACCTCTATCTCAGATATGCAGGCATATTCAATAACATATGGTGTACCTGCATTACTGCCATGCATTGATACAAAGTGAACGTTTCCTGTAATAATTTTTGTCTTTCCGTCTTCATGCCTGCTGAACAGTGGTGTCTCTGTTTGCCAAAACAGTTGTATTTGAAATAAGAAAAATAACATTTTAATCTTAGTATAGCTCTACAAATTTCACCAAACTTATAGCATGGCATATTGTTGTTATTAAGGTAACAATTACTAGTCTTTTGTTATTTGAGTACAATGTATGTGCTATATACCCGAGAGAACAAAAATGAAAATTTATTTAAGAAATCAAATAGGTTTTGTTGAGATGCACTGAAGTTGAGATCAACTAAAGGGATTACATACAATTGAGAACATTTTGATATATACCAGGGTATATATATCTTAAACTGTGGCTACTGAAAGTATATAAATGTGACAAACCTTGTAGTGCTTATAGTTCAAGAAGAAATCATCAGTGACACCCCAGGGGATTAGCTGCCGATACCATAGCTCTACTAGTCCTAACAATTTGATTATATTTTGAAATTTTCAGTATTTTATTTTGAGAAATTTTCCGGTATTTTATTTTGAGAAATTTTCCGGTATTTTATTTTGAATTTTTACATTATCAGACCATAGCTGCAGGAACCATAGCTCAAATACTGTTGTTTTTATTTTGTTTTGAAATTTTATATTATCAGACCGTACGGTTTGATAAAAAATAAAAAATGTTCCGACCTATAGCTACGGTTCTGACAGCTACCCAGGGGATGTGTCTAGTGGACTATATTACTTACATGTGACACCACTTGAACTGTATTCTACCATTTCTATACTTTCATCAAAATTGGGACGTACAATCATGCAAACATCATTTTCTGCACGAGTCAGTCTAACATGAATGTTTTTGCACAATTGATTCTTTTTGCAATTTTTTTTTTCTTTTAATATCAAAAATAAACTGTAAAGGGTAGGATCCTCTGATGAATCATGATTAAAATAGAGCTGATGTTTTTTGTTTCAAAATCTTTTAAGCCAATTGCAAGGTTATTTGCTTTTTAAAAATTCAATTGTTTAACAGTTTTAAAGGGAAAAAAATGTTGTTAATTTTATACAATTTAATTTTGTTTTATAAATATTTGTATGATATTTGTTTGAATGTTGTAGATGGACGTCCTTATTTTTCGGGGAGAGAGACAAGCCAGCACACGGTTCTCAGGAGTCCCTAGATACACACCTTCATTCACAGGATAAGGTAGGTCTTAACACTTACCTCCCTAGGTGACTTTAGTAGACTGTACCATACATTTATCTGGATGAGTCCATTATGGTTCACAGTGGTCGAAGGGTTATTTGTAGTTGTCAAATTGACATGAAATTTGATGGATGTAAATTGATGAAAAGGTTATTCAAAAGTCTTGGAATTTGTACTAATTGTATCTAGTTTTCATTGTCATTCTGAATTTTATGATTCATAGTATGGAACAAATAAGATATGAATAGGGAGAATCAGCTAGATGGGTCTGATTTCACAGTACACGTAAGGAAAAACAGGAAGAAGGAACGTCTTAAGGACAAGAAATCCACTGTACCACTAATACCAGGCATTTTGTTGTTACAGGGTTTCTGTGCCTGGATTCCAGCATTTTTCAGAGTCAAGTAAGTACAAAATGTACTAAGTTTGCACCATGTTGAATATGGCTTTGATAGGCTAAAAACATTTACCCAATCCAGTTCTAATACCCCTTGCTGCACATTATGTTTTTGTCTTGTCCATTCATGTAACATCATGGGTAACATCGAGTTCTATACCTGTTTAGATTTGGTGGTCATTGGCTAGATTCAAGGGTCAAAGGTCACGCTTGACCACTTTTAAAAGTAAGATTTGTGTTAAGCATTTCAGATATCTCATGCACCCCTCAACCTTCCTCGATTCCCTAGGGGTTATGTTCACTTTCCCTCTCTGCACCTCTGGAATATGTCATGGCAAAATTGAAAGCAGGCAGCTAGCTATTTGATTGGTCTCAGTCAAAAAACCCCAGACCAATTGCTAGGCTGATACCTGTCCTTTGAAAAGTACAGAGAAGCAACACTCAAGTTCAAAACCAGTCAATTTTATAGTCAGCAAGATTCTTTTGATGTATTCAAAGGATCAAGCTAGTCTACTTGCGTCATCCAAAAGGTGGTGCACACCGATTGTTCATGACATATTCCAGGGGTGTAGAGAGCGAAAGTGAGCGTAACCCCTGGGAGTGTAGAAATGCCCCTCAGTAAATTTAATGTATAGGTTCGCCTTTATTTCTGTTACATTTGATACAATCTTGATCCATTATAACTATATAACCTTGACCTGTATATGACGTTTAAAAACATCTTATATGTGTTGACAGGGATGCAGACATTCTACAGAAGTGCGGCCATGACGCGATCCAGTATCTGTCATTCCAGCGTTACTTGATTATCTACACCACCATCATCTGTATCCTGTCTGTCGCCATCATCATCCCCACCAACTTCTCCGGAACCAACAGTATGTCTCATAGCCTCGTGTCCTTAACTCATCCACCCAAGAAGACCCATTTGAACTCTTCCAGTTCAATGGTTGGAATAGTTCATTATGAAATTCCAGGGGTGAATGGGTTAATACTCTATAGCAGTCATGTTTATATAAAATAAATCTTGTCAATAAAGGCATACTCCACAAACACCTAAATATTTGAATGATATAACTGGTATCATATGCTATCAGAAGTCTTAAAGCATGTTCTTTGTGACACGTGGCGCCGAAGTCGAATTGTGAACAAATTTATTGTACGAACTTACAGTGGTTAATTATTTCCACTAATGCGTCCAAATGCAGTTTTAATACTTTGATTGAAATATTGAATTCTGATCACAAATTAAATGACAAGTTGAAGTTCATTCAATGAGCAAAAATTAAGTCCCTGTACATGTGTTTCACGGACAAAATATTTGTTTACCCTCTGAATCACAGATTAAATACACAGTATCTCTGTGAATCTGTCTTTGCAGTTGGTAATGCTACAGATTTTGGCCATACGACCATAGGAAATCTGGACCCTAAGTAAGTATCACAGCCAGGGGTTTAAAGATTTTTAAGTAGTCTTTTTAATTCAAGGTGGGTTTTTTAAAATCTTGAAAGTATTTGAATTTGGAAATATCTGTTCTTTAAGTGTGAATAACTGAACATGTTGTGACTACAATGTATTGGTGAAAGCACTAGGTAATAAACCATGTATGTGTAAATGTAATTTAGAAATAGCCATTTTTTACAATATATATGTACAATGAAACCTGTCTAATCTGACATTCTTTCGCCACAGATTGGACAGGATGTCTGAATGTCTAATAGAAATGGGATTAAACACGTTTTACTAAACATGCATATTATCAATCTGTACTTATAATAATGGAAATCATAATTTGTGTTTTGGGGATGGAATTGTTTCATAACAATTTAGACTTTAGTAGATTGAACCACTGAAATACAGTATTCAACTGTATATAAAATTCTATAGTTCCTAAGTGCTTTTTCCCATATTTGGAGGTTCCTGACTATGTGTTGTTACAGGTCTAATCTACTGTGGATACATGCCCTTCTGGCCGTTGTCTTCCTGCTCATCATTGTCGCTCTGATGCATCACTTCTCTCGTAACCTAGAGTATCAGGAGGACGATCAGGTAAGTCGAGGTCAAAGGTCAATGCAATCATTTCTGAAGGAAAGTCGTCAGAAAGAAAATGCCCATATTATAATTCTGAAATAACCAGCCATTACAAACTCTTGTATTTTTGATAGTACAATGTCAGAAGGAAAAGAAAAATGGTGGTAATTTATATTTGGCTTACAAATTGTAACAGATTTGAATGTAGCTGTGTTTCTGCTATAGGTGTCAAGAACAGTGATGATCTCAAACATCCCTACTATCAGATGCTTCAAGAACATCATTACACAGCATTTTCAGTAAGTAATCTGCACGTCCCTGGTGTTCACCAGCGAGCTCAAGGAATTCACTTTTAAGAATGAAGAGATTTTATTGCATTGAGGTGTAGACTGAAAGTGTCTGCAAGGCAATGCTGAAACGGACATAAAATGTTCCACCTTTATTCAAATTAAATCTCGATTGGCATGACTATGGTGGTGATAATACTTGTACAATTTTACTATCAATTGGGAAACATTTAAAGTAGCTGATATATTGAAATGGGTTGTGAGCAAAGATATATGTATTAATCCAATCTCAGGTATAGATGCCTTAGCTAGAAGAACAACATACAATTATAGAAAAAAAATACAATGAACAACATACAAGATTGGTTTAAGCCCATGACATAATTATTAAACAGTAAAATACCAATAAATCAGTACCATTACTTTGTAGTTTAAACTTAAACTATGGTCCTCCTACTACACTAAGACTAAAAATCTACAAAGTAACATCTGAAACTACCTACAAATACAAAATTAGGTAAGCGTGGCTGGGAATTAAACAGAAATGAAATGCCTGCTGCCGCCTCGCCAAAGAATTCGAGAGTGACGAGACGTTAGCATGGGGAACAGGATGTTGGCCATTGGGGTTCTCCTCCGTAGGAAGTCAGCATTTCATTGGTCAGCTGCTGGCTCTTGTGTCCTGCTGACATGTCATCTATTGGTCAGTTTGACCAGGCATGTAACCAAATTTGGGCATGTAATTTGCTGACTTGAGGGTCTAAGGACCTATATGCCTTATAGCAGTAACCTGATAACACAAAGAAAGCTGACCACTGTATTGGCCTGGTAACCTGATAACACAAAGAAAGCTGACCACTGTTACGGCCTTGTAACCTTATAACACAAAGAAAGCTGACCACTGTATTGGTCCTGTAACCTGATAACACAAAGAAAGCTGACCGCTGTAATTGGCATGGTAACCAATGTGTTGCATTACCTATATACAAGCTATACATTTTATGCAAATAAAATTGCTTACCAATCGATATATTAAGAACATATTAATAACTTAATGTTCTCATGAGTATTATTTGAAATAATTTTTCTAATCTTTGATATAGAAAAATAGATATACAATTTTTAAAATTGCAAATATTAAAATTTACCAAAAGGATGTATATAAAAAGGAAGCCTATTGCAAAATGTACAGTGACGCGAGTCAGATAATTTATCAAGTGTAATCCTGTTGTAAGCTCATCACTGCTCGTTCTAGACTAACTCAGTTGTGTTATGGGTAGCAGAAACATAGCACAGTTACAAAATACTTGCCTGAAGTTAAATATGGTTGATGAAATCTTTATAATTGATGTTTCAGAGAGGCATACCCTGAGACAGTGGTTTTAGATGTACAGTTTGCCTACAACATCTCCAATCTTGTCATCCTAGACAAGAAATTGTAAGTACGATAGACAAGTAAGCAAATGGAAAGAGATTATTTTCGTCAGCTCTTCATTTACATTTTTAGCCCACCATCATCAGATGGTGGGCTATTCAAATCACCCTGTGTCTGTGGTCTGCACATGTCCATCATTTCGTCATTCCGTCAGTCCTTTAATAATTTTTGTTAGTGCTATTTCTCAGAAAAGACTAAAGGGATCTTTCTCAAATTTCACATGAAGGTTCCCCCTGATCTAGTTATATGCATATTGTTTTTTGGGACTGATCACAAAACGGAGATGACCGACAGGCAGCCATCTTGAATTTGAGAGTTAAAGTTTGTTCACATTATTTCTCTGAATGTTCAGGAAGGGTTTTCTCAAATTTCACGTGTAGGCTCCCCATGGTTCCTAGTTTCGAATTTTGGGGATGATTGGAAAACCAAGATGGCCGGCAGGTGACTGTATTGAATTTGGGAGTAAAAGTTTTTTTAGACCTATTGCTCAAAAGGTCTTAGAGGGATCTTTCTCAAATTTCACATAAGGGTTCCTCTTGGTTCCTAGTTAAGCATATCAAATTTTTGGACTGATCTGAAAACCAAGATGCGAACAGGTGGCTATCATGTTACAGTTTAAGTTTGTAATCGCTTTTCTCCAAATTTCCTGGAGGAGTTTTTCTCAAATTTGATATGTAGGTTCCCCTTGGTCCTAAGTTGTGCATGTTAACTTTTGAGGTTGATCAAAAGACTGATTAAGATGGCAGACAGGCAAACTGATCAAACAGATAAGAGAAAAGAAAAGAAAAGATCCAACTGACATAGAATAAATGAAGATTATACAATGGTGGGCGCCAAGATCCCTCTGGCAATGCCAATTAAAATACTTGTTTGAGAAAAATACTCCCCTTTTGTCTAGGTCGTAACCTATTGGACATGAAACTTGCCTCATTTAAACTTAAAAAAGTTGCGTAAAATATACCATAAAGACGATAACTGGACATTCGCCTAAAACTCAATTGTCAACAACATGTACATTTAGGCTTTTTTCAACCACACTCTTGACAAGTAGAGCTATTTTTCTTGTAGCATACAAGGATATGTAGACCTTTTAACATGGTTTTCTTGATTGAATACAGTCAAACGCTTACCCTTATTATGGTTAATTACTGGGTATATGTACCTGTATGTAATGTTTGTTGCTATTTGCCTGGATTGTGAATAATACCATATTGGTTTCATAGTATCATCATTATGACATAGATGTCAAGCTCAAAGTGGGGATTCAATATGACTGGAAATGTAATTGATTGTGTGGCCTACAGGAAGACTGCCAGTGAGGCACGGATGAACTCCCAGATACAGTGTGACAAGACAGGAGAACGACCAATGATGAGGCCTCATAAGTGTGGTCGATGTTGCTGCGGATCTGACAAGGTAACAGATGTACTGTATTTAGTATATCATAACAAATTGTCTGTGGTTCTTTTAAAAAAAATATATCTGTGAATAGGTAAATTAATAAAAGAAACACCTCTGCTTTGATGCTCTGTAACAGAATTTTTTTTTTAAACCAAATCTAAACAAAGGTCAATAAAACTATATATATGAGCAATATTTTTTCCCATATTTGTTGGTTGTGGTGTCTGATTAGCTGTTTAAGTGAGGAAGCTAGGCGAAAAGATAAAAGATATTTGTTATAGATTTGATGTCTTAACAAGATTTGTAAAAGATATGAACGCCTTGCACATAATAATTATCTGAAACCTTTCAAGGTGGCGTCACAATGGAATATCTTGAAAAGCCAAATCTTCTGAAGACTCTCCACAGCTTTTGAAATCAACCATTCAGTATTTAAAGATTGAGATGATTTTGTGATTATATGCTGCTGTAGGTGGATGCCATAGATTACTACAGCAATCTAGAGGCTGAGCTGAAGCTGAAATGTGAGGAGGAGAAAGCCACTGCGTACCAGGACCCACAGGGCATCGCATTCGTATCCTTCCAGACAGACTTCATGGCAGAAAGGTCAGTTTCAGTAGAGAACCTAATCCTCGTAATCCACTAAGCTTTCTGAAAAGTAATTCTGGAGAAGCAAATTTTCTAAATTTACAGAAGACTTTTAGATGAAATAGTGTTGGTCGTCTAGCGAGAAGCTTTCCAGATTATGGATCAATGATGTTACACGATGTAAATATCAAATAAATATTGAGTTGACATCTTCTCAAGAGGTCTTAATAATACATTTTGTGATCTCAATCTGGTAGACTTTTAATTTTGGACATGGTTTTGTTACTGGTAAATTTGAAGGTGCATTTAACAGAGTTGACACTTTCACCACAATAGATAAATAAATTGATATCCATTCAAAAACCCGCCAATGACATTAACCATTGGTATCAATTGTATCCACGGTTCAGATAATATATTGGGAAGGTTTACACGTAATATTATAGATTTGTTGCCTTTACAGATAGAGCAATAAATATTGTATTATGCTGAACAAATATCACCTACAATAACACAACAGTAGAGATTATCCGGTTAACTTGCCAATGTTGTCATCTGCGTCATAATTTGGAACTGAGTTGTGGACGCTCTTGCCGATTTTTCTGGGGGGCTCCGAATAAGGGAAATATGATATGGGAAACATGGACGTGTGAGGGCGACATGGTGTTTTATTACCCCGTCATGTGACCAGTATCATTCAATCAGACACTGTTATGAGATGAGGTGTAATAATATTGTTTGTAGAGCTTGTCATATGACCTTGAATTTCAGAGTTTCACCTTCAGCCTGGCTGTTTGTGTTTTCAGGGTGATAGCTGACTTTGATACAAGCTGTTTGTGTTTTCAGGGTGATAGCTGACTTTGGTACAAGCCGTTTGTGTTTTTCAGGGTGATAGCTGATTTTGGTATAACCTGTTTGTGTTTTCAGAGTGATAGCTGACTTTGGTGCAAGCTGTTTGTGTTTTCAGGGGGATAGCTGACTTTGGTATAACCTGTTGGTGTTTTCAGGGTGATAGCTGACTTGGTATAAGATGTTTGTGTTTTCAAGGTGATAGCTGTCTTTGGTACAAGCTGTTTGTGTTTTCAGAGTAATAACTGACTTTGGTACAAGCCGTTTGTGTTTTTCAGGGTGATAGCTGATTTTGGTATAACCTGTTTGTGTTTTTCAGGGTGATAGCTGATTTTGGTATAAGCTGTTTGTGTTTTCAAGGTGATAGCTGACTTTGGTACAAGCTGTTTGTGTTTTTCAGGGGGATAGCTGATTTTGGTATAACCTGTTTGTGTTTTCAGGGTTATAGCTGACTTTGGTATAACCTTTTTGTGTTTTCAGGGTGATAGCTGACTTTAATACAAGCTGTTTGTGTTTTCAGGGTGGTAACTGACTTTGGTACAAGCCGTTTGTGTTTTTCAGGGGGATAGCTGATTTTGGTATAACCTGTTTGTGTTTTTCAGGGTGATAGCTGATTTTGGTATAACCTGTTTGTGTTTTTCAGGGGGATAGCTGATTTTGGTATAACCTGTTTGTGTTTTTCAGGGTGATAGCTGACTTTGGTTCAAGCTGTTTGTGTTTTCAGGGTGATGACTGACTTTGGTACAAGCTGTTTGTGTTTTCAGTGTGATAGCTGACTTTGTACACTTTGGTACAAGCTGTTTGTGTTTTCAGTGTGATAGCTGACTTTGTACACTTTGGTACAAGCTGTTTGTGTTTTTCAGGGGGATAGCTGATTTTGGTATAACCTGTTTGTGTTTTTCAGGGGGATAGCTGATTTTGGTATAACCTGTTTGTGTTTTCAAGGTGATAGCTCACTTTGGTACAAGCTGTTTGTGTTTTCAGTGTGATAGCTGACTTTGGTACAAGCTGTTTGTGTTTTCAGGGTGATAACTGACTGGTATAACCTGTTTGTGTTTTTCAGGGTGATAGCTGACTTTGGTACAAGCTGTTTGTGTTTTCAGGGTGATAACTGACTTTGGTACAAGCCGTTTGTGTTTTTCAGGGTGATAGCTGATTTTGGTATAACCTGTTTGTGTTTTCAGAGTGATAGCTGACTTTGGTGCAAGCTGTTTGTGTTTTCAGGGTGATAGCTGACTTTGGTACAAGCTGTTTGTGTTTTCAGGGTGATAGCTGACTTTGGTATAACCTGTTTGTGTTTTTCAGGGTGATGGCTGACTTTGGTACAAGCTGTTTGTGTTTTCAGGGTGATAGCTGACTTTGGTATAACCTGTTTGTGTTTTCAGGGTGATAACTGACTTTGGTACAAGCTGTTTGTGTTTTCAGGGTGAGCTGATTTTGGTACAAGCTGTTTGTGTTTTCAGGGTGATAACTGACTTTGGTACAAGCTGTTTGTGTTTTTCAGGGTGATAGTTGACTTTGGTACAAGCTGGGTTTTTTTTTCATGGTGATAGCTGACTTTGGTACAAGCTGTTTGTGTTTTCAGGGTGATAGCTGACTTTGGTACAAGCTGTTTTTTGTTTCAGGGTGATAGCTGACTTTGGTACAAGCTGCTTGTGTTTTTCAGGGTGATAGCTGACTTTGGTACAGCCTGTAAGGGATCAAACAGCTGTCCCCCATCTACTGTTGACAAGGAGCTAAACATTGCAGACTGGGATGTGAAGTATGCTCCGTCTCCGGAAAATATCTATTGGTCAGTATCCCACAGCTGCTGGTCAGCTTATTTCCAGGGTCAAGGGGTCAGGAAAGAAAATTGAAAGCTTAAGACTCCATTTTTTCACTTTTATGGGGTTAGTGCAATGCTGTTTTGAATTGTTGATCAACAAAATAATAACATCTAATTACAAGAATCTCTTGATATTAACGTTATAAGTAAAGAAAGCTAGATCTTGATCAATCGTTTTAATTCTTTTTTCGCTGTTGAAATATGAACATAGACATGTTTATCTGATTTCAAAGGTAAGTGTGACTTTACTCAAAGGTCAGTAGTGGGTATTGTGACTAAAATAGTAAGTAGTGTGAATTGAGTGGTCATTAATAGAATCATTCCCTACGTTAAGGGTATGACAGAGAAAACTCCTACCTGAGGGGTGATTTTTGATGGTTGTCTACCAAAAAAATCACCCCAGGGTTGGAGATTTTTCTGTGACACCCTCAAGGTAGGGGCCCGGATGAGAATTTTTCTCCCATCCTATTATTTCAGTCACAACTCCTCCGACAGTAGACTCTTTGTAAACAAAAACACATGTTTGGTATGAATATCGTCATTCACTTTTGATGACGTCGCAATTACCGATGGCACATTTTAATGACTTCACGATTTAACATGTGCTAATCGGCACGAGGCTATGTTCCCCTAAGGGGTAACAAGCTGATCTTTCCCGGCTGAAACGGGAGACACACCTGTGAAGGGTGGGAGAAAATGGCATTCCCTTGTATTTTTAATCAATTTACACACAGTTCTAGGTATGTACTAATCAATTTGACTGACAGTGTAACATGATGAAGTCATCTTTTGACAGGGAGAACCTTACTAAGTCTGGGATACGATGGTGGGTATTTGCGATCCTCGCCAATGGATGTCTCGTCATCCTGCTCTTCTTCTTCACCACTCCCCTCCTCATCATCAACAACCTCGACAAAGTAGAATACTTTAAAGGCTCCATGACAGTAAGTTATCGGTGTCCTAAACCTTCCTGTCTTTATTCAGTGTCATCAATTAAGCAACTTCATTTCTTATCATGCTCTTTTTTTTATCAAACTTTATAGAGTTATCAAGTATAAAAATGCCTTGAATCTGTTCATATTTGAGACCCAAGTTCAAGTTTCCTTATTCTAGCTGCTTTATTTCCTAATATTTTCTTAACAAAATTAAAATTGATAATCATAATTGTGATAAGATTAAAGGAATCAAGGCTTGAATCTTTGGCTGATTGTTCAAGTTTTTAGTTGTTTTGGAAATTTGTTTGGAAATGAGTTGTTTTCTATGCAAATTTCAGGTAGATGTGAAATATGCATAAATTCTATCTTTCAGAGTCCCCTCATTCAGCAGTTTGTGCCGACTCTGCTACTATGGACATTTGCTTGTCTTCTACCTAATGTTGTGTATTACTCAGACCAGTATATAGGTCACTGGACAAGGTCAGTATATAGGTCACTTCACAGTTAGGTTAACAGTCATTTGATAAAGTAAAAAATTAGTTAATTTGACAAAATCAATATTCAGTGCAAATATGTAAAAATTTAATTCATTTGATAAAATCAATATTCAATAGTATATAGGGCACTCATTAGCGATATTTGTGACCTGATGATGCATACTTGCTATCCCTCCCTATTTAGGAGGGAAATGCAGGATTTTCAACCCTTAAATTTGGTATTTTTAACCAGTGAATTTGCTCAACTATTCCTATTTTTTTTAAGATCTAATGATTTTATCCGAAAGAACAGTTCAATTTATGTCATTTTAAAGGGTTATTTTGTCTTTAGGTGGTATATACATACTTTAAATTTATGTTTTAATTTTGAGAATGCAGAATCTCCCCCATGGAAATTTCAAAAAGGTGGCAAGTATGTGATAATGAAAGAAAGCGAAAATATGATCAACATTGCCTTAACTCATTTACCTCTGAAATTTCATAATGAACTATTCCAACCTTTGAATTGGAAGGGTTCAAATGTGTCTTCAGGGGTGAATGTGTTAAAATAAACAATTATGTTTTTTGTCCAGGGTAGATTATGAGACATTTATTTCTTCTTTTCAGAACTGCTGAACACCATTCTGTGATGATAAAGTGTTTTATTTTTTTGTTACTTATGGTCCTGATTTTGCCTTCGTTAGGTCTCTTTAGGTAAGTACTAACTTAGTCATTAATTGCCACGGTCATTGTCGTTGATATAGATAGGTTATACATCATCAATACGACCACCAGCTGGAAGTAGGTTGTAGTGAACAGTGTTTGGGTTCTGTTTAATGCTGCACAGTGCTCCTTTTATGTACGGAATTACATAGATATCTCTTTTGTATATTTTATATGTTTTTCCCCGGGACATTTTAGTAATGCTAGATAAATAATAAAGACAGAGGCTTAAATTCATATTTGATTTGATTTTAATATCATAAGGTGCAAATTTAAAGTGGAACTTGGATTTTAGATTTTGCAAATAAACATGCATGGTAAAGTTGCCACCAACTGATCAGAGCAAATGTGAGTTTTCGTCATTCATCACAGCTGAATCGTTGACAGTCACGTGCCTGTATATTTTTAGTGTGAATGCCTTGTTCCAGTGGCTTGTGATGGACACTGAGAATGACTTGAGATGGAAGTAAGTATAAAGAGAGACTATCCAATAATTCATACATACGTACCCCCTACTAACAAAGTTTGATGGGGTATATAGGAATCACCCTGTCCATCTGTCCCTTTGTCCATCCATGAACCTCGTAAGCGCAATCCCTCCTCAACTGTTTGTTGATTTTTTTCGTAACCTGGCACAGTGAAAGTAAATCATATGTAGATGTGCACAAAGAAAGGAATATGTGATTCAACTATTTTTCCTTGAGTTATGGCCCTTGAAATTTATATTTCTCCTCCAGATGTGCATGAAGAGAGGAATTTGTGATTTAACTGTTTCTTCTCCAGAAACCGTCGTTTTTTAAGCACAATTCCTCCAAAGTTTGAATATGTGTTTAAGTATATATAGTTTCTCTAGTTGATGATTGATTACAGTCTATATCCATTAAAGTGAGTTTATTTTACAGCATAATCTACAAGCTTTGAAGCTAACAGGGTATTCCTTATGTTGTAGGTGTATATTTTTGCCTGGGAATGGAGCTTTCTTTGTGAATTATGTGATAACCTCTGCCTTCATAGGCACAGCCCTGGAGCTGATGAGGTTCTCCGAACTTCTTATATACAGCATCAGACTCTTCTTTGCTCGGTCACCTGCAGAGGAAAGTGCAGTAAGAAAGGTATGTACCTAGTAAGGCATTAAACAGCCTTGAAAATTGTATCTGGATACTTGGGGCACTTTCATCTTCTGTTAGGGTATAGTAGTCTGATAGCATGCTCCAAGGAAACTTTTGTCAAGAAATTCAAGTGGCTTGCAGAAACTTAATGGGCGGATTGGTTGAGTGGTTAACACTCTGGCCTTCCATGCAGGCAGCCGGGGTTGGATCCCCAAAGTCGCGTTACACATGGAATATTCAGAGAAAGTGTTTTTCTCCTGCCCACACAACTCCAAAACCCAGGTGGAGTATAAATTGGTCTGGGGCGGATGTTGCAGTATCTGTGCTGTAGCATTCAAGTGAGGTGGCACTATAAATGATACCATTGGAAGCACGGTCCTGCTACAAACAGAACACAATACATCTCCAGCACACAGGCAGGCATACACTCATAGGGAGATACAAGCCAGGTGGCATAGGACTAGTAGTTAGCTCCTGCAAATTCCTCAAAATTATATAGATTAATGTATATGCTTATTGTATTGATTGTATAAATTGTATATCTATGTACTGTAAAGCGCTTTAGAGTGGCTTATTCTAGCTAGATAGGGCGCTATATCAAATGTTGTATATAATACATTAATAACTAATCAGGTGGTTGAAATACTGCCATTACTCCCCAGTACCAGTTGTTTTTATTTCGTTGGTGAAGTCTCACAAGACCTCAAAGGATCTAGGAGGCTACACCAGTGTTAGTCACCAATTTAGTAAACATTAAGGGACGCTACATCACTCATCATTTCACATTTAAAGGGTTTCATTCATGAATTGACAAGTCACACTAATTCAAGCTTTATTTTAAGGTGATCACCACTAGTGTTAAAAAGTCTTGCATGTAGTGCTTTAAAATTAATTAAATGATCAAAGGAAAATAATGTGAAATATATTTAGAATATATTGAAAAATATAACTATAAATATAGGATCTTACATGAGTTTCCATTTCATATGAGATTTATGAAACAAGTCTAAGAACTTTTCAATAGGCGAGCTAAAATGTAAAAGCATACTTGCCATCCCTCCCCATATGAAATGAAAACGAGTGTAAGATCCTTTTTATCACATAATCAAGATTTGTGGCATTTATTTGTGTAAAACAACAATTTTCATGCAACCTCGAAATGTAAAAAGCTGCCATTTTGACTCCAGTGCGTAAGTCTATGACGTCATGGTCTTTGTCCTACGAGTGACGTCACAATTGAAACAATTGAAACTTACAACCAATCTCAGGGTTGATACTGGTCATATTACATGGGTAAATATGCAAAAAGAAATATGACATGGGGTATATTCACTGAATTACACAGTACATTATGTGATAAAAGAATTAATGAATCATATTTTTGGATATCAGTAAGATCCAAACTTACAGCTATTGTAGATAGGATATATGGTCATATATCTGGCCCCTTCAAGCCATTTACTGAGCTTAGTGGAAACTTTTTGTACATTTTAAAAGTTGTACTGTTTTTACTGTCTCATTTGAGGTTCGTACATGTATTATTCAAATGGTTCAGTTTTTAATTTTTATTTAAAAATATGTTCTGAGTTTAACTTTTACAGTGCACTGATAAAGTCAAAAAAAAAGAAATATAAATACCAAGGCAAATATTTGAATTGTACAACAAAGCTCTATTTTCTAATATTTTACACCGAATGAATTGTTCTGATTATCAATATATATTAATGCGAGTCCTGTTAGGTAGTACATCCTTGTTACCTTGGTTACAGACGACAGTTTGGGAGTTCCAGTTTGGTATCCAGTACGCGTGGATGCTGTGTATATTCTCTGTGGTAGTTGCCTACAGTATATCGTGTCCTCTCATCGTACCGTTTGGTAAGTATAAACATCGGAGGTTTTTAGTTCTCTGTCATTCTTCACTAATCCAGCTGCCTTCGTTCATAGCTGAAAATGGTTGGAAACTGTGGAAAAGTTTTAACCCTTTCACCCCTGTAAACCAAAATGGACTCATCCAGATCAATGCATGGACAAGTTTTGTGGATCAACCAGATGATGAGTTCATGTTGGATTTTGATTGATTGTCCATGCTAATTGAAGTTTGGAACCTGAGACTATGGTTTTACTACTAACCCAGCTCTGTACTGATGGAGCTAATGGGAAATCTTCCTCTAGTTCAATCAGTCCAAGTTAAGCTAGATAGTGATTTCCATGTTCCTTTCTATGAACAAGAGATAAGATCGAAATCGGGCAAACATAAGCTGTTTTACAGTGTAAAGTTACATGTTAAAGTTATGGTTTGAAGCTTTGGTATACATGTATCAGTTGTTGCTATAAATTAAATTATTTGACACAAGATAATATTTGAACAATTGATTTCAGTATAGATGTCGGAGGAACCTTAAATTCATTTTTTTTAACCTACATACTGGCCAGGAGCTCAGTAATGTGTAATATTTTGATACTGGTAAAAATGGTACTTAACTGATCCTATCACCTTTGTTTTAGAAGCCACATGTAGCTGGATTATATAAGGTGAAGAGTCGGATCTGTGGACCAAACAAATTCTGTTCTGAACATTTTTGGCTGTTCTGAAGAATATATTAAATAGAGGTTTTCTGTGTTTGTAGGTCTGGTACACATGATACTGAAGCATATGGTGGACCGTTACAACATTTTCTTCGCCTATCGTCCGTCACGGATCAGCAAGGGTATCCACAACACAGCCATCACGTTTGTTGTGGCCTCTGTCATCCTCCTACAGTTTAATGTTGTCTTCTTCACAGCCGTCCGCTCAGGTACTGATATTATTGTATATCTTTACATTGTATTTCATTTTCATTGTTAAGTCCTACCGACAACTAGTAATAAGCTTAAGTACATACAGGAGAAAGGCCTCTTTCAAGAATATAGCGTTTACACAACTCATGAAATATATGTACGCTGTTGGGTATGCTGATAAACTTTTTACCAATTTTAACCTTTTACTTGATTTTCATCTGTGTGAAGTCTTTCCAGTTTCTTTTGAGGTTTGTGGCCCAAAATGGGGCCATTAGGCTTGAACAAACAAGCAATAATTAAATCAAATTGGTGTTTTTTTCCTTGTAATATGTTTCAAGATTTAGCCTGGTGCGTGAAGATCACCCTAAAATGAACATATTTACAATACTTGTATATCAGTAATAAGGAAACTTAAACCTAGGACAGTATGTAAATATTAGTAAGTAATAATAAAAGTAGTTTACATCGGTGTCAACCTCTGAAACGTCCAATGTAGGAGTTCTCAACATTTCACATTTCCAATGAGGGAGAAAGTGTGTGAAATGCGGCTGAAACTGCTTTGCTCAATTTATCTTTCCCTTTCATTGTATCAAAATAACTCCAAAAAGCATTAATTTGATTCAGACACACCTGTTATGATCATTACACACACCCTGCAGAAACTAGGAGATCATTTGACCACAGTATGTAGCTTTTGAGTTTGTGTGAGTTTGGACTTGAACGAGGGAGTTTTGAGGAAGAGTGGTACATTTTGGTCAAAATGATGGAGGGTTGACAGCTATGAGTATACAACTTTGATAAGAGTTTGTTTTGTCCTGACAGAGGCAACAAATGCTTTGTTCTAATTGATTATATTTTATCCTAACAGAGGGAAAAATTTCTTTGTTCTAATTGATTATATTTTATCCTAACAGAGGCAATAACTGCTTTGTTCTAATTGATTATATTTTATCCTAACAGAGGCAAAAATTTCTTTGTTCTAATTGATTATATTTTATCCTAACAGAGGCACTAACTGCTTTGTTCTAATTGATTATATTTTATCCTAACAGAGGCAAAAATTTCTTTGTTCTAATTGATTATATTTTATCCTAACAGAGGCAAAAATTTCTTTGTTCTAATTGATTATATTTTGTCCTGACAGAGGCAATAACTGCCTTGTTCTAATTGATTATATTTTGTCCTGACAGAGGCAATAATTGCTTTGTTCTAATTGATGATATTTTGTCCTGACAGAGGCAATAAGTGGTGTGTTCTTCTTCTCCTCTGTGGCTCTGTTTGCATCACTCCTGGCATTCACTGGGCGTGTTTGCTTCGGCTGGTTCAAACACTTCAACCCACTCAAATACAAGGTAAGTGAAAAGCCTCCTTCTGCAAGGTACTCTTCTTCACATTTTCCCTTCATTTTTATTCCCTCCATTTATATTTATAATTACAAAGAATCATAAGATCTTCAATTTGCTTGAATTGCTTTAATATTCACTTTTCATTTTTATCCCACCATCATTTATCATCAATTTGTCGATTATGATAACATACAATGATAATTGTCAAATGTAATTATAAAAAGATACTTTCCAGATTTTTCCTTTCTTCTCTAACTTTTGAATTATATTTATAATAACTGGTACCGTAAACTTTTCCTAATTTAACTGTCTCTCTCATCTGAAAAAAAAATCAATTTATGTGAAGGTATTTGTGGTATGTGATCATTTATGTGAAGGTATTTGTGGTATGTGATAGTTTATTATTGATCAGACATGTTCACATATGTACTGTAAAATCTCTGGACAAACTAAATACTATGTTCCTTTTTATGGTGTATGTATCGAGCATTACTGACAAAAATAATTGGATTGTTTCCTCAACATGAGTGAGTACACAAAACAGTCTTTAGTATTAACTGATTGATAATTCAGAATGTAAATCAGAGTCTGTAGAAGAATATATATTATATCTGTCTTAATACAACATAAGTGTGTTAAAAAACTCATCAAGGAACTAGGATCTGTTTTGAAATATTTGTTAGAATTCCATTTAGATTTTAAATCTTAAATCATAAATCTTAAATCTTATGGTCATTGTTGGTGCATGAAAGACATTTAAAGAATATTATATAATGAATATTTATTCTCTGTACTCTTAGAGATATTAAAATAAATTATCAGTAAAATTATGGTTGATGAAAGGATCAATTGAAATTGTAACATAGGGTTCAACAGTTTCATTGAATGGAAGCAATTGTTTACTTTTCATGTACATATCATTGATATAGAATGTGTTACTAGAGCATGCATAACTCCCTAAGGATTCATTCTGCGACTGACTTTATTTTAAGTCTTAATTATTTCAAATTTAGTCTGTCATGATTTAACATTTAAGTTTAATATGCTTGGATTGTTTAATGTTATTAAAATATTCAATTATTCCCAAGAAATTCCTTAAATCAGTATCGTCCAGATTTCAGTACACATTACACAGAATGAATCCATATGCCATCAATGTTGTAACGTGTATAATTGTAATATGATATAAAATTTACTTGTCCCCTGATGGTACTGATACCAATAAGTGAGGGGGTGTTATACTAAACCCTTTGTCAGTGCGTCTGTGTGTGTATCAAATCCGTTTTGGTAAAAAGCTTTTGTATAAGATATATATGATTTCATGAACCCATGAACACACCTAGTTTATATTTACACCATAGTATGGTTATAAAGAGTTCTTCACCAGATCAGATTGGGTGGTCATTGGTCAAGATTAAAGGGTCAAAGATCACACTTGACCACTTATGATGTAAAAAGCTCATGAACAAATTATCTCACAAATCCCTTTTACATTGTAATAGCAAAGTTGGTTTATATTTACCCCATAATTGACACATTTATCTATGTGAGTGCCATTACTTGTTTATTGACTACTCATGTAACTAAATGCTTATCAGAATATATTGTCTACTGTATGAAGTATATAGCTATCCCATTGCTGTTGTCTAGTGTATTACCATCTATATTGTCTGTAGTCTGAAGTGTAACCCAGCAATATCAGCTTAAGTGTATTGCCAGTTCTATTGTCTATATATCTCTATAGTTGAGTGAACTACCAGCTGTAGGGTCGATAGTCTAGTGTATTGTCAGTTACATTGTCTAGTGAACTACCAGCTGTAGGATCTATAATCTAGTTTAATATCAGTTACATTGTCTATTGTCTAGTGAACTACCAGCTGTAGGGTCTATAGTCTAGTGCATTGTCAGTTACATTGTCTAGTGAACTACCAGCTGTAGGGTCTATAGCCTAGTGTATTATCAGTTACATTGTCTAGTGACTACCAGCTGTAGGGTCTATAGTCTAGTGTATTATCAGTTACATTGTCTAGTGAACTTCCAGCTGTAGGGTCTATAGTCTAGTGTATTATCAGTTACATTGTCTAGTGAACTTCCAGCTGTAGGGTCTATAGTCTAGTGTATTATCAGTTACATTGTCTAGTGAATACCAGCTGTAGGGTCTATAGTCTAGTGAATTATCAGTTACATTGTCTAGTGAACTACCACCTGTAGGGTCGATAGTCTAGTGTATTGTCAGTTACAGTGTCTAGTGAACTACCAGCTGTAGGTTCGAAAGTCTAGTGTATTGTCAGTTACATTGTCTAGTGAACTACCACCTGTAGGGTCGATAGTCTAGTGTATTGTCAGTTACATTGTCTAGTGAACTGCCAGCTGTAGGGTCGATAGTCTAGTGTATTATCAGTTACATTGTCTATTGTCTAGTGAACTTCCAGCTGTAGGGTCTATAGTCTAGTGTAATATCGGTTACATTGTCTATTGTCTAGTGAACTACCAGCTGTAGGGTCTATAGTCTAGTGTATTATCAGTTCTATTGTCTAGTGAACTACCAGCTGTAGGGTCTATAGTCTGGTGTATTGTCAGTTACATTGTCTATTGTCTAGTGAACTGCCAGCTGTAGGGTCTATAGTCTAGTGAATTATTGGTAATAATATCTATAGTCTAGTGAACTTCCAGCTATAGGATCTATAGTCTAGTAAATTATTGGTAATATTGTGTAAAGTCTAATGATGTATTGGCAGTTATGATGTCTATGCATGTAGTCTAGTGAACTACCAGCTATAGGGTCTATAGTCTAGTGAATTGTTGGTAATATTGTGTAAAGTCTAATGTATTGGCAGTTATGATGTTTATACATGTAGTCTAGTGAACTGCCAGCTGTTCTCTATATGTATAGTGTATAACTGTACCAGCTATATTGTCTAAATATAGTCTTATGAACTACCAGGTGTATTATCTTATCAATAAGTTATCCACTTGTAACGAAAGTTTGAGGGGATATAGGATTTAGCCTGTGCGCATGTACATACATTTGTATGTACCGCATGTACATACATTTGTATGTACCACATGTGCATACATATGTATGTACGTATGTTACAATCTTTGTCATCGCTCTAGCGACTTCATTTCTCAATGGATTAGAAATCTATTATCCATTGAAGAATGCAGTTGCTAGAGCAGATACTCATCCACATGTCACACACTGTGTGAATGTGACACACACTGTGTGAATGTGACACACACTGTGTGAATGCGAGGGGATTTGTGTCACCTATGATGCCTTGTTTAGTATATTACAAGCAATATTGTCTTGTAGGTCTCAAAGTATGACTCACACATGTACGTTTTCTCAGTGTATGACTAGTGTATGGCATTGCATGTATGGTCTGCCTAGTGAGTAGTTGATCGATGTTTGAGGTCTTGGCTGAACGTCTTGTTTCAGTGGTCCGTGTCACCCGTAACCCACCTTTTATCACCATAGATTGTTGTAGAAATACTGACACCATGTCTTTTTTTTCTCTTCTATCTGTCTGTTATATCCAGAAGGCTAACACAGGGCACGAGTCGGAGGTGGGTATAACAGGCTATTCACTTACATGGCCAGTCACCAAAATGTTCCGTACACATCCATACTCAAACCAAACAAACAAAATTCCAGGCAAATTTCAATAGCTTTAGAAGATCCTTATCCTTGCATCAAACTGGCCATGCACTGTCGTCCCTCATTCCCTCCCCCCCATCTATCCTCCTCTCTTATCTACTCTATCTTTTTTTGTCTATCTTTGTCACTTTTGTCCTTTCTGTCTGCTATTCTGTCTCTATTTCTTGTACCTTTTCTTTTCTTTAACCCATTCACCCCTGAAGACACATTTGAGCTCTTCCAATTCAAAGGTTGGAATAGTTCATTATAAAATTTCAGGGTGAATGAGTTAACCCTATTTTTCTACTTGCTTTCTTTCCACCGTTCTTGTTGTCAATTACCAAACAGTGACTTTTTATCATTGAAAGAACAAAATAATGATCTGCAAAATTAGATTACTTGTTAAAATAAAACCCTGTACATTGATAGAGTTAATTGTAGATTTTATACAACTGAAGGTTATCACATGTGGTCAACAACACGATAAAAACTTTACAATATGTGATGTTCAGTCATGAAATATTTTCTAGAGAATTACGGAAACTTTGAGTGATAGGCAGAGATTAAGTAGCAGCACCTCCACACACAAGAGCTCGTACTAGATTTCACGTTTGGCATTGTTCATTTTCAACACCGATAGTCTTAGCTGATACTAGTGTTACTTAAGTCACCTTTTGTATTTATACCTATAGTATATGTACTACATTTAGCTTGTGTTACAATGTAATAACAGATTGGTAATATTTTATGTAAACAGAAAATGATTGAGTTTGCACTGGAATGCTCTTGTCTATTTTCTTTGACCAATTTATTATACTGTTCTTGTGACTTTCAGCATTTCAATGATGACGGTATGACCACCCCTACTGGAGGACCAGCTGGAGCAACTGTAAGTTAACCAACAGAGATAACACAATTATATATACAAATCCAAATCAGGTAAATCGCCTTGCCAAAACATGAAATAATGGTTAATATAGATGATGAGAAATCTTTGAGTGAATGGATTTTTTTTTTTAATGGCAGAAAAGATTACTGATATATAACGCTTATATAATGTAACACTGGAGAGGCCCAAAGGACTGTTCCTTGTCTGTCTGTCTTTCCATCTTTCTGCTCTGTCATAATTAATATAGAGCCCATCTCAATCCTGTACTAGGTCCCATATGATTTGTATCAAACATGTACATTTTGTGATGGCAGAGTGTTGCAAACTATTAGAACGCACTGTGACCTATATTTCTACCTTACCCTGTGATGAAGTAGGAATTTTTGTAATGATCGCTCATCAAATTTGACATCAGATTAGTGTAATACGAATCCAGATTATTGTCATGAATTAACCCTTACTAACATTACTTACTTTGTTTTACAGCCATTTGTAGCCAGTGTTCTAATGAACCCTGACAGGGAGGCAGATGCTGGAGAGAGTGCAGATTGCTCCACATCAGCACCTGTTAACTCGTATGGCGCCATCAACTCCCACACGCCCGCCGCAGACTCAGACCACGCCTATCAGCCCTAGACAACAACCAACCAGGGACAGTCACAGACTCGGGACACGCCTATCAGCCCTAGACAACAACCACACACACGCGCAATACACCAGGCACAGACCCACGCTACACCTATCAGCGCTAGACAACAACCAACTACACACTAGTCACAGACTCAGGCCATACCTATCAACCACCAAGGAATGGTTGAGCCCCTGAGTACACCATTAACTTGTTCATTTGGGCTTCCATGTTGAAGACCATCAACTCATAATTTATAGCATATCCTAGATGTTTGTGGCTATCGTAGTTTTCTTTTTGCCGCTATCCGCAGTAGGTGTTATGACTGCAACGCAATGCACTGAAGATAGGCTGGGTGGCAACATATTGGTCAGACTAACCTGTCTAATCTGACATCATTACACAACCTATTAGTCTGGTTAACCTGTATAATCTGACATTCTGTGTGACAAAAAATTGGTCAGACTAACCTGTCTAATATGACATCATTTGGTACACAACTTATAAGTCTTGTTAACCTGTATAATCTGACATTCTGTGTGACAACAAATTGGACAGACTAACCTGTCTAATCTGACATCATTTGGTACACAACTTATTAGTCTGGTTAACCTGTATAATCTGACATTCTGTGTGACAACAAATTAGTCAGATTAAACAGTATGCTGGAACATAAGAAATGGGATGATGTTGTTATGTTACATTAAGCAAGATGACAGATTACACTAGGGTTGGATTAGACAGGTATCACTGTAGGGTTCTTCGACCGTATTTAACCGTAGGTGTTGACGAAGTAGATGCTTTGGTTGTAATTTGGTTTAAAGGGAATATAGTATTCAATGTAGAGGTGATGTATTATTTGTTCACTTCACTGCTGTGTTCGTGTTAAGTTATTGGTGTCTGTAGTGTATGGTTATAACTGTTCTGTAACGTACAAGGTCTGCCTTGTACAGTTGTAGAGAAAATATTGTATCGAGTATTGTTGTGTTGTTTAAAAGTCATTGTTATGATTTCATCAAAATGGTTTTTAAACTGAAGAAAAAGATACTTACTGAACCTTGTTCAAAATATATCATGTAAATGAAAGAATTGTATCTGGAGTATCAAAGGGAATGACAATGCATCATGTAGTCAATCATTTATGTTTAAAGATTTATATCTTAATTATAATAATATCTACCGTGCATTTGTATTGTGCAGTTTATTTTGTACTGGTTCCTTTTTTTGCATTTAGCCTTTTTTTTAAACATTTTGTACCATGTTTAGTTGTGATTATGAAGGAAGGCAAAGAAATGAGTCACAAATACGATGCTTTTTATCATTCCATTTATATTTACAATTTGTGTGTGAATACTGAGTGACAAATGGGGTTGTCAGCTCACTCACACAATAACATAATCCACTGAAAATATGATATTATATGTAAACAAATCCGTGTCTCTTGAACACAAAAAGCATTATTGTACCGGGAAAGGATTTATATTTCATTTCATATTTGTTAACACTTATAAAAACCATTTCAAACTTTTTTTTGTAAAATCTTTTGCTAATGCATTGTATCGTGTTTAGACATTTCTGAATTTTATTTGATAAATCTAATGAATGCTAATATGGCTAATAATGTCACAAATTTGTTGATGTATGTTTTATATGGAGATATATCCCACCTTTGTGCTGCTGTTGCTGTTGCATCAACATGCGAGTCAAAATCATTGGCACATATAGTTGCCGTATGTTTGTAATCGTTCGTGACAGCTTGTGGACAGAAAGATTCCAGATCTTGTTGATTATGGTAAAGAAATATTTAAAGCACTCATCAAGCAACAGTCAGTGAACTGGAAAAATTATGATCACACACCAGCTCATGAGCAAAAATCTATATAATATGCTGATTACTGATTGAATAGAGTGGGAAAATCCTTGGTTTGTACAAATTTTCTGTGTTTTCCTTGAATTCTCTTAATAGGACAGTGAAGCATTTTCAATATTTTCTTTGTCAGCTTCGCCTGGTGATCATATGTGTTGGAATTTCTGGCACCCTCCCTCCCCTAAAATATCTGGGACTTGAGCAAGTCTACTTCTAATATTAGATAAGAGTCAATATGCTTCATGTGATACTAACTAGTAGTAGCCTTACTCAAGCCCAAGTCTTTTGAAGGAGGAGGTCTATTCAAGCGTCTGTGCTCGGTACAGGAAGACGTTCCATTTATTTTTTCTTGTCTTTATTGGCACCAATATATATGACAGCACATTTTAACTATTAATAGTTTTAGGAGCTGGTGAATGCTGTCAGGAAATACTTCGTTTCGGATGGTAGTAGTGTGTTTGTTATGACATGAAACATGCATATGGTAGTTAACTTTATTTCTGGAGTAAGTATACCCTTCTTCGTGACAGTTAGTAGTGATTTTTTTCTATCTTCTTTATGCAATATTTGGGTGTGCAATAATGGGTTCAGGGTTTATTTTGAATGTAAGAAGAGAGAAACAATAAGAGATAGATAGGCAGAGAAATGAACAGGAAAATAGCACAAGTGGTCGGGCTAGAGTTTTAGCTTGGATATATGGTGAAGGTTGTGTAGTCAAGGCCAGGGACCACTTCAGACATTTCTAGTACAGGTAGTTTTAATTTACTTTAGTGAGAATCAAAAATGTAAGTGAGGTCAATTTCTCAAAGTCACAGCAGCTGTCAGACAGATATATGGATGTGCTGATAAAATAGTGTCGGAGAAGATGAGGAGAAAATAAAACACCATTTTAGAGTTTAGTATCGCTTATTCACAAAAATAATATGTGGTTAGTGTCCATTTTTGTTTCTGAAAACCTTCAGAAAGAATTCAGAATATATATCCCCTACATTTTTTGTCTTGCATTTCAGTGTTGAGTGATTTGTTTTGTTTATTTGTTTTCCTCCAATAATTCATTTTAAAATGAGCAGAATTGTATGGAGATGAGTATGTCGCTGTTTTTATATAAAAAATAATAATTGTGGTTTAAATTAGATATATATCTGTTTCTTATTTCTCTTCTGTATTTAAACTATTCTTGTGATTACAAAGATGAAGTGTTTAATATTTTTAAAAAAAGTGCTTTGATATGTACAATGACCAAAAATTGCATACCAGTGTACTTGGTATTTGTCATAATATTCATTTTCAACTTTTTTTAAATTTATTTTTCATATATTTCACTTTGTGCTAGTTAAGTTTTCTATCATAGTTTATTTTGTTTATTATATTGTCACATTTGTTTCACTGTTTCTGTTATATAGTAAACGATATAGTAAACGCTGTCAGTATGACTATCAAAAATATTACTGAAAGGTTGTATCACTGAAAAGTGAACGTGTTCCGGTTTGTTTGAAGAAAAAGTATTTAGAAGAGTTTTTAAAACTATGTTGCTTCTGCATATCCTGGTAGAAATGTTAAAGGTGGCACAAAAATAGTTTACTGGTATGATAAAATACAGTATTTGGACCGGAAGTTGGCCAACCTAATAAGCAGAGACTAAAATGCATTTTCGGAATTTTGTGACCAAAAAATAACCTGTTTCTTTCAGCCATGCATAGTCAACCGTATTTTATGCAGAGATACTGCAAACTAGCATTGATCAGCATTTCAGTTTCAGCCAGGCACGTCTGGTCTTCTCGATACGCATGTGCAGAATTTAGAAGAGATCAGCCTTTGTCCCGATCTGTGCTGGTTGTTCTTTCAAATTCAGCAGATAATTAGCTAAAGCAGCTATTACAATTTCACGACATTATGAGGTACTTGTAACAAACTGATGGCAAACATACTTAAGTCTAGTACCATTTCTAGCTGCAGTTGTACGAAAATTCTGTATCAAATATCAACAAAAATCAAATCAGTGAGTGTTGTTTCTCAGCAGTAGACAAATGCATGATACCCAGTAACTTTAATTTAATTGATCATGAAAAGTTCTTTTTTTACACAACCGATACAATTTTTTATGTGACGTTTCGATGACTAGTATGATATGATTTTATCGTAGTTGTCATCGAAACGTCACAAAGAAAACTGTATTGGTTGTGTAAAAAAGAACTTTTCATAATCAATACTTACCAACCTGAAGAAAATGTTAAGAAACTTTAATTTAGTATTGTCCGAGCGTTAACAATAGGTGTGTCATAATTATCTCATTGAGAAGCACTGTCAGATGTTGAGTACCAGTCTACAGGTTGGGAAATGAGAATATTAACTTATGAGAAATATATTAAATATATTTGCATCAGAGAAATAGAAACAATGATTGAAATAAAAGTCAGGTATACAATTACTTTGTGTGTGGTTCTTATTTGGTAGAGGGCAGCAGTTTCATTCAGGTTCCTGAGGTTGAAGTTACAGAATGTTTCAAGTTTAAAATGTTTTCAGGTTTTTGTGATCAGCTGATCTAATCTGAGGCCTGTTGGTGAGGAATTAGTGTAAATGCATTACATACAAATTGAAAATACCCGGCATATCTAAACACAGTTTTATGGTCGACTGAGCCGTCAATGCAAGCATCATGTCTTTCTACAAGTGTACTTTGGTACATACAATGTATTGAGGACCCAATGCTCCATTTTGATGCAATGGTGTTTATAGAAAACAATCAACCAGTATCTTTTTAGATGTATTTTTTTACATCTAACATTCAGCCATCTTACAACACTTTAATTAAAATACAATTAAGAAACGTTCTAGGTTTATATGAAATTAATTTGTTGTCAGCCTGAAAGTACTGCTGTACAATCGCATGATGATTGTACGTATAGACCGACAACTATAACAAGCGTTTTTACCAAAGACTGATTTTTACATGAAAAAGCAAACACATTTACAAGACCTGGGACAGTCTCTGTTGAATAAGTTTTTAAGCCCAAAATAACGTTTCAGTGCACGAGATGTTTCCCGTTGACGTGCAAGAAGGCAATCGGAGAGGTACATGCGACAAATTATCTATAAGTCAGTGGGGGGAAGAGACCATTGAAAGCCCTAGCTCTCATCCGTAACCGATGAAAAAATAGTTTTGGGCAACGATTTGAAGGTTTATATTTGTTCAGGACAGAGTCTTCAGTGCGATGCATGTAAAAGACCTCATCTCAGCAGATCCTAACCGTCTTACTCAAACAGCATTAATCAGTGTCTTCAAGTTATTTAAAACTAACTGTCACAACTAAGAAAAGCCATTCATTTCAATGTTAATCATTGTTACACACACACATTTGGAGCTGTTCGCATCAATACGTTTTACATTTAAACACTTTTATTACTTGCAAATTAGTGAAATATTTGAAGGTGGTGAAACTGCCTGCACTTTCGAGAAAAACCATTGAAGGCCAGATGACATCACAAATGTTTCTGCGCGACGTCATTCATGCATGTTTACAACAATGTTTAATTATAGGCATTTCAGTCAAATCTTCTGATGAACTGGTTCTTGGTGGCATTTTGATACATGCATATTTGGACGAATTGTTACCCGAAACCCTTACTAAAATATGTTCCGAATTTGCCTGCACTAACGTTATGTGAAATGGTTCCCTAGATTGCCATGTAACTATCTATTGAGATATATAATATAATTGAGAAATGATGATGCTTAAATATCACTCATGAAGTGTTGTATTAAATGTAACGGGAAGTCTTTTGTGTTTGTGTAAATGAATGTTAAACAATGATTATGTTCATATGCTTGACCTTCATACCTTATATATACCTCCTGTTGTAGAGTGTGACCTTCATACCTTATATATACCTCCCGTTGTAGTGTGTGACATTTACACCTTATATATACCTCCCGTTGTAGAGTGTGACATTTACACCTTATATATACCCCCCATTGTAGAGTGTGACCTTCATACATTATATATACCTCCTGTTGTAAAGTGTGACCTTCATACCTTATATTTACCCCCCGTTGTAGAGTGTGACCTTCATACCTTATATATACCCCCCGTTGTAGAGTGTGACCTTCATACCTTATATATACCTCCCGTTGTAGAGTGTGACCTTCATACATTATATATACCTCCTGTTGTAAAGTGTGACCTTCATACCTTATATATACCCCCCCCCGTTGTAGAGTGTGACCTTCATACCTTATATATACCCCCCGTTGTAAAGTGTGACCTTCATACCTTATATATACCCCCCGTTGTAAAGTGTGACCTTCACACCTCCTATATACCTTCCGTTATAACTTTGTAGCTGGTAGGGTTATTGGAATCAATGGTTCAATGCCGAGGGGCTTAATGCTATTTAGATGCGGCAATGTTTTTGCCGGTATGTGCAGGAAGACTTTCATTCTGTTAGGGAGCATTCAGATCACTAAATCAGTGAATGTTTCAAACTCATTGTTTTGCAAGACATATGCTGGATTAATTTTCAGAGAAATATCCTGGTCCCGCATTGGTAGATATTTGCCTCTTTATTTACAAAATTGCTCTACTGCTCAAAATCAGATTCCGTGTTCTAGATCAATTCCTAATTAAGGGGGAAAAGTACAAGTTCATCTATTATTTCCATTTTTGTAAGCATTTTGTTAAAATTTGTCCCCGAGTACCATTCCCATGGTTAGTTGGCTTGATAACATTACTTTGAGCATGAAAACAGTTTTATACCGGTATTCAGAACTTTTTTGTTTATCCCTAATAACTCTATATCACGATTACATGTATTTTACTGTGACATGCAGGACTTAATCAATTACTGATACATGTCGTGATACCAGAACGAGATGTTGACAGTCCGGGTGAAGAAATCCGTAACCACAGTATTCCAGTGAACAACAGAAAACAAGACAAACTCGTAGACTTGTATTTTTATTTTTGCAACCCTGCTGAACGCCATCATGGCTGTGTACAGGTTTAGTGGTACATGTTATTTAGGAATTTAAAAAAAGGATAAATATTTTCTTTTGATGATAAATGATAAACAACGTATGTAACGACATCACGATGACAAAAGAACATTTCTATAAACAACCAAGGTGAATTGTTGGTGCCATTTACATTTTACATAGAATCAGAAGTTATTTTTATCTTTAAATAAGTGAAGAATCTACATTTGTACTATTTATATTTAATTTCATGAGTATATCATCTCATTCCAATTCCTTATAAAACAGGAAACAAATATATATAATATGCATACATGCAAAATTTTAATAAAACTTTATGCAGAAAGACTTTGCGGAAAAATATCTTTAAGTGTCTGAAAGTTCTTACAACAAGCGAAATCTGACAAAAGAATCGTGTAAAATACCAAAGTTATTCAACGAACTGAATTTGAGCATAAATTGCTTGTAAGGAATTCTGTTATTTCAAACATTAAGAATGAGGGTGAAAAATCAAGAATGTCCTTTAATAAAAAAATGTGGCAAATATGTATAAATGAACCATGAACTTCACTCTAAATACATTTGAAGTTGTCTTGTATATACAGATTCTCTGATGTTAACTTACAGTTCACTTGAAATTGAAACACTTTTTGTAATGGCACTGGTCCCTATCCGATTCATGATAAAGATTCTGACATTTACGCTATCCAAGTCCATTGGCGAGATTCGACAAACAGATCTTCAGTAAAGCAGCTCACATAGAAATCTATATAAGTTTCTATACATAGTATGTGATATAGAAATGAGATTAATACAGTTAATTTATACCAATGTTTAAACTCAAATGTCACATCATGTATTTAACTATTTGATGAGGAAAACAATTCTTTTTTAATTATGCTTATGTTCGTGTACTAGAAAAACAAACAAATACGAAAATGATTTGTTCAACGATAACAAAGTGATATGAAGTAATCTGATAGTGCTACACATCTAAAGTTTGAACTGACAAGAAGAACGTCTGTAATTTAAATGTATTTGGCAAGATGTAGACACTACACGTTACATAGGACTTCTAAGGTATAACAGATAACATAGTCAACACTCTCCAGCTTTACAGGGTGATACAGCTAGTATAATACTGATTTCTCCTAGGTCTAGTCCATAATTACCGTACAGGAGGGGAGGAAGGATATTTGATTTCTCCTAGGTCTAGTCCATAATTATTGTACAGGAGGGGAGGAAGGATATTTAATCAAGATATATCCATGTTTCATATACAATGTATAAGCCTCGTGTCATTTCGAGTTTTCAAATATCAGGGTGATGTGTCTCTGAAAAGCTTCGATAGGATAAGTTTGAAATAGTTCATAACTCCATCCAATAGGATAAGTTTGATATAGTCCATAACTGTTTTCTTACAGAATACAGAAACTAGTGTTTGCCTACAACCTTGTGTCAGTATCACAGAGAACTTAAGGGTTTATTACTGGAAAGCAAAGAAAAATGTTTAGACAAGAATATTATTTGTAACAGAAAATGATTATAACTGTTGAATTTAATAATATATGTACAGTGAAAAATGTTTGGGAGAAGCAGGAAAAACTATGTACTTTGATAAAATATATGTTGAGTATAATATCTATGATTATGTTACAACTTTAAAAAAATGTATATATATATATGGATATATATATGAAAAAATGTGCAACTTATATGGAAACTATTCTGCATATGATTTCTTTAGGAGATATTCACTTTATGAAAACAAAAATGTTAAAAATATTTAGAAGCAACTTTTGCACACATAAAATTAATATACAGGGAAAAAAATCTACCTACACGTAGAATGAATTAACAATGATACGTTCAAAATGCTTTTCAGGATTTAATTAAAATGAAATTAGATATTACCATAGCATTGAATAAATCTGGTAAGTCTGGGCAATGTTGGTTTCCCACACACGTGGTACCTGCCGAGTTATCTCCCTTAGAACGTTTTGATTGACACCAGTCTGACCTAACTGCGTGTTATTGCAGTTCATTGTAACGCAACTTTCAACTGTATCATCAATAAATTAATTCACCGAGTCTGAATTATTGGAATGGAATTCCATGTACAGTGCATAGAATATAGTTCATGTTCATAATTTATTTTTTAATTCAAATGAGTAGATTTCTTTCGGAAAGAAGATGTTAGTAAAACAAAGTACTTTGTTTCCGAAATATAACACCCTTGACCTGATGAATATTTTTCTTTATCAAGGTCATATTTCAACAAGTTTCCACCAAACAAAATTCAATAAGGACACCACTACCAAGCTCAAACACGATGTAATTTTAATCAAATGACTTAGAAAGGTAGAGGTTTAGCATAGGGTTTTCTTTACACATGATTGTCAAAATTTTATCTGTCATGATTTTTATAGGTTTCTTTTCAAAATATATCTTGTGTCCATCAAAAAAAAAAGTTATTTCAAATCAATACAACCCTCACAACCGCCTACATAACATACCATGTACAAGGTCAATATAATTTGCATGGATATCAGTTCATATTTTAAATGTGTACCACAGACTTAAAATATTAGGAAAATATAATCCTGACTTAGTGATTTTTCAATCACTCTATAATATCTAAAGTACAATGTACCCATTAATGTTTTACCCAAACTCGTTGTCCATGAAGATTTGTGGCTGTAAGTACAATCATTATGAGTTGAAAACATTTATACTTGTGACAAATAAACATCTACACAACAAATATCAATATTGCACCAAGAAATCTCAATCACATCATACTGGCATGTTCACAACCATTCACTTGTAACATATTATCAGCTTTCACTTCAGAATGGTTTCTGTTAACAATAAAAAAATGTTTTCTTGTGGGTTTTTTTTTAAACCAATGAACAAAATTCATTTTTATGTATATATAGCACTCACATTATTTCGAATTCTCTATCAGATGAACAAGTGATCAGTCTACTGAACGAAAATTTACACACTGATTTTTAAAAGAAGCAATGAAAATGGGATGCAATATTTCACAACAAAGCAAAAGTCATTTTCAACCAACAGAACATTTCAATCAATGACTAGATCAATTTAAAAAGAATTTACATAGGAACACCCAATATGTCAATCTAGACATGAGTTGTTGTACGCAGAGTATGTAATGGGCAAGTGGATATTATTATAGAAATGCTGATTATTTAAGTCAATTGTTTGGCATTTTTTTTATATCAAATTAAGAAATCAAAGAAACACAAAAATACTAGGATTGATTCATGAATATTGAATGAATCAATTAAATGACTGACTTCAATTAGGCTTAAAATTTTGTACATTTATGTATAATTTCGGGATTATTAAATTATTTCATAACTGATCTTCCAACTCTTAATCTGTAAATGTTCACAAAAGTCATACCACAACAAAAAACTTCAAGTTGCCATTCAATCACAATTCTAGCCTCGTAAATACACATTTCACAGCATAATAATAATAAATCTTAATAAAAATTTCAAAAAATATCACAAGATTTTTTTTTGCAAAACAAAACTATATTGCATACTATTATTTGCCTACAAGACAATGTCATTTCATGTCTTACAATTCTTCCTTATAAATTCCTTCATAGCTATCTTAATATCATGAGTAAATTTAAACAGTATTAGCTTTCCTTCGTAAGGCAATGACTTCAATAAGCAAACAAACCTGAAAAAATATGAAATCTTCAGCTTCTTTTGGAACCGGTCACGATAAAGATTATGAAAGCATGTTGAAGCTCTGTTGATGGGATACATCAGTTATGTTTCCCATCAATTTTATGTTGGACTCACTGATCATGGTAAAGTCTTGACATTACTAGTACTGTCCAGATTGAAATATTTCTCCTTATATTTGAAATAAATCACAGTCCAACTTATAGCTACAATTCAAACAATATGTCACAAGAACTTTTTCTTTATATCTGTTAAGTTTTATAGTTGTACATTTTACAGATTCAAAACAGAGATTACATATATAGTTTCATTATATAATGAATGCTGACAATATAAATGAAGTGATTTGTAACTGAGAGAAAAAACAATGTTTTTATAATATCGATGTGTGTATATGGCACAGGTGAAGCATAAAATTACAAACGAACATCTCCAACTGATTCACATATTGTTGAAATGTGAAACATTATCCTTCACATTTTCATATGCAGATCGTTAGAAAAAAAATCACATGTTCATCATTTCACATTTCAAGCATGTAGAAGTTTCACATTTTCCCCCCTTGCAGCACGTCTCACATTTTGTCGCTTTTTCTTCCTTGACACCAACAGTCAAACAATCACACACACTATATTATTGCTGTTGTACATGGCTAGGCACTGACCTTGGCAATGTCTATACATGGTAAGCACTATCTCTCTGATAGCCATCCATTCTGAATGTCTTCAATTTTATGAATCTTTTTCAATTTCAATGAAATTAAAATCATATAAAATCTTTTTCAGTGTAGTGCAATCCCTGAAATTTGTTCACAGTGAGGTTCAATCTGAAATTGAACACATAAGATCCATTTCTCTCAAAAAAGGCTACCTGTAGCCTTCCATTTGAGCACATCGTGACCAGCATCTGTGCTATGAGTGGTATCTTTGTTTCTTTGTTGTGAACTTTGATCCACACTTCCAGTTAGTTAAAGTTTTACGGAAGGTGTGGTCCTCTGTTACGTTGGGGTGATGGATCATATGAGTCTTGTGTTTTTCAGATACTGTATGAGTGTCTTGTGTATGAAGTTGTACTGTCCGACAGTCTGAACCAGGTACATGCGTTGCTGTCGAATGGATCCCAGGGCTTTCTGTAGATCTATATCCTACAATGAAATAACAGAGATTTTATAAACATTGAGTTCAGCAATGTGATTGTCCTCACTTCGGGATTGCATCTTGTTTTACAGAATTGATTATATATGAGGATCAGGAGGCACTTTATCTGATATTGTTGTATAGATGATAGGGAAATACTTATTGTTATTACATTACCAGCTTAAACAGGGAATATATATATCAGGTTACCAGACAAATTTGTCATGCTAAGCATATTTTGATGTATCAGATTGACATGTGAAATCACAAATTTCCGTGTTTTTTTTTTAATTTCATTGATTTTGTGGATAATCTTCATCCACGAATTCATAGGTCCACAAGCTTGACATATTTGTCATCCACAAACTCATGTACCCACAAGATGGTAGATAATCGGGAAACCATGAAATTTGAGCCCCACAAAAATATGATTTCACAGTATTAGAGTTCCAGGTTTGCTATATTATTTCAACTCATAATACAAAACCATCACCTCATAGGACAAAAGCAGTCAAGAACCTGAAGTCTAAGATTGCCTCTACATCCCACAATAAATGAGTAAAACTCCCCCCTGTCTATCCATCCTGACTTCTACCCACTGTAAGTGAGTTATGCTAGCCTCCCAGACCACCATGGCTGAGTACTTACATGGTTGTGTTCCAGACACCACTTCATCACTTGTGTGAGGATGACCACACCAGTACGCCCCACCCCAGCACTACAGTGGACGAGGATCGGCAACTTCTTCCCACTACCCTCCTCGCTCTCTGCCAGTCTCTGTACCGACTCTACTTCATCCAGGAATCCTGCACATATAAACAGTTATCACAATTATTATGGTCTTATTACAGGAAAATGAAGGCAGAAAGGTCCAAAAATATACTTGGACTTCACCAAATAGAACTTCAATGGTTTAATGCTTTCAACTGTGTTACAGAGTGTTATCCCTTTCTCCTGGAACTTCTGACAAACTCTCAGAATAAAACATAATTGACACATTGTTCTTCAATCCTCATGTTTTTTTTCTTCCAGAAGTCAAGACTCCCATTCAAAATAACAAAATGGAAGGCTGTCCGGAAATTATAATTAAGTATATTACAAAGTTTTTATGGATGACTGTCGGGTATTTTCCGGAATTCAAAATGATTGATTTCAACCCTCCTGACCAATGATGGTATAATGTATATAACAAGTTTATACTTGGCTGTATAGGTGTTACTACACGTAAGGATTGAACGACATTTTTTTCAATTTTATGCCGGTATGAATGCAAATTGGTTACCAAAATGTTTGCTTCCAAGGGTTGTGTCATGTTATTCGAGGTGGAAGGAGAAGCTTACAAATGATGCTGATCGAATTGCGTTCATAGCTTTTATAATTGGTTTGGTTAAGTATTGTTTAACGTCCTATCAACAGCTATGGTCATTTAAGTACGGCCTTCCCTGTGTGCAAGATGCATGCGGAAGTGTATGCTTGTGTTTTGGGAGGCTGCGATATGTTCATGTTTGTCTTCTTGTGATAGCACGGAACTGATGCCGACTTTATAGTGCTACCTCACTGAAACATACTGCCGAAGACACCCAGCAGGACACCCCATCCGGTCACATTATACGGACAAAGGGCGAACCTGTCGTCCTACTCCTAAATTGCTGAGCGTTATGCAGGAGTAGAAACTACCATTTTTTACAGACTCTGGTATTATGTCTCGGCCAGGGGACAGAACCCTAAGCCTTCCTCATAGCTTTTGATTTCTTTCAAGTGATGCTTATAGAGGAAATTGCAGTGGAAATGCAAATATATGTTGATGATGATCTGTAGCTGTTGTATCAAACAATTAACAGAATCAAAAATTCATGGTTTCATACGAGATAATACAGCAAAGTTCATATTCCAGCAAAACTTTCTGGCGACACAACAAGCAATAATTCACCTGATCTTGATGAGTAGGGTATTTTGTTACAGCAATTTTTGGCAGTAATTTTTAGATCCTCTTCAATGTCTTATCATGCAACATATATTCCACACAGTCAAGAAGATGCTCTAGACGTCAAGGTCAACTGGTTCACCTTGACCAAGAGAAGTAAATGCTCACCCAAGAAGCCGTACATATCCTCAGGACAGCCGTGGTCCGGCCAGTCGGTGTACTGGAGGTGCCACAGCTGGCGCTCCTTCTTTGTGGGCAGGTGGACCACAGAGATTCTGTTTGTCACATAGCACAGGGAGTCGTTACAGAACATCAGGGTCACCTCAAACTGTAAAACAAAGTACAGGGTCATCTCAAACTGTAAAACAAAGTACAGGGTCATCTCAAACTGTAAAACAAAGTACAGGGTCATCTCAAACTGTAAAACAAAGTACAGGGTCATCTCAAACTGTAAAACAAAGTACAGGGTCATCTCAAACTGTAAAACAAAGTACAGGGTCATCTCAAACTGTAAAACAAAGTACAGGGTCATCTCAAACTGTAAAACAAAGTACAGGGTCATCTCAAACTGTAAAACAAAGTACAGGGTCATCTCAAACTGTAAAACAAAGTACAGGGTCATCTCAAACTGTAAAACAAAGTACAGGGTCATCTCAAACTTTAAACAAAGTACAGGGTCATCCCAAACTGTAAAACAAGTATAGGGTCATCTCAAACTGTAATACAACCAAAAGGGTCATCTCAAAGAGGAACACAACATATATATGTTTGAACTGATGTGTGTAGATAATAATTTTGTGTATGATTTGATATCAATTGTATTCAATCATCAGGAGAGTACAAAGGGGGAATCTAGCTTCTTACTGCATGAGTAGCTATAGCATAATGAAGGCCATTCGACTTGATATAGAGTTAAATAGGGAAATTCTCGTTGCAATATCTATCATTCCTATCCCAATTCCACCAATTCAATAAAAAAAACACTGAAAACTGTGATCTGAAAATACCAATGGAGTTCTACAAAAAACGTCCCAATTTTCATTCCAATAGCAAATAACACCGACTTTTGCAGATCATATGTAAGTTTAGAATTTTGAGCCAATCAATGTTATTGTAACAGGCACTAAAACACAATTTGGAATTATATCAAAGTGGTTGACCATGAAGCCCCTTCTTACATACAGATTTATTAGTACATATCACACAGTTATGCACTGGGCTAGTCAGGAAATGCCTAGTGTTTACAAACAAATGACATATGCTTCCCTAAAAAGCCTACCACCTACCTGGCCAAAGATGATCTTGTGTTCCGGTCCAATCTCCTGGGGCCAGTACTCATAGCACTTCCTCTTTCCCAGCTCCTGGAAGCAGATCATAGTGAAAATAGATTCAGGTTTTGTCCGTTAGTTACTCCTAGAGGTTGGTATATTTTATATTTTTAACAAGTCCATAAGTCTACATGCAATAAGCACACACTTTATATCTGAAATGTTATACCTCCAAGTCATATCCTGAAATATCAACCACTAGGACCATTTTTCAGAAAAATATGACCATAGTCACAATGAACATTTTTCAGCGAGATGCTTGCCATAATGAACATATTTCAATAATAACAAACAAGAACATACCACAACGGCAGTAAGCATGGCGATCACATCCACTTCCTGTTCCCAGACCATCTGCCAAAAGTCAACGGCCGTGTTTGACATGGGCGCCTGTGTAGCTATATACCACCACACTCGGTCATCTACTGGCAGCTGCAACAAGGTCAAACAAGGTCATAAAGGTCAACAAAGGTCAATCATTTATAAAGTAACAAAATGAAATAAACAAATATTAAATATATTGAAATGACATAACAAAACTCCTACAGTAAAGATCGATAGACCTGTAAACAAGGCCAGGCAGGATTAAATGAGGTCAAAGGTTGGAATAAATCAACAAATTTCATACAACTATGTGCATAGAATTTGACCATTTTATTACCATTGATGATATTTTCTGAAAGATTTTTGGCTGATTGTGTGATGTAATCATACAAAAATCATGAGTAACGTTTTTTGCAAAAACCAGTCTAGTTTTCATTCGTACACCAGCTAGACGGGGATGCCATACCTTTACATGTGATGCGTTTATATATCCGGATGGGTTGTCTTTCCTGGGACTGATTTTCACCCTGGTGCTGTCGTAGGGGAGCACATCGCGGAAACGATTACGAGATTCATTTTCGGTGAGTTTAGCACTTTGACATTCCATAGATGGCACCTTTTTGGGAATTTCTTCAAATTCTTTAAATACGAGATTCTCTGACAGTTTTGTTTCTAGTAGCTTCCTCTGAAAAGAAGAACCACATTGATTTTAGATAAGTATATATTCACCACTTCATGCCATATCCAAACATAGGTAAAGCTACATTTTGTCCAAATTGTGCCGAAATTCAAGTGCTCGGTAATGCTTCTCACTTCAATTTGCTTGAAATGATAAGGAAATTACACAATACACTGTTATCATACTGATTACCACATCATTTAGTACAGTAGCTAAAGCATCAAAAGTGACTTAAATAAGACTACTGGTAAAAATGTACATTCACAGTACTTTAAAAAAAAGATTTCCTGTTTATTTATAATTACAAGATGTAGTTTGGAGCATTTTTAATTCGAAATCTTGGACAGCTTAAAAAAGAATGTCCTCATATATTCTAGTATAAACAGATGGCTAATTTAGCAATCTCAAGTCTAGGGTAAATATTTCATTCAGTATTACAGGACAATAATCATGTCTTGGGCAGGGCAGTTCATCATACCCGTTCGTCCTTCGGAGCTCTGCTCTCATCGTTCATCAGGGCTAGCACCATTGGCCGTGACAATGTCAGACCATTGAGAGCGGCCATCTTTAGTGGACCAATGCGTCGTTTAATTCCCTCCTGTAAATATGGACGTGAAATGTTTACAAAAGATTGCCAAAGGATACGACATAAAAATGTCTTTCTAAAAAGTTTTTTGCATTATGATTTTATACTACCGGTAGATTCGTGGTTGAAAGTGTTTCGACATAAACAAGCATGCATCAATTCAAATGAAAATATTGGTAAAAAAAGTATCATGAATAACTTACAATATTTTTTTTTTCATATTTTCAGTCAATAGATCCATTAAGAATGACAGATCGTTTCATCGGATCTGATTTAAATTTTCGCACAATACAATTTTCTTCAAAACATTTCCCGATTTTTGCAAGGCACACTTACCTCCTCTGGGTCAGAATCACTGAGGTAGTCCTTATTGAATTCCTCTTCTCTCTCCGTTAGTTCCTTTATCTTTTTCACTGTCTCTTCCCTCATGTAATTGCCCACCGGGGGTACGAAGCTCAAGCTTAGGAAGGAGTCAGGATCTCCACCAGGGGAGCTCCTCTCAGTCATTGACACTGAACTACCACCAGACACACTACTCGAATGAGATTGTATGGAAGAAGTCCTTTCAACTTTCGACTGGTTAGATGCTTTCCTTTCTAAAGTTGATTGCAATTTTGATTGATTGGATGATTTTCTTTCTAATGTTGACTGACCTTTCGATTGGTTGGATGCTTTTCTCTCTAGCGTTGACTGGCCTTTCGATTGGCTAGAGGATTTTCTTTCTAATGTTGACTGGCCTTTCGATTGGCTGGAAGATTTTCTTTCTAACGTTGACTGGCCTTTCGTTTGGCTGAGTCTATTTCTCTCTAAACTCGATTGGATGGAAGTCTTTCTTTCTAACTTTGATTGGAATGACAAATTTCTATCAACTTTAGCCTTTTCTAATTTCAATGCATCAAGATCAATGTCTGCCTGCTCAGGAATAACGTCATTTTCTGATTTAACATTTGATCCGATAGCCCCTGATGCCCCCGCCTGTTCCTCACCACATAGGGCAGGGGGATTGAGTTGACCAGTGGTCCGAGCAATCATCATCCTTCGAAAACTTTCCCTCCGTGTGACCACTTCCTTGGATGTTGAGGGCGGGGGAGCTTTACTTGGGGCCACATATTTTATCTGTATTTGTGACTTACTGCCTTCTCGCTTTAAAGTCCTGTCCCCCCCACCATCCTCTACTTCACTGTCCGTATCACGGGCGTGGAATGTCGCGCCTGAGTGGTCACTGGAAGCGTCATCATTGTCCACGGGGCTGGACCCCTCGTTCAGCTCAACCTGATCGATGGCTATCTGAGTTGTAGTGTCCAGTCTGGTTGGATCCATCACAACATTTTGACCTTGCTTTGGAACAACATCGGCCAAATTTTCCACACTTTTATCAAGATTCGACTGGAGTGCCAGAGCAGACATACCCAAATTCTTCCGTGACACTAAATCAGGACTATCACCAATGTTGTTGGCACGGCTGGTCTGCACAGCCAGATCTGGACTACTACTACTGGCCCTGGGGTATGGAGGAGGAGGTTTGTACTGAAAGGGAAGGGGCTCATTCAACCCATTGTCTGTACTATACTGGGGCAGCTGCCCCTGGGAGTTGAGCTCCGGTGTGCTGTATGTAGTCTGCATAATGAGATTACTCTCTGGTCGGTACTGCTGGAGGTAGTTGGCCTTCTCCTCTTGAAACACATTGGCATACATAGTGCTATTGCTGTAGTTTTGGATTGTTGTACTATTGACATAATCGTTTTCTGGAGGACCATACTGAGACATTTCAGACGTTACGTGTTGATGGGGGAAAGACATCCCATCACCTTGTTGTCCAGTATATTGTAAACCCTCGCTGGGCTGACCGGAGAATTGCATTGTCTCCCCTTGTTGGCCGGTATATGAAATTGTCTCCCCTTGTTGGCCAGTATATGAAATGGTCTCCCCTGGTTGGCCAGTGTATGAAATGGTCTCCCCTTGTTGACCAGTGTATGAAATTGTCTCTCCTTGCTGACTGGAGTACGAAATTGTCTCCCCCTGTTGCTGTTGTCCGTACATCTGTGTGTTGTTCTGTATTTGCTGCGGCTGGTTGACTCTCTGTCTCATCACTGTATCGTAGGATGGACTTGGTCGGTACGCGGGAAGTGCCGCTGCCCTGCTGGCATAGGACGGGTCCATGCGGGGTGGCTGTGGGGGCGTTTGTGGTGGATGCAAAGGCTGGTGTTGCATTATGGGACTATACATGCGACCGTTCATCATGACGCCTCCGTCAGGAAACACGTGCGGTTGTTGTTGTTGTGGTAACTCATGACTGCCTGTAGTCTCCAGGGACTGTTGAGACTGGCGGTAGTAGTCCTCTGAGGCCGTCGACTGGGACAACTCTGGAAAACAATCAAAGTAAAAACTGTAACGACACATGAAATATGAAGTATTCATCAGAGTCAAATAGACATACCTACTGACCTTATTATTGCTTGAACATTGTAACAGTGCAACGACTTTCAGCTATTTCCCTGAATAATCATTGGTTTGAAAATATTTTGTTTTACCCCAGTCTCACCAGAGTTGCTCACATTGACAGAGTGGCTTGTCCAATGATCACACTGACATGACAAATATCAAATTTACAGCACACAAGCAAATCGAATGCAAAATATCAACCGGACACTGAAAATGGAGATTTTGCGACCTGATGTGGATGTACACTTACCTTGCTCGAAGCGAGTGTCCTGGGACTGCTGTGACTGATGGGAATGTTGCGAGTACGTCAACGAGGTCTGTGACTGGGTCTGTGTTACAAAAACATCATCATTAGCTTTTCTTTGTACAGAATTTCATTCAATTAACATGATTAATAAAAAAGGTTTTACAGAGAAATTTTATTATAAATTGGATGCATTTAATCCAGGCCCTTTATGTTAAGTATATTGGCCTTACAAACAAATATTTTTCTCAAAATCGTTTTTGTGCTGGGTGTGCAAATTATGCAAATCTTCTGCTTTTTTTCTTTACATATATTTGAAAGAAGAAATCATAGTGCAACACTTCCGTCAAAATGGTTACTCCTACTGCAACCTAATATTACTCTTACCCCAAATACCAGTGTTTGTTTTTCAAAACTGAAGATTTCTAACGCCCTGATGACTTACCAGTTGGTCTGAGAAATCAGCCGGGGTCGGCATGCTTTGTTGTAAATCCCTGTGAAGAGAAGGAAACTTGAATTTATAAGCCATTTAAACCAAGACAAAAGTCTTCTTACAAGCGACAAAGATCTCATGTTTATTTAAGATTTTATTCATGATCAGAAATACAACCCACACTCAGAAAATTTACAAGATGATACATGTTCATTTTGCAGGGACAATCGTTTCGAGATGATCACAGTTGCCCAAAAATTTATTCTTTGGCTATCGTAATAATTTTGAACTACCTGATCCTTTGTATAATGTAACGAGTATAAAGATTACAAATAAATGAATTCATATTTATCTAAAGTAGCTTCTTCAATTTAGAAAAAAAAACAGCAGTAAAAGAACAGTCATTTGTGTCTAATTGTTATAATATATTCATCGATTCTAATGGAAATCCAAATAAGGACATGTTTTATCATCAGAACTGTTATTCATCACCAGGAAGGAAAACTTATTACATTAATGTGTGGAATTAAGTACTGCAAAAGGGAAAAGATTTCTATCTATTTTATTTTTGCCAAAGCCATGAACTGACAAGGGATCCTGCTGAAACAGATTTTTCTTTAATCTTTGTAGTGTAAGAAAGGGAAAAATCACAGCTTCTCTTATACTGAGGGTATTTATGAAATATCATTGTATGTCATCATAATCAAAAAGAAATTTTACACCAAGAAAGAAATTTAATTTAGAATGTATGAAATTTAATACATTTGTCACTATTTCACACATAAAACCCATAAAAAAAATGAAAATTCAAAGTTAAGATGAATTCAAAATTCCTCATGCAAGTTCAGGCAAAAAGTTCCCATAAGGCCCACCAAAATATTTGTGTTTCTGCTTTCAAGTTTCTGATTTTGATCCTTAATCTATTTAATTGTATGTGTGTATGAACCAATATTCACATCAACTTTATGCCATATAAGCATAGTTTGCCTTTAAAAATTAAGAAAACCAAACAGCATAAAATGTGGTACATGTATATATATGCTTTAGGGTTGGTCAGAGAAGCAGGAACAAAGATGTTTTGTGGGCCTAAGCTGCTGTATCAAAGCCTAGGTTCATGCATGTCATTAACCTGATAATGAAGTTTGAACTTATTATTTTACAGTAATCAACCATATATACATGCCCTTAATTAATTCATCTGTTAATTATAACTGTCATGCTTCCACATCATGCATATATTGAAAATCTTAAGCATGCTCAATTTATTTATGCAAAAGTTCAAACAATGCTCAAATATTACGTAATAATGTAGAAAAAAAGAGAGGTTCAACACCGACAGCAGTTTGCACCAGGATGACTTAAGAGACTAAGATTTAACTCAGACAGCTGACTTTACACAGAAGACTATGATTTAACTCAGACAGCTGACTTTACCCAAAAGACAAAGATTTAATCCAGACAGCTGACTTTACAGATTATTTTTTTTAGATTCAATTCAGACATCTGAAATTACACAGAAAACTTAGATTCAATTCAGACTGCTGACTTAACGCAATAGACTAAGATTTATTCCAGACGGCTGACTTAACATAGAAGACTTAGACTCTATTCAGACAGCTGACTTTACACAGAAGACTTAGACTAAATTCAGACAGCTGACTTTACACAGAAGACTGAGAGATTTATTCCAGACAGCTGACTTTACATAGAAGACTTAAGACTCAATTCAGACAGCTGACTTTACACAGAAGACAAAGATTTAACTCAGACAGTTGACTTTACACAGAAGACTAATATTTAACTCAGACAGCTGACTTTACACAGAAGACTTAGACTCAATTCAGACAGCTGAATTTACACGGAAGACTTAGACTCAATTCAGACAGCTGACTTTACACAGAAGATAAAGATTTAACTCAGACAGCTGACTTTACACAGAAGACTGAGAGATTTAATTCAGAAAGCTGACAGTAAAGATGTTGGACTGATGCAACTGTTTTTATTGGTGTTTAGTATGCACATGTTAGGTAGTAAGTAAGTAACTAAGATACTATATAGTAGATAGAGAATATGAAGTGGCGCCGAGTGCTATATAATACCTGTGGTAAGACCATGGCCAGATATATGCCAACCTTTCTCATTTTTGCTCATTGCATTTTGTCAATACATTTGTGTATATTATTTCTGCATTTTTGACAATACTTTGTGTATATTATTTCATCATTTTGAAGGTGTTCACTAAATATAATTATTGTTCTAAGTGATGAACAGATATTAAAATTTCCATGCAAAATATTTTCAAAAACAAGAAAAATCTTTACTTTATTTTTTTTTATTTAAACAATTACCTAATTGGGATTTTCTTAACACAAGAGGTTAATTTTGTAATGTCATGGAAAATCTGGATACATCTTAATTAAATTGAAATTGAAATGAAGAAATATGGACTTCATATACAATTTATCATTCAAAATGAAACTGAAAGAATATCAAAAATGCATATTAAAGAAAAAGCTTACTTTGAGCAAACTTAACAGGCAACTGAATTTTCTCCCCACAAAGTCAGAACAAATATTCATTTTACCTCCAGGCTGTAGACTAGGCCCAGATGTTATCACAGGTAGAAAGGAGTGAGTAGGTTAGTAACTACATATTAAGGATAATGCTTACAACATGACATTGCCATCAGACTCGGGGAACTCATTCACATCTACCATACTCGAGCTGCAATGGAAAACATGCATCAGACGAGGGGGTGTGGTCACGGACCGATGTCAACATCAGGTCGAACAATGTGTGTGGGGATAACATAAAACTATCACATGACATCAGGGGGTGTGGTCACGGACCGATGTCAACATCAGGTCGAACAATGTGTGTGGGGACAACATAAAACTATCGCATGACATCAGGAGGCGTGGCCAGTACGCATCACACACAAGTGAACAGGTAAGACACAGGTGAAATTGTCAGATTTACTTTAAATTACACAATCTGTTATATATTGTTATTATTTATAACATAACTCCTGAAAATCCATAAAAAAATCTTTTTATCACTTCTATAACTTATTTTTTCAAAAGTTCATTTCATTCATGAAGACTTAAATTAGCAAAAAGAACATGGCCTCCATTTAATTATTTCCGAATAAATATTCAAGAATTTGTGACAGATTCTTCGGGTGAATTGGCATGTAAATGTGTGTAATGACACACTTTTCAGTATCATCAGTGTAAGGGGATTACACTTAAAACGTCAGGTAATCACAGTGGAAAGTATTGGTACCACTTCACATTCTACATCAGCTTTCAGCTTAGTTTAATAAGAATAGACGATTTAAAAAAATCTTTAGCTGCCTTTAAAAGTTACGTCTGAGTGAACCATCAGAGATCTTTTTTTTTTCAGATAGGGGCAAAACATTTTAAGAGAAGTGACTCTTAGTCTGTATAATTATATTTCACCTTTTATTATTTTTTCCATATGAACAATTTTTCCTAAAAATACACTATCACTATATCCATTCCTCATGAAATCTATTTTTAACCGTGACCTAATTTGATTACGAGAGGATTTTAAATGAGCTCCACCCTATACCTCCACTCCCACCCTTGTTATGTAATCACTGTATTATTTGTCCGTTCTGTAAATGCCACGTGTAGGATGACCAGTAATGCCAGTGTAAATATTGATACAAAATATACAAATAAATAAACATCACACCAGTCAGTACGATTGGAGTATGACTCATGCGTAACACATGCATGTACATATATATATACAAAACAGGGTACACAGGTAATGAATGAAACTGACTGACAACATTCAAAATTGTGGGCAATCCTATACAACTATCTATACATAAAATGTTCAACTAACTTTAGATTTCTAATACAAATGTAGTACCTTCAGGAAAAGACGATCAAAAATTGTATCAGATTACTGTCCAGGTACAAACATCACAATCAATAAAGAACTTTTAAGATGAGCACAATAGAAGAAAATACCAACAATTTTGTGCCTAAATCTACACTGAAATTTCACTTGAATTATTAAGCATGCCTAAATGATTTTTTCTCCAGACATTCTTCGTTCGCACACAATTCACATATACCATTTTAGCAGAATACCTAATGATGGTTTGTAAACTAACACAACATTTCTGATGAGGTCAGATTTCAACCCCTGTACCTGTGGAGATTACCCAATACAGCTATGCTAAGGGTATCATAATGGCCATCTTTTCCTGAAGATTCTACACTTTTCTTTCTTTACATCTACTTTTCGTGAAATGTAACACATCAGTATGTAGAAGTGTGTATTGACATTAGTGGAGGGTACACATACTGTGATTCAGTATGTAGAGGTGTGTATTGACATTAGTGGAGGGGATACAAATACTGTGATTCAGTATGTAGAAGTGGGTATTGACATTAGTGGAGGGGATACACATACTGTGATTCAGTATGTGGAAGTGTGTATTGACATTAGTGGAGGGCATACACATACTGTGATTCAGTATGTGGAAGTGTGTATTGACATTAGTGGAGGGTACACATTCTGTGATTCAGTATGTAGAAGTGTGGATTGACATTAGTGGAGGGTATACACATCCTGTGATTCAGTATCAGGTATGTCATACAATGACACAGCAATCTATTTTGGCAGAATGTTTTTGTTTCCAAAATACAAAATCTGAAGAAATTACAAATTTTCCAATTAATGAAAATGACAAATTCTTTTTAAGTTTTTGAAAGATTTTCTAGAGCTGGAAAACATGTTTTCACAGATCATGGTCAACTGTGTAATTAAACAAGATATAAGTGAATGCGGATATTTATGAATACATGCCAGAGGTCAATATCTACATGTATGTGATAAATACATATCTATATTATAATTCACTGAAGATGCATTCACTTATATCTTGTTTAATTACACAGTTGACCATGATCTGTGAAAACATGTTTTCCAGCTCTAGAAAATCTTTCAAAAACTTAAAAAGAATTTGTCATTTTCATTAATTGGAAAATTTGTAATTTCTTCAGATTTTGTATTTTGGAAACAAAAACATTCTGCCAAAATAGATTGTTGTGTCATTGTATGACATACCTGATTGTGAATCACAGTATGTGTATTCCCTCCACTAATGTCAATACACACTTCTAGATACTGAATCACAGTAAGTGTATACCCTCCACTAATGTCAATCCACACTTCTACATACTGAATCACAGTATTTGTATCCCCTCCACTAATGTCAATACACCCTTCTACATACTGAATCACAGTATGTATCCCCTCCACTAATGTCAATACCCACTTCTACATACTGAATCACAGTATGTAGAAGTGTGTATTGACATTAGTGGAGGGTATACACATACTGTGATTCAGTATCAGGTATGTCATACAATGACACAGCAATCTATTTTGGCAGAATGTTTTTGTTTCCAAAATACAAAATCTGAAGAAATTACAAATTTTCCAATTAATGAAAATGACAAATTCTTTTTAAGTTTTTGAAAGATTTTCTAGAGCTGGAAAACATGTTTTCACAGATCATGGTCAACTGTGTAATTAAACAAGATATAAGTGAATGCGGATATTTATGAATACATGCCAGAGGTCAATATCTACATGTATGTGATAAATACATATCTATATTATAATTCACTGAAGATGCATTACGAAAATCATTTTTTCATAAGACATTACTGTATAGGTGTAGCTAATGTATACATCACATGTAAACGTGAAAATTGAATATGTGTGTTGAAGTTCACTAGAGCATTCTATCATCGGTGATGTCATACACAACAGCTGATATGGCGAAAGTAAAATAAGTGCAGGTGAAACCGTAAAATATCAATTCAACATGTGACCTATACTGACAAATCAGAAGCTTGCACTATGATAAAGTGACACATACCTCGGGGTACCCTTGTTAGCCCTATAGAATTTCTGTTGTAAGGAACCCAACCTTCGGAAGTACTTAGCTGTCTCGGAATCTTCCTATAATGAAATTCAGAATACGTTGAAAACTTAAAACATTCTCTAGGTCCTACAAAAATACAGTGAAACATAGTTATTGTAAAATGTTACACATTTGCCTTTTTTTCTGACTTTTATCATCGAGCATAAAATCAAATTTAAGACCAGAAAACAAAATTATTATATAGCTATCAGTCAGTTAAGTACAGTTAATATGTCAACTCAACCTGGGGCTAACTAGTGTTAAAAGATAATAAGACATTGCAGTGAAAAACATATTTGACAATATTACTGTTTTGGTATTTTTTATGGCAAATTCGAAAATTCAAATTTTTAAAAATTTAGTTCTTTTCCCAAACTAGTCTGTACAATTCTTGAGACATGAACATTGCGATCAGTGAAAAATTGAAAACAATGCTTGGTGATAAAGGCTGACATAGTTATTACATACCATGTGATATTGACAGGAGGACTTGGACGTGTCAACCTCTACAGTTTTCTTACTCTGGGTCAAACGAGCAATTTCTGACCACCTGAAATTAAGACAAAGACATGAGAAATTGAGCAAGCTGATTGTCCATTGTTGCTTTAAACCTTTCATCCCTATGTAACTTTAATAGACTCTACCATGCATTGATATGGATGAGTACATTGTGGTCTACAGTGGTGAAAGGGTTAAATACATCAATGCATGCACCCTACCAGTAATATTTTACATCTCATCACAAATTTAACCATTTTCTAAACCTCCTTTCCTCCCAAAATCATAACTTCACTACTTTGACAGATCTGAAGCCCTGGCATTGGAGATACCACCAAACATAACTAACAGTGACATATTTGTTTTGCATCAATTTTGACATTACTGTAAAACAATGGTTTAGAACTTGAAGTTTATATAAGAAATTATATAACAAATGGATAAATTTTATTACAGCATACATCCAGTCATCGAATCATATCTAACATGGTAAATGTTCAACCCTTGTTAATAAAGACCCCCTTTTTTTTACAGATGAAAGTGACAGGTTTGCGAAGTACATTTGGATTACTGGAACACTATTGAAAACAAAATGGTAAATATGTTGACTGGATAGTAAACACATGGTGGGTGGACAAAGAGGCCGTACACAGAAGAGTATGTACCAGGTAAGTATATTTACCTGAAGAATATGGCAGGTTGAGCATCCAGGTAACGAGCAAAAATTCCCAGGTAGGACGTTCCCAGGTAGAGCTCTTTTCCTTTCTCATCCTGTGTACAGAGAGAAAAAAGTGATAAATTATTGTTAATTCAATTTAATTCACAGAAAGTCCTTTTAATCTTTTTCCTTTATAAACAATTACATAATTTGTACAGATTTAAAACAATTATACGAACGACCTTCAGTAACCTTAATCACATTTATGACCCTTATACGACCCTTGTTCACGACCTTTACCTTGGCTGTGTAGTACTCCATGCCGTATCCGTCCATCATCTGTATCTCCTTGATATACTGCATTTCCGCCTTGAAGGGATGCACGCCCTGGAGACTGATGTAGCCGCTCAGAGTCTCGTTCATCATCTCGGCCATGACTGTGTCGTCCTTACACATTGTCTTAGGGAACAGGTTGTTATCCTTGAAGTAGTCCTGGGCGTTCTTGTCGTAATCGTGGTCACCAAACTCCGCTGAATGGTAGAGACACACATTATTATGTTGGTTTCAATGAGTATTGATGGAATGGTTCAATGGAAATTTGAGAGGGTTGAATCACGGAATTAGATTATCCGTTATAATTTGTTATATAAGTCCGTGGTTGAATTACTTAATGTAAACGGATATTTTCGCTAATTTTTATCATTTCTAGTAAACTGATATTTTGTTTAGAAACAGAATTTCACCAGTTCCATGAGGATACTGTCTTTTATCCCCTTTAAACTGCAACACCCAAACTTTAGACAGCCAAAAATGTGAGCCATATTAATGTCAACTAAACAGTACAAAACCTATATGTACTGTAATTAGAAGGTTTGTACCCCCACTGTTTTACCTTGCAGACAGAAGGCCGCTAGCCGAACCACCTGGTCCAAGACGATCGGTATACGCCCCTCCACAATGTCCATCTTCAGCTGCAGGAAGTAGTTATATCTGTAGAAGACAATCAAAGTTTGACGAAATGATTTCAAGAGGAAAGTGGATGTCCATAAGTGATAAAATTACCAACGGCTGTAGCACTTAATGTTCAGAGTAGCATGTACTGTAAATAAACTTACCAAGTCCACTCAAATTTTAGAACATTATGCGAATTCTAACAGATTGAAGCAATCATGACTTGGACACTAACAATATATGCCATGAAAAACATTTACAGAAACTTCAATTAGTATTGTCATCATTTGCCTCCATATTTAAAGTGTGGAAAGTGCTAAAATAAGATTGCAACTAAAATAGATATGTTTTAAGTACACTACTACCGTAACAATAATCAAGAATGCAAACATATACCATCAACCTCAATATAATGCCCCTCGTTTCTTCTGCCATCTCGCTTACCGCCAACATATTTCAAGGGCCTTTTTTTCTGTTTTTCTCCAGAATTAATTTATAACTTTCCCTCAATTTATCACCAAACCTCTATATAACGCCAAACATTCTCTTGACAAATGGTGGCATTATAACAAGGTTTTACTGTATGCTGACACATGTTCCAGATCTGCCATCAACTGACAGGACGGGTTAACGATGAGGTTATTTCTCTTAGATATATCAACTACATTGAAGGGTGTCATTTAGACACTGTGAGCCACTTTATTTTCCCAAAAGATAAATTTACCAGTTAATTTAAAAGAAGAAGAATTCGTAAATTTAAATTTTCTGTGATTATAAATTCCATTGATAATTAGTATAAATACTGAAATAGAATCCTCTCAATTGCAATTTCAAATACCTATATATACCTGTTCACAGATAAAACATTCAGGTACAGTTTGAATTATTAAACATGAAAATACAGAGATTCCTTTCATTTATTTCATCCGAAAAGGAATTTCATTGTTGATAAAATCAGTAATAGATAAATACTGAGATGGTGCGTGTAGACTGACCTGGCTGCATCGTCGGTGATCCTGTGAGCCCCCGGGATGTAGAACATCACACCAAAGTAGAGGCGGGGTGCTGTCGCTGCCTGGGCATTCTTGTCTATCTGTTTCTTCAGGGGCTTGGTCAGGTCAACCCAGTGGAACTGGAGTTTCTTGGTTACATAGCGCAGGCCGAAATATTGAGTCTACAATGAACAATTCACCATTTAGAAATACATGTATATTTATACATCAAAAGCTAACAAGCAATATTTAGAAATATTTCACGCCTGAAACAAAGTTCCATGTAAATTATTAGAACATGAAAACATTGCTCTTTACTTTATACTTGACAACCTTCAATCTAAAAATTAACACCAATGTATATATACATGAACACATCTACAATGTACCAATGCACACAGCAAGGAGTTTCTGAGAAGACAGAATATCAAACCTCATTTTTTTCAAAAATAGGAATTGGCTTTCATTTCATCTTCATCTCATGATAATCATTAAAAGATGCAAAACTTGTTAATGAATTTTCTGATTAATATTCCCTTCTTATTTCTTATTTCTGAACTCAAGATTAGCCAGCGAAAGAACCTTCAGAAAACTGAAGTCTTCTTTTTTTCTCTGCCACAGCGGCTTACCCCCTCAGTGACCCCAAAGGAAGCCCTCAGATCCCTCATCTGTGATTTATAATTATCAATCCATCTTACCAAAACCATGGCTTTGATATGTACAATGGAACCTATCATATATTGACAAAGATTTCTATATAAAATTTGCTATTAATAAAGAATGAGTCAACAGGTGTATAAATACCTAAACAAGGACATAACACCTTTATCTGTGTATAATGCCTATGGCATCATTTCTGGAGATAATATTCAGCACATGTGGTAGCAGCCTTCCTTATGTACAAATTGTAAATAAACTAGAGCCAGAAATAGACCAAATGATTGACAGACAAAATACATCACAGTATAAGACAACAATGTCTTTGTTTATATAGTACAAATATTTTGACCTACTGATAAACAAAATGTTGTTATTAAGCCTCAGGGAAGATTATCATGTCTTAGTGCCGCTATAAATAAAACTGTTCTTAATCTGACTTTGTCTGCTCGCTGCATTTTCTGTTGTGATCCCTTGTAAATGGTTGAGTCAGCACAGATTGTTATAGATTGGCCATGGGTATCTTATAATCCACCACACTAAACACCCTGAGTGATTTTTACCACTATACTCATTACGTTTTGTGTGATTTGTTATGTGTGATATATTTTGATGCTTTGGGATAATGAGGTAAGAAAAGTATGTTTACCAATCACCATGAATGAAAAAAATGTACTCTCAAAAGAGAATGGGGAGTTGATACAACGAATACGGTACTTTATCAACTATAAATATCCTTCTTTGTTATCTTACACAAGTATTTGTTTCCTGTTAGTCATGATCATGATAATACAGTATGACACCCTACAATTGACAATCCTGAAGTCCATTAAAAAGAAATAGTATAATGTCCGTCTTAAAAAATCATCACTTTAAACTTGTAGCCATTTATGCTGCAGCCAATCAGAAGCAAGACAGTGGCCATCTTGAATTTTTTTTATTTGGGTAATGTGGCATTATTTATATAAGACAAGTACCACTAAACCCTCCCGAGGAACCCTGACTGAAGTCAGAAATGGCATTACAGTGAAATGTTGGCAGTACATATATCCTCCTGTACTACATTATGTAACAGTGACTCTGACCTAATTAGGAGTTGGTTAAATCTACTTTTTCACATCTATATACAGAATCAGTGTATCACCGTATAAAAATGTCATAAATTTGGTATTTCTTAATTGCAAGATAACCCCCAGAAACAACCGTATGGAGGACAGAACAGACTGACTCCCCGATTTTCACAGGGCATCCCATGTTTGTGTTGTGTTGGAACATAGGACTTTAGACATATCCTCTTGCAACAGTAAAATAACCCTGAGCTGGTGATCTGTGAAATCATTTACAAAATGTATCAATATATCTGTGACAAATTTTACTAATCGTCTGACAGCAACTGGTACATTGTATGCGTGTCTTTACACATGAGTGGACAGAAAAACTGGAGTTACAGTAATTGTTGAAACTAGCAGTCACTTCATCTATCTAGGACACAATAAACTAGGGAGCCATTGACACTATTTAGTCCACCACTAACAAAAGTCCTCTCCACCACCATACACCACGTCCCTGACAGAAGTTCATAGATTTATTTGACAGCGTAGTAAAACCTGTTTCTACTTAAACCATGATTCACCTACCAACAATTGGTTTCTTATAAAAACTGTTGATATTTGCTGACTAACTGGGACACTGAACAAGAAATGACAATAGTTAATATCAGGTATTACAAAATCAGTAAATAGCTAGTACACATGCACTTATCATCATTAATGTCAAGAATATGGATCCACGTCTAGATATATAGTTTACAGTACAAACTGAATCTCATGATCATTAATAATAAGTCTCCCATTCCAGATGTTTACTGAATCTGATTTCATTAATTTTCCATCAAATTCATCATTGAAGATTTTTCAATAGGTCGACTATCCAACACTTATTCTCTGGAATGTAATAACTTAGTACTTAGTCTTACCACTTCACTTACCAGAACAAGTTTGCATCTGTCATTAAAGTGTGAACTTTTCAATTTTTGTCCCTAAATTCCATAGTTGAAAAAAACTTGACAGAATTTTCCTGATGGTTTAAATTAAGTTTTTGTAATTAAAAATTGTAAAAATAAAGTGGAATGTGTAGTAAAATTTCACAAAAATTATACACTGTTACATGGTTAAACTTGAATTTTATTCTAACTGCCTATTTTACTGGATATCTCTGGTTGACCTTGAAGTGCTATACTTATATGATGTTGTTTACCAGGAATTCCTATAATCTGCCCGTTTTTAAGTAGGAAAGACTGTACACAAATTATCCGAAACATTTGCCCAGCCTGGGGTTATGTTAATATGTTAATGAAACATGATACACGTTACCAGAAATTTTAGAACCAGGCAATTTTCAGCTGTGAGCGGTTATATACTTATTACATTTAAAGGATTTTCCACACAACGTAATGGAAAACAGTGAATTAGATTCGTAGCTAGCTACATAGCTAGTTACATAGGTAGTCTCGTATGTAGACTCATTATTTTCTGACCACTGGTCATGAGTGACCACTCATTTATCACAGATTCAGACTCAGCATTATGTATGTACATCATACAAGACAAATGAGCCTTGTAATAAATCTCACAGCTTAACCTTAACTTCATTAATAAAAGTTTCAAAAATTCAAATATGTCTCAAAAACTTCCAAAAGTTGTAGATGACTATTTTATATTTCATTTAAATTCAATTTTTAAATCATGACAAATTGGACTCTCTGCTGTTAAGCTTACCAGGCATTTGATGCCTTGCAAGGAAATAACCATAAATATACTGATGGCAGAGATATTCGAAGGAGCCTGGTTAGTCTACTACATGTTTTTAGTGTATTGTTAGTCTTGAGATATATTTTTATTACATACAACTGAAATAAGACCGTCGTATATATAGCTACCACTCATGAAAAAATATTCAATATCCTAGAATTCTGTGCTGATTAACTCATATCTTAAAATGAAGGAATTTCAAAGTTCTGTCAAGTTTCAAAACTATGAATGGCACATTAACATTATTAGTAACAAAATATATTAATTTATGGTTAATACAGTTATCAGTTTACAAATTAAATACGTCAGCAAAACCTCACAAGCACTTCCCAACTTGAAAGAAACGTATGTTTACCCTAGAAATTTAATGTTAAATTTTGTTCACTTGACATTTTCTTCATCGTACCAAAGTATATATCTGATCACATAAATAGAGCATAACACCAGGGTTATAAAATAACATTAAGAATAAGACTAATGTCCAAATTTCAATGGTTTATAAAATACCATTGTTTCTCAGAAATCCATTTATGTCAAGTCTTATGTGGTTACAACATCTTTGAATATCAGCAGTGCATATGTAGAGAAATTATCTGCAGACCTCCAGACATATGGACTGTTAAACATTCCTAGAACCATGTCAGATTTCTGCTAAATTCGGATATAAAATGACTGTGGTCTGTACGGCCTGTAATGATGTAATATACTCGAGAAGAAGGGTTTTACCTCGGCGAGTTCGATGCGTTGCGCGATGCTGTCGAGACACTCCTGTCCAGTACTGTCCGAGTTGAGCGTACATTCCAGGAATGAATTGTCCAACATGGACACTCCCACCACAAACACGTTCTTGGACGAAACCTCATATCTCCTAGTCCTTTTAAAACGTAGGCCAAATGGCATGTTTCTTATTTCTGTCTACACATCGGTGGTCGGTAGATTGATCGAAGTAACTGAAAAACAAAGGAAACAAGTATAAATTTACAGTATCAAATCCACATTGGCTTAATTTAGTAATTAATGAAAATAAAAATGTTTCATGTCTGTCATTTGTCAAAAACACTGTTTGATAGATATGCCTAAGAACCAGATTACTTTTTATGCCTAACAGAAATGAAACCAGTATGTAAGAAGTCAATGAAAACGATACATTTAATGTTTTTAGTTTTTAAGTTTTAGTGTTAATTTCATCCTTCACATGTAATTTTTACATGATGCTGTGTACCAATATTCACTGTGAAAGATGGTTGGCATCCATAAGTATTACACATAGAAAACTATTGTCCACTGTGTCAACTTGTAATGTAAATTGGGATTAGTTAACTCATTTCTGCTGGCCCTATCTTTCAATAATAATCATAAAAGATATTTTTTTTAGATTCTGATGAAAAGTGACTGAATAATGAGACACTTATAATCAAATGCCAAAAAGATTTTATCCTGGTCAAGCAGACCCCTGCTGCCCACACATATATATCTATATCTGGATGACCACAGGCTATTTCACAGGTGACCTGTCAATGATGGATAGGAAATACAGCTGTTTGTGCTACTTACCACAAGCTTGACTCCCAAATGTAACAGTTATAGGCATAAAATCCAGTTGTTTCTCAACATTTACACCAGAGAACTGACATTTCCAATTCCATAAAAAGTCATTTTTACTATTTAGCCTTATGATAAACATTTACTGAACTCTCATATTCCCATAGATTGAATATATAAGATTGTCTTCAGTAAAACGTATATTTGGAGAAAAGCAAGCAGATGACTAAACAACTACCAGGGTATTTACCTCTGATGTGCCGTGATCAGTGTTGAAGAAATGAGTTATTCCAGAAACCGATCAAATATATATCAATACAAGGATAAAAGTCATCCAACTGTGACTCTTTATTGACAATAGGTAATTCGGATGAAAATATTATGAATCCTCAGTGAGTCAGGAAACTGTGACAACAAATTCACACTGACGTATGTGTACACTTTGTACAATTTAGGAAATACTCCAATTTTCCACACAGCTTATTTACAATTGTACACCTCCATCCAAGCACACAATAAATACGGCTTTCCCAGAGGGTGAGTCATGACTAAGGCCTTAAATGGCTATTATTGAAGAGATGGTCACCAATACCTGTATGTGACGTCTATCTACCTGTCCTGACTCTGCTGACGAGTCTACAGGTATATTATAGGTGGTTCAATTTAAGGTGTGACTCGAGTCGATATAAAAAGGATTACTATTCCATCAAATCCAACAATGTTTAAATGCCCACTTTCATTGTTTAAATGACCGAACAAAGAGTCATTTAGTACGATATGTTAAAATATTGGGTATCATCAATACTTTTGTCACAGGAAACATAGTGTGTGTTCAAATATATAGGTGCAGGGAACTAAGGGGAGGAGGAGGGGTCAAGGGTCACTTATAACTGCCAGGGAGCAGAGAGCAAACATCAATCGAGAACAACTGTACTCAATGACCCCGGACATCTTGTTAATCAAACACGAAGGAGATAGAGATTTTACCTTGATTACGTAATCCAATCTAAAATTCTACACACATCCCGTAAATTCTACACACATCTCGGTGAATACCTGCGTCTATTAAAAATTCACCACATAACGTGACATAGAATGTATAAACATCTCTCAAGTATGTGAATGGGACTTTTGTTTATAACCCTTTTAAATGGGACTGGATATATATATATACGGATGTTGTATAGTGAGTCAATAAAACAGGGTCAACATTAAATCATTATGGCCCATCATAAAATATATAAATATACCCTTTACTGAAAAAGTACAGCATGTCAGACATGCCCGACCACATAAACATCTCTGTTGACCAGCTGATAATCATGACAGCCAACGGCCATTTATAGTTTAGTTGGGGAGAGTCCCTGAATTCCAGCCCGCTGTCGTGTTTCACTCCTAGGACATACGGCTATAGCGGCACTATTTAAAGCAGTATTGTGTTAATGACACATTAATGTGACAATTATGTCTGTATACGTACAATGACACATTATAGTTCAGACTCATGCTCCAAGATAATCATATGTGATGGATATATTTAGGAACTTTATCCAATAAGCGAGACATTTTTTTGTCATAATCATATATATATAGAATTAACCATCAGCATTTCAACTATTTTTCCCAGAACAAAAGGTTCCATTGTATATTCATACAAGGTTTTTCTGCATATAAATAATATATTTCAGGCCAAAATTACAGGGTTAGATGTTAATTTTGTTTGCTTGATAGTGAAATAAATTAATGAATTTATTGCTGGTCGATTGTCAATGTGACTCATCTGAAATTTCATATGAAAGTAACATCCCCAGCATGAAATAGAAAAAGGCAATCGACTTTAGAAGATAAACAACCTTCTATTCATAGTAAATATGGTTAAGTCTGAGAAAATTTTGACAATTTTCATGCAATATTTCTGTAATTTGAACAGTTCTTGGAAAACAACTTTCTTAAGGTGGCTCCACACATCTTCATCAGTGACCATTTTCGTTACATACCTCCGGAAAAAGTACAGTTCGGACTCAATTATCTTGAACGAAATATGCATGAACACTGTGTCGTCATTTCCGTATTGCATATCGGGCATTTCAGTATACTGTAGTGTAAATTATAGTAACACCTGGTAAACAATATTACATGTGCGACGATGATATGTCAACACCAAATATCTAGAATTTGTTGGGAAATGTGTAACCTCACGCACTTAAGGAATAAAGCTTCCAATACAAAGACATAAACTGACTCACAAGAAGACACTGACATGAGACCAGTCGACTTCAAGAAAGTCATATATTGTGTACCGCTCTCAGATGTGCATATCACGTGCTTACATGAAATTCACAAGCTCGATGTTGTTACGATTTTCGCTGTTGAGCGAGTTTCGCTCTGTCGATTAAATCATTTTTACAAATGCAGTGCACTTACTCTAAAAATGCATGTGTGGGTGCATGTGAGAACGGCATACCATGTTATAGCCTCTGGTCACATATGTACCTGACATGTAAATATACAGTGCACTAGCGAGCTGTGGAATCATGTCCAAAGTGTACATGATGAGAGTAATTTGGTTTCATAAAAGAACAATAAATTGACAATTTTTAATTTGATGTCATAATTTTAATTTACTTGCATCACTTTTGATATATGTCATTGTGTAAATTTTATCCCTCTGCAAAAGTTCCGATTATTTTCAAGGAAGGCAACTCTCACAAGGATCAGTGATTGTAAAAGTTAATATTAATTAATTATAAAGCCATTGTGTTTATTTTGTTCAATTCCCCACTGTTTATGTATGAATCTTCGTGTTCTGTTTGCTTTTAGCTTGCAATTTTGTAGATAATCACTTTTATCCGTATAATTTCCATAAAAAACACTTTGTGTAACCTGTTTTATATATTTTGCGGTAAATAAAATATTTGTGGAGTTAATTAGCAATGCTTTAGATTGTTTTATTTCATGATCATTTCTTTATTTTTCTTTCAAACTTGAGGAAGACAGCTATTCCTAAAATACCCAAGGGAAAAAAATGTGAATGTATAAATAAATACATATAGATTAGCTACGTGTCCAAACAGTTCAGGAACCGCATGTTACATGTCTTACATTGCATTTCCCCCTAACATTCCTTATCACATTCAAATCTGATATGGTGTAAGAAATTGTTTGAACATTTTCCTTTCATCTCATTTCTGCAGAAACTGCACATGTGGCAAGACAACAGATCTGTTTTATGAGAAATAAACAAACATTAAAATCGTACAACTGGGACATAACAAAGGCCACGTAACAGAATCGTGTATATCTGAATGTCAATTAGAGAAAACGGACGGTGGACGTGACAGTACAGACACGTTCATCACTACTAACAGTTAGCTGGTTGTATCCATTCACTTTCCCACGCCATCCTATTGAAACTGTCCTTTCAAAACAGTTCCTTAATATGGTACAGGGTATGCATTGAAAATGCGATAAGATCTTTATCGCATATATACTCACACTTAGTATTTCTAAAGAAAATTACAATCTTATCTGTCAAACGTTTCATTTGATTTGCGATTGCTCATACACTAAATGAATTTTGAGTAAAAATTGAATAAAGGGATATGCAATTTTTGAATAAACAAAACTTCATAAATAAAGTTAAATTTAAAAAAGCATATACATGAATGTACAATATAAGAAAAGTAAAGGTAAAATATCAAGGTATAAATTTATTATAATGTTTGTCTTGTTCCGTGTATCATTTCATTTACAACGTATTACGATTTTTTTCATCTTTCTCAAAAGATACCCATGCTTTTATATATATATACAACATGGGAAAATATAACTTTCACAGAGTTCAGAAATTTCCACATCAAAATGACAATTAAAATTATTTTGTGGTGTAAAATAAAACTATTTGTTTTGTATGTGGTGAATGGTATGCAATTGTGACATTTTTTTTTCATTTAAAAATATAAATTATAAATGATCTGGAAAAAAAGTGCTAAATTCTATAGGAGAAAACACTATATTCTATAATGACTACTAAAACAGATCATTTAATCAAAGTATTTCTACAATTGATACAATTCGCGACTAAACCAAGGTTTTATGATCAGCTATAGTATAGGCTGACAATGAGATCTAGACCAGTGATAAAGCTAGTTCAACAGTGGACAGGGTCCCAATTACATACAGGCAAGTGATAAAGTTGGTGACATTTTGGAATATCAGACAAACTAAAACAATTTGGACCCCTATACCTTCCTCGCAGTATTCTGAAACAGAAACAGGGTTGAAGAGACCATGCAATGGCAACCCTACCTGACAAATTACACATTAGTGGTGTGATGCACAGACCATGCTCAGGGTGCTACATCCAATCAATACATTTCTGACCCCAGAAACTACAGCTAACACAGTATCCTGGTATAGCAAATAACCTTTGCATTTTGTTGTTGCATGGGGTAAAGTACATGTACATACAATTGAGAAATTACACTGACTCACCAAAACATCCCACAGTAAGGGATAGAAACCCCTTGTGTATCCTGTGATCAAATTAAGTCGTGATGATCCTGATGAGATTACCCTGTGTGTGTGTATGTATATATGGAGAACTTTGGCTGGAGCTTAAAACATCCCTAATTCCATAATAATCTAATCTCATTATGGCCTAATCATTTACAGGGATCTATGTTACATGTACAGTCTATGGTGTCGGCCCAGATGAATTGGCAGGAAAATGGTAGAAATTGCAATGGACTTGTGTCATTGACCTTAAGCCTTAAACCTTATTATAGTCAGTTATCTTGTAAAAGAGGTATTCACTCGGTCACCATTACATGTACTAGTTTCACAGTGTTAAATATACATTTACCAGAATCTGTAAATTCTACACATTTTGTTTTATCATTTGACATGCTGACACTGTTTGAATATCTATTTTAAAGACCTTTATAGCAATCCCTTCTGTATTTAATAATTACCCTGGTAGATATAATATGCAGGATGCATTAAGGTGCTTTATAGCAAAATCTGACCAATAACAGTTTTGCCTCAACGCTTATAATATTGACACCCAATCTCATTGAAACTAATACAGATGTTAATTTATCACCTATGCCGGCAGTAACAGATTGATGAACACCCAGTTCTTTATAACACACCACAAAGATTTAGCCAGGAACTCCTTATTAAGTTACATAGTCTTACAGACACAGAACACAAACATGTTCACATGAGTATTTTGTTTTATGCATTTCCTTTGTATTTCAGGTTTTTGGGCAGAAACAAACTTACAATGGATCGGGTAATATTACCGTAGTACAGCGATTTTTAACATGTTGATCGTGTACCAACAAAATATTAGTATAAAGGGTTGTAAACACAAAACCATGAAGAATTTTGAACTTGTATTTACTGGTATGCATTTCAAAGATATTAGGAAAAACAAGAGAATATATCTAATCTAATTCCATAGTTTTATCAACCTAGGAAGGACATTTGATTATCCAAATTTATTATCACCCTTGTAAATTATTTGATGCTTCCTGCCAACTCAACTAAAGAGAATTTCTCGTTTTTGTTGTTGATAGATTATCAGGCTAGTAAACCAGAGGTCCCGGATTTAATCTGGTATGATTTATAATATAATTACTTCTGACACAGGATAATTGAACATGTGTCAATTGAAAATTTGTCAAAATATTCCCAACCTTCAATTATGAAGAAATTCCTTTATATTTTCATACATGTAATTAATTGCCAAAAACAGCCACTAATACAACTTAAAACTATCACAACATTATACAATGATACAATGTATATAAGACTTTACCAGACAACCAAACTTCCAGGTCCATTGTTCTGGCTGGGTCCAGTAGATTTAGTCTAACTGCACAAGTGAAAGTTTATGTCTATTATAATTAATTATTTTCCAATGGAATAGTGCAATTTTTTTCTATTGAATATTGATTTCTAAATTCACACCATAGTAATGCATCATCAAAAACACATGAATAGGCAAAACTGCTTTGTTCCTGCTAAAAGACCACAATGTTATAAAGGCAACATCAGTAATTCTAAGAAGTGCATCTGTATATGCATATGACAATTTTTGGGACCATATTATATTTAATCTCTGTGCAAGTAATTTTCAAAACCACTTCCCTAAACGACCAGTGCTTTTGAAAACATTCTTTTTCTTCAGAAATGTTATACATTGATTATAGTCAAATAAATTATTGTTTATGTGTGATAAAAATGACCTTATAATTGTTTCCATTTTATACAAGATTAAAGAAAAACTCTTCAAGATTTGTTTTATAAATCTCCAATGAAATGGAAGAACATTCAAGACACCATATTTCTGTTTCTTTATGTACTTCTCTTTCTATAATAGTATCAATATACATTACAATATACAGGTGGCCCCATCTGGATCAAGCATGTTTTCGTTAGCGGGTCACAGACAATGATCATCACATAGATCTACATTACAACTTAAAAGACATTTCTATATATGATGCCTCCAGTTCCCCATGTCTGTCCACACAACAAGCGTCTACTTTGACCAAAAAAACTACACCCCCTGGTACTCACATAGCTTAAGTGAGATACCTTCCTTTAATTTATGCTTTAACTTATAATCTGTAATGTAACTTTAAAAATAAGTTTCCACAACAACTAAGCATCTAACATTCTTCATGTAATTAAAAGTCAGTGACTGTGTGGTTAACTTTCGTTTAATTTGGTATCGTATACAAACATAAACGTTAATAAGCTTTTACAACCGAAATCCCATTACAAACGTGAGATTTTATCAGTTTAAACTTCCAAAGTCAACAGGTCATGATTAAAAATCTGTGCGATATTTAAAAATGGAGTAATCTAAACAACTTGAAGTTAGCTGTAATAAACAGTCATGGCTAATTTCTAGTTTTCCCTAGATATGTGACAATAACATTACATAGAACATAAATAACTGACACTAACTGTATGAAATATAAGCCAGTAGCATATCATATCTTGTTGATTCAAACAAATAGAAATGCCTAAAATGTGACAGTGAACATGACAAGTGTTGATCTACTACAGTAGTGCTAAATATTGAAGCACTTTAGCAATGGATCTACTTACGTGTACGTTTGAAGATCACCACTGTTTAGAATAACTGATATGCGATGAAGAAATATATATAGTGTCACCCTCCACTGCGGGGAAACTCCCTCACTGACTAAACAGGTGTGGGCATCGAAAGGTGATCAAACATTTTAGCATCTGGGGCAATTCACGGTGACGTAAAGTGACCAAGAATGTGAAGATTGTCAATTGTCGTAAACAATAACAAAAACTATTGGTGAACAATATTGTAAATTAAAGTATCAGCAAGATTTAGTTGAATCTTTCGTCTTTAATACATTTTCATTGTATTGGTTAATTGATTATTGAAATTATTATTTTTACGACAATTCAAAAACATTTCCGCTTCATGCAAATCCTCGATTGATTCAAGCGTTCATGTCGACGTATTTGATTAAATTTCGAGCATGCGCATATGAACCGGAGGGATTTTTGAATGGCGGACTGAATTTTAGTAAGTTAATCAACAACACATATATTCGTTTCAAATGAATTTAGTCACTGAAGACGCCCTATTCTGCATAATATTCCGAACCAATGTAATTGAAGGATTTAAATAAGGTTTGCCCATAGTCCACAAGCCAATGGTCATTTTCCCTGAACATTCTCAAATATTTTTTTTGCGCCATTCAAAGTTTTTGTTTACTGTACTGTATATGGTCGACGGCCCCTTGGTCGACATGGTTGATGATAGTGAAAAACTGATACTATGAAATGAATATGCAATATTACTTTTGTATGAATTTTGAAAATTCGTTATGAAATAGAAGTATTATTCAAGGTTCCCCGTGCAATGACAAATTGCAACCTCACCCTTCACCAGACTTGAGACTAAAGTATAGGTTCGGCTCAATTTCACATTCTTTTTCTTCTTCTTCCAAATCTTGAGTGGGCATCCCAAGGATGGTTCAACACTCAGAGCGCATGCCGATTGGCGGTTAAAAACCTCTTGGGCAGTATATACAATTAAAATTCTGGAGTATGATCTTATCCGGAGAAGGCTTTGTGACCTGCTGGAAGGCTGTCCAGCTTGGTCTTAAAGGCCGCCACGGGTGAGGCAGTCGCTGTCTCAGGTGGGATGCTGTTCCACTGCTGTGTTGTTCTAGGGGAAGAAGGATTGTTTGTAATATTCCTTATTTGCCTGTAATGTTTGCAGCTTATGAGATCCTCTTGTTCTTGTGTCGCCACTTGAGGCACATAACAGGTCCAGTACACTATGCCGATTGAGCTATATAGCTGTAAAGACATGTAATAGCTCTATTGACCTATCTGAAATGGGTCTTTTAAGCTATTTTCATGTAATTTTCTTTTTTAAGGAAAACAAAACAAAGTCGCTTTAACCCTTTCACCACTGTAGATCATAATGGACCCTCCATATCAGTGCATGGTAGAGTCTACTAAAGTTACATAGGGGTGAAAGGGTTAAAAAGAAGATTTTATCATTAGGTGGATAACAAAAGACATTAGATATAAGTATTCTAATAAACATCTAAATGTATGCTTTTTGTAGTCAACATTACCATAAACCTTATGTTTTATGCGACTGCTTTAATTTAATGAAAATTGAAATCCGAGAAAATATAGCTCAATACACTATATACAGCTATACTTTATAGGTGAATATAGCTCAATCGACAGAGTTTACTGGACCTGCATAAGGGTAACAGTATTATGCCTTTGGATATATAGCAAGTACTGTTTAGAGAAACAATTTTATTACTGAAATGGGGAATTATGTGAAACAAAAACACAAAGTTTTTTTAAACAAAAGAAGTAAAAAGGTTGTCAATCCAAAAAATAATAAAGTTATCAATTCTGATGTCTATAAATTTTAGTCAAATTTATAAACCATATCACTGACTTTGTTCTCCATAACTACAGTTACAGTGTGTAGTTCTTGGGGTCACCCAGTGCAAAATGAGATAGGTTAACATTATTTTTTCTGTTTTGTTTATAGTTACAATACCCACGTCACCACACTATAATTATAAGCAATGGAGGTGATATAGTTTGTCAATTTTTAAAAAAAACACTTAGACATCTAAATAAGTTATTTTTTGTGCCCATTTGTACCTAATTTTAGTATTTATTGGGTTTTATTGAAAGAAAGTTGCCCTTTTATGTACTCAGTAGTTAATATTTAAAAGATCTGTATATGTTGTTGTTTCACTTCATTCCCTATTTCAGTTATATAATTGTTACTGTAAATAGTAACTTGCCCAAATGCAGGATTATTACCCATATGCACCATTGTGCCCAGCCTTGACATTTTTTTGTGGGGCGGGGTCCAGAAGGCACAGAAAATACAAAGAGATGAGCAACTGATTTAATCATCTTTAAATATTCAAGAGTCATGGCCAACTCAAGTAGATAAAGGCTTGCCATTCAATCTATGAATCTGTTTGTTGAATATAGTACTAAATTACTTAGTAGTAAAATATAAGGAAATTTGATATTGAAAGTTGCGCATGCATATACCTGGTATTATAAAAGTAGAAATATCTCCATGATTGTTATTTGTCAATTATCTAAATTTTCAGAAATGAGTTGGGCAGCAGATGAATGGAAGGATGGGCTGCCAGCCCGGGCCCTTCAGAAAATTGGCCAGATAGAACAGCAATTTGAACGACTAAAGAAAGAAAGGGACCAAAAGCAATTCCAACTTGACGGCCTGGAACAGGTATCCAAAAGCAGTGTTACCCTGGGTGTCTGTTTGACTGATCGCCTTATGTACTATACATGGTTCCTTTTTATCTTCGAAACTTGTCCTGTTTAACCTGTTGAAATCTTGCTATGTGAAAACTTTTCTTCTTGATAACATATATTATACATATAATAGTAAGTATTGAACATGTTAACTGGTCTGCAAAAAAAATACTACTACCTGGTAGTTTATGCTTTAATTTCCTGCTAGTGGATTTGTACACCCCTACATGTGTCTATTTATAAAACGAAAGAAAAATGGAGCTATGGTATTTCCTGCTATATGCAAACATATGCTTTAATGCAGCAATAGTATATCTTTTCTGCACAAAACTTTCAAAATAATGAAAATTCTAGCCAAAAAATGTGTGCATGTATCAGAATTCAAAACTTGAACACAAGAAATGTTGACTTCGTGACAGGTTAAGTACAATACCTATTCTCTGTCAAGTTCTGATAGGTAATACAGCTTTGTTTTATTTGAAGGCTCTTCAAGTGCAAAAGAGGAAGGTAGAAGAGGAGAAGAATCATGCAGTTGTGTATAAGCGAGAAAACCAGAGCCTGTCTGAAAACTGTCAGGACCTGGAGCAGAAGCGTGCGAAGGTGGCACAGGAACTCACAACTAAGGACAATCATATTTCCTGTATAGAGGGCAAATTGTCTCACACCAAGTCGCTGTATGAGGCCGAGACACACAAGGTCTGCTTATCCATTCTGAAGACATATCTTGAACATACTATTCAATGGATACTTTAGTTTAGAATGATTGTAATGAATGTTTATTTGACTGCTTGAATTGATCAAGTATGAAGTCTGCTTGAATTAATCAAGGAAGAAGTTTTCTTAATATGGTCATGTGACTGAGCTATTAGATTATTTAACCAAGAACCTGATCAAATTGTATTGATGGTTTGGTCATATACAGAGACGACAAAAATTAACCCTTGGTAAAATGTAACACTTAGTACATAAAATCTTCAGAATAATACTAAACAAATTAAACATAATATTCTAAATGTACCTGTTAAATGCATAGCGCGGGGGGGGGGGGGCAATTTAAAATCTCGTCTATGAAGTATAAATAAGTGCCACTTTTTTGTGGTAAAAATTTTGCATTGAATTGTATTGCCATGTATTCAGACATTGTTTACCTTGATGAACTTATTTTATGACTTAACATTTAAAACAAAAACAAAACATTTTTACAGGTTAGTCAGCTTCAGACCGAGCTTGAAAAGCTCCAGAGAGATTATGACAATTCCATCAAGAATATGGAGAAACTGACAGCTGACCACCAGAAACTACAGGAGTATAGCAAACAACAGAAAGTACAGCTGGACAGCCAGAATGACCGCATTAGGAATCTGGAAAATGACCTCAAGCATAATGTTGACCCCAGCAGAAAACCTGCTGTTCCTGCATCAGTGCAAGGTATATTGTCATATTTATTTCTGTGGATTAGTAAGATTCCAGTTTAAGTACCCAGTATCTAAAATGTTCATGAGCAAGCACAAATAAGAGCAATGGTAATGCTTCCTGCAAATAGTGCAGAAACAATATATACGTATTAAAACCAAAGTGGTTGCTGTTGCCTGTTGAATACACTATATATATAAAAAAATCGTGAGGCAGAATATATACTCCCAAAACTTAACTTGTGCACTCATGAAAATACTGGTATTCAGCTACACTTGTGAAATAAGTGTGTGTGGGGGGGGGGTCTTGATGTGGGAGTAAACCTTTTTGCATCTGATCCAGGAATCAAACCCCTGCCGACATGGTGAAAGGTGAGTGCATTATCCTCCAGTGCGCCAACCAACAATCCAGCAGATATAACTGCTGTATCACTTAAATCATGAGCAGTTGTTCAAACTATTTTCTCATCAAACAGGGACTGGCGCTGATCTACAGAACAAGTTACAGCAGTTAAATGCCATGAGGGAGAAGGATCAGATGGAGATCAAACAGCTGAAGGAGGAGTTAGAGAGACAGGCAAAGCAGGTAGGTAGTGTTTTAATACCCCAGATTAAGCATATATGCTTGCCAACTTAAACGTGACAAATTCCATGAAGCATGCCATGTGTTTCATGTTGAATTTGTAACATTCTGGTTTGCATTCATATTGAGTATGAATTTATTCAATTATTTATCAAAATTCAACATTTAGTTCAAATATTAAGTACACACCGTTCTATCCAAGGAAAGATAAATGATATCCAGCATAACAATTAAGATGTCATCATATTAATGACATTAAAATATTGGCCATGGCAATCATATAGCTTATATGAATGTCATCTGAACTTTGAAGGATGAAATAGTGGTAGTGCTATATAATTGTAAATTTAGGCCATTAGATTGCAATATATCATCCAATATTTACTCAGTGGTGTAAATGACTGATACATCAGATGGTCATGGTACACCAGAAAGGTTTTCCTTCTCTTTTGATCAGAATACAAATAAAAAAATCATGTCATGGTTTTTTAGCTTGGAGACCAGCTTAAGCAATCCACAGTAGAAGTAGAGAAGTACCAGAAGCAAACATCTGATGTATCTATGAAGGTAGATAACCAGAATCGTGCCAACCAGATGTCCAGTTCCATTCCTGGTTTTGGCTCATCAACCAATCCACAGGCCAGCACAAAACCAGGCTTTGGGCATTCAGCCAATCACCAGGCTAGTTCCATCCCTGGCTTTGGCTCATCAACCAATCACCAAGCCAGTTCCATTCCAGGCTTTGGCTCATCAACCAATCACCAAGCTAGTTCCATCCCTGGCTTTGGCTCATCAACCAATCACCAAGCTAGTTCCATCCCTGGTTTTGGTTCACAAGTCAATCACCAAGCCAGTTCCATACCAGGTGGGATCGGTACCGAGTCTATTGGTGCACAGAACAGTAAAGGTATACAAATAAAAATGAAATAGTTCTAATTTTAAGTTCTTCAACTTGTTAGGGCCTCGAATGTCTGTCCGTCCCTCCACACTTTGACATGGTGATACACTGTGAAATGTAGATGTGCATTAGGATTTTAAAAAAATGCTTAGGTCAGGGTCCCTGCTACCAAAAGTAGACTGTGGAGGGGTACGTCCTAATCTCGTAATCCAAAAATCTATTCTTGCAATTTGACATGGTGATACACTATGATATAAGGATGCATAATACGGGTTTAAAAAATTGTAAGGTAAAAGTTACTGTATCTGAAAATAGACTGGCGGGAAGGAGTGGTCAGGCACATGGCGGGCCCTTGCTTACCTGTCAGTGTTCTGGTTAACTATTTTTATGTTTTGGAGATCTCCCACTGTACATTTGTCACAAAAATCGTTGTTTATTTAGGTAAATTAATTTAGTGAAAAGAAGTGTTTGATATTTCTACCATATGACATGAATTGGTTTTGTTGTAATTCAGCAGCCAATGGGAGCTCCTGGTCTAGTGGTGGTGACTGGAAGGACGGTTTGTCGTCACAAGGACTTCAGAAAATTGGACAAATTGAGGCTCAGCTGGATAAGGTCAAGAAAGAAAGGGACCAGAAACAGTTCCAGGTGGACAGTTTGGAGCAGGTACAAATTAGGGCCATGGGAAAGCTTCGGTTTTCTTAAACTTGTGGAGATGTTAGCAATGAACTTAAGTATTGCATTAAATTCTCTCAGTTGGTAAAACACTATAACCATATACAGTGTTAACTGATATCTGTCTTCGAAGACCAACAGTAATCTTTAGCTGGATTTTCATGCAAACGTTGTGTATAGTACATCTTCAAGAACTTTTTTGGTACTTTTCTTGACATTGTGTCATCTCTATAATAAAAAAATCCAGCATTTTCCAATTGTGAACTGCACTTTATAAATGTATCCGTCTTCTTATTTCATAAAACCATTCAATTCTCTTCAAATCTCTTCTAATTGTTGATGATAATATCGGAACCATGAAATTTCAAAAAAGCCTTCAAATAAAATAGATTGGCATTTTTCATTTGTTACATTTTGCATGAAAAACATTGGTAGTCAAGTTTTTGACATTATTGTTGACTAGGCACGCCATTCAAATGCTCAAAAGATTAAAAAATATCTACCAAATGTGATAGGCATTGTAATGTAATGAACAGTCTTTTTCTGAAAAAAATCTTGTGTTTCTATTAAACAATCTTATGTTTCTGCTAACCCTACCTACCCTAGACTTTTGTGTGTACCCTTAAAGATTATTGGCATTTATTGATATGCACTGTTTAAGTCAGAACTCCCGCTCTAGATAAGAATAGCAAAAATATTTTCCAAAATTAAAGAAAAATTGCCTTCCTACCTACCTACCCTATTTTTCTGAAGATTTTTTTTATTTGTCTGATGAAAATTGTCATATCTTTGTACCTTTTCTGCATAGAGTATATGTAGTTATCCTAGCACCTATCCGACTGTTCGTTCATACCCTATATATAGGAATTACACACAGAGATCTTCTGCCATCTTACAATGCCTGTGTTACAAATTGCTGTTTTCCTCCAATTCACCAGGCATTAAACAACCAGAAGAGGAAGGTTGAGGAGGAGAAGAACCAGGCTGGCAGCTTAAAGAAAGAGATACAAACACTGTCAGCTAGCTGTGAGGCTATCGAGCAGAAACGACAGAAGTTAGCACAGGAGGTTCAGGTCAAGGACAACCGAATATCATGTTTGGATGGTCAGCTGGCTCATGTCAAGGCACAGATGGAGGCAGAAACCCAGAAGGTTAGAATATTTAGGATTGTTTGTAACAGTCTAATGGCCTGGCTAGAGAAGGTAGGAGTGTCACTAGGGTTACTCTAAATCAATTGTAACGGCCTGGATAGGGACAAAAACTTACGATGGAAGAGGCAGTTTGGGTTTAATACTCTAGACAGTTTTGCTGAATTGTAATTTATGGAATTTTCTCTGTTGAATAAAGTATTTTGCAGTAACCTTGTTGTTTGAAACTCTTGTTATGTTAATGTGCAGATACATAAACAGGTGGTACAATTCAGAACAGGTATACACTGTCATGTTATATGAGACCCAGTACAATAATCTTCCTATAAAATTCAACCTGTTCTTAATTTGATTCATAGAAACTCTGCAATTTTATCTAACCTTGGTTTTATTGATCTTGTGGAATGTGTAAAAGATAGTCCTCAGTTGCTTAAGTGGGACAAACATTTGGTATTATTCTTATTTTGAAATTTCTCAGGAGAACAAGACACAAATGACTTAAGTAAGGGTCAAGCTAACCACTAGCCCCAGCCCCAGGCCAGGTTTTTTTGTCAGGCCTGTTAAATTTGTAAGGAAGCTCTCTGTTTCAATATTTTTCCTTCTTGCATGAACATCAAAATAATGATAAAATAAACCACGCTGAAATGTTCTTTGACTCTTTTAAATATTCCAGAAAATATTTGTTTATTTCTTAATCTTAAGTCAATATGTAGCTTGAGCCTGGCGGCATACAGTGCACTGGCCAGTGACCATGTTTGTGACCTCTAGTGTGCTGAAAGGTTCTGACAGTAAATTATTAATGACAGGTGAGCAAGCTACAAGCAGAGGTGGAGAAGGCACAGTCTCAGCAGCAGGAGGCCATTCGCAAATTTGAGCAGGTGTCAGAGGAGCAGGGCAAATTAAAACAGCGGGCACAGTTGGCACAGCAGGAGCAGAAACAGGCCACAGAGAGCATGACGTAAGTCTTACACAATATATAGGTCACAGAGAGCATGACATAAGTCCTACAGAAAAATAGGTCACAGAGAGCATGACATAAGTCTTACAGTATATATAGGTCACTGACAACATAATGTAAGTCATACGGAATACATAGGTCACAGAAGGCATGATACAAGTCTTACAGCATATATAGGTCACAGAGAGCATGACTTAACTCCCACAGCTTATATAGGTCACATAGAGAATGACTTAACTCTTACAGCTTATATAGGTCACAGGGAGCATGACACAAGTCTTACACCATATATAGGTCACAGAGAGCCTGACTTAACTCTTACAGCTTATATAGGTCACAGGGAGCATGACACAAGTCTTACACCATATATAGGTCACAGAGAGCCTGACTTAACTCTTACAGCTTATATAGGTCACAGAGAGCATGACTTAACACTTACAGTATATATAGGTCACAGAGAGCATGACACAAGTCTTGGACCATATATAGGTCACAGAGAGCATGATACAAGTCGTACAGCATATATAGGTCACAGAGAGCATGACACAAGTCTTGGACCATATATAGGTCACAGAGAGCATGATACAAGTCGTACAGCATATATAGGTCACAGAGAGCATGACTTAACTCTTACACCATATATAGGTCACAGAGAGCATGACTTAACACTTACAGTATATATAGGTCACAGAGAGCATGACACAAGTCGTACAGCATATATAGGTCACAGAGAGCATGACACAAGTCTTACCCCATATATAGGTCACAGAGAGCATGACACAAGTCGTACAGCATATATAGGTCACAGAGAGCATGACTTAACACTTACAGTATATATAGGTCACAGAGAGCATGACACAAGTCTTACACGATATATAGGTCACAGAGAGCATGACACAAGTCTTGGACCATATATAGGTCACAGAGAGCATGATACAAGTCGTACAGCATATATAGGTCACAGAGAGCATGACACAAGTCGTACAGCATATATAGGTCACAGAGAGCATGACACAAGTCGTACAGCATATATAGGTCACAGAGAGCATGACTTAACACTTACAGTATATATAGGTCACAGAGAGCATGACACAAGTCGTACAGCATATATAGGTCACAGAGAGCATGACTTAACTCTTACAGCTTATATAGGTCACAGAGAGCATGACACAAGTCTTACACCATATATAGGTCACAGACAACATTACGTTTGTCTCACAGTATACATAGGTCACAGAGAGCATGGCATATTAAAGTCTTACAACTTATTGCTAGCATGACAGAAGTCTGAAAAAAACAGCATAAGCTGGCCATATATATCTTGATGTGAGTCTTACAACATAAGCAGTCCATCAACAATGCATCATGAACTCGCTACACACAGCACGATGTCAGTCTTATGACTTAACGTGGGCCATATAACTAGACAGGAGCCTTATGATGATAGAAGTTTAGTAACTTGATACATTTACAGTTGTAGATTGATACACTAACCTTGTTATTGTGTTGTACAGGCAGATGAAGAAGAATGAGAGCATTATACAGAAGAAGCTGGAAAGCAAGGAGGACGAGGTGAACAAAGTGAAGGATGATCTCAAGGTCATCAAGGACAGTCTCACAGAGAAAGATAGACAGATGCAACGTAAGCTCTCAATATTAATACAGACCTAGCTCATGTTTTATGTACTGAACATATCAACAGAGCTCTTACCTTGACACGAATAAGCCTTATTCAGTCAAATAAATCAGAATTTAAGAGGCAACTTGGGTCTTGTGTTGGTAGTTATGAGGTGTCACGTTTGTAGATCAATTTACCGAGAGCCAAGTACGTTAACAAGATACAGGAATTCAATCATCCTGCTGGTTGTAGAGTTTATAGAGAAACAATGCTCCACTAAATGTAGTCTGTCAGAAACTATAGATCCAGTTGTTTATTCGGTGTCCTTCAAATTTTAACCTTCCTTTTAGTGCACCATGTGTCTTTATGTAATGTTTCTGTGGTGATGAGAAGAAATAATTTTTTGTTTGTTGTGTATTCCAGAGATGCAGAAATCTTGGCAACAGACAGAAGCTCGAATAAAACACCAGAGTGGCGAGAAGGAGGCGGAGTACAAAACGATGGTCGAGAAACTGTCAGCATCAGAAAAGGAACTGCGACAGCTGCAGAGTGAGCACAGAAACCAACAGAACCAGTTCCAGGATCTGAAGAGTTCCATCGAGAAAAAGGAGAAGGAAAATGCTCAGCTGTCCCACAATAACTCGCAGTACCAGTCCGACCTGGACGCTCTACAGAACAAACACAAGAAGGCCATGGACGAGTACCATTGTCTGCAGACAAAACTTGACCAGCTCCACTCCAGCCACATGACGTCCACTACCCACCTACAACAGTCCAAGAAGCTGTTGGAGGACAAAGAGACAGAAATCAAGGAGCTGAGGAACACACTTGAGGGTCTGCAGGACCAGGCAATTAAGAGTGAGGAGCGGCACCAGACAGCACTTACCGAGCTACACAGTCAGATGACCAATGTCCAGCAGGCTGCGGACACCAAGGCAGCAGAGATCACTTCACTCGAGATGCAACTGCTATCTGTACAGATGCAGGTGGACTCGGTCAATCAGAGCAACGCAGGACAGATATCCGACCTTGAGCAGAAGGTCAAGGCTCTGGAGGTCAGTGAAGGTCAAATGAAGGACGTTTTACATAATAAAGAACAGGAGATTGACACCATGAAAAGGACTCACGAAGGAGCTTCACATGAGCTAAATAACGCTAAGGAAGCTCTGTGCGAACAGGAGGAGAAATGTAAAAGTATTACCAGTGAGTTAGAGGAAACAAAGAGAAAATTAGAACTTGCCAAGGATTCCGTAGACTCGCACATGAAAGAAATCAAAGTTGTTAAAACTGAGTTGTCTGCTGTTCAAGAACAGTCTGCAAATGAAAGCAGTAAAATCGCAAAGGAGGCAGAGGAAGTCAGAGGTCAGCTGAAAACTTGTGAGGTTGAGAAAGAGACACTCAAGGAAATTGTTTCTAAGAAGGAATCTGAGTTAGAGGAGATGGCGAATAAGTTTGACAGTCTGTCATCGACAAAACAAGAACTGGAAGTGAGACTTGCAACTCTGACTGAGGAGCATGAAACCTTGGTTGCTGAAAGACAAACCCTCTCCACTAAGTTGGAACAGGCAGAGAGTGCTCTGGCATCAAAGACCAGTGAACTGGGAAATTTAGCTGAACAACTCAAGTCCTCTAGGGACCAGCTAAATTCTGATATGGAGGTAAAACAACAGCATTTGAACAGTGTACAAGGAGACCTGGATGCTATCAAGGACAAGCATGACAAAATGGCTGAAATGCTTGTAGTGAAGGAACAAGAATGTGATAAGCTTGGACTGGAATTAGCCGAGGTGAAGACTGAGAGCTCCACTCTGGCTGACAAGCTTCAGGGATACCATGACCAGCTTGGGACAATGGAGTCAGAGAACTGTCAACTGAAGGATCAGTACGATCAAGCCAACTCCACTGTGGTAAGCAAGAACCAGACTCTTATGGAACTAGAGACTGAATTGTCGTCGGTAAAAGAAAAGTCTGAAAGCCGTTGTCAAGAATTGTTTGACTCTCTCTCCAAGACACAAGAGGAGTATGAGTTGTGTCTTGTTGAGAAGGACAAAGCCCTTGAGGTTGTGAAACTCAAGGAAAGCTTGTGTGAGAAATTACAGACAGAACTATCTGATCTCAAGGCTTCTGAGAAAGATTTTGGTGTCAGGTTGGAATCTACAGACAAAGAAATGAAAGATTTGGTTAAGGAGAAAGAACAACTTCTTAGTAGGCTGTCACAAGCCAACGCCACTGTGGAAGGGAAGTCTGCAGAATTATGTCAGTTACACTCAGAACTGGGTGAAGTTCAGAAACAAGCTGAAGTTGAACTGAAAAAGAAGGCAGAGAGTCTGGACAGCACTAGTGAGGAGCTTCAACACATAATGGAGAAACACGATAAAATTAAAGAGTCTCTGAGAGTCAGAGAGGAGGAGCACACAAGCGTTCAGGACAAATTGGAAAACTTGCGGAAGGAACACAGTGAACTTGCACAGAAGTGCCAGTCTCTAACAGATCAAATAGAAACCATGTCATCAGACACAGCTCTACTGAAGGAGCAACTGTGTCAAGCAAATGATGCTGTCACCACTAAGAGCGAGGTGGCTAGGAACATGGATGCTGAGCTTTCTGCTCTCAAAGCAAAAGCTGACACTGACTGTCAGGAGTTGTCTGAAAGTGTGACCAATTTACGTGAAGAGAATTCTAAATTTCAAGAAGAGAAAATGAAAATGACAGAATTGATCAAGGAAAAAGATGAAGTTAATGCTAAATTGAAGGAAACTCTGAATGGACTTCAAAGTGAACATAAAGAATTGGCCAACAAGTGTCAGAGCCTGTCGGAGGACCTAGAAACATTGGAAAAAGAGAATGGATCAGTGAAGGAACAGTTACAACAGGCGAATGAGGCTGTGGAGGGAAAAAGACAGACTATCATGTCATTGGAGACTGAACTGCGGAGTGTCAAGGAAGAAGCACAGTCTGTATATACATCTACAGACTCAGTCATGTCTGAGCTCAAACAGCAACTCGACACACTAACCACAGAGAAAGACAAAGGAGTTGAGTTGATAAAGTTCCGTGACCAGGAGGTTGAGCGGCAAAAGGCAGAGCTGTTCTCGCTGACAGAGAATCATCAACAGCTCCAGACCAAGATGGAAATGTTACAGATGGATGTTGAGGACAAGGATGAGTGTATGGAAGATCTGGATGGCAAGGTGCAGGGGTTGGAGCAGAGTCTGGCAGCAGTTAATCTCTCGCTTTCACAAAAGGAGCAGGCTCTTACCAAGGCAGAGGCGGAGATGGACGACGTCCTGGCCAGACTGGACAGTCTGAGAGAGGAGCATACTGCTTTGGAACAACGCTGTCAACAACAGACATCACAGCTGGAGCAACAGACATCTGTGGTCAACAAACAAGCTCAGGCGTTACAGGAGGATGGAGAGAAACACCAGCTCCTCTGTGAGGAGTCGGATAAGCTTAAACTCAGCCTGATGGAGATGACATCATCTTATGAGGACAAAGACAATCAGATTCTAAAAATGAACAATACATTGAATGATTTGGAGTTGTCTGTCACAAGCTTGAAAAATGATCTATTTGAGAGGGACGAAAGCATCAACAGCTTACAAGTACAGTGTAGTAAACTTCAAGACGACTGGGAAAGCAGATGTTCAGATCTCAGTGAGCAGACAGAATGCAACCAGCGCCTTGAAAAGCAAGTTGTATCACTTGAGAGTTCACTTACTGAGGTCCAATGTAAACTGGATCACAAATGTGCTGAATATGATCAACTCAGCAACAAGTTTGCCGACCTTAAAACTAAAATGGACGAGAACGATTCCACTATCAAAGAGTATCATGATACAATTACACAACTCAGGTCTTCAATTCAAATTAATGAGGAAAAACTCAAGAGTTTGCTGACTGAAAAGGAAAAAGTTCAGAAATCCAGTTTGAAAGACATGCAGAACCTTCATGTTCAGTTAGAGTATAAACAGGAAATATTAGACAGGAAAGCCAAGGAACTTCAGAAACTCCAGGTTAACATGGCGGACATACAGTCACTTCTCAACACACACCGAGAGGAGCTGCAACAAGCCAAGGAAAGTCACAAAACTTTAACACAGGAATGTGATCTTCTGCAGACAGCATTAGGGGATGCAACTGAAAGTCTGGAGACCAAAACAGCAGCTTATAATTCACTTATGGATTCCAATGGCACAATGGAAGAGAAATTAAGAAGTCATTTGGAGGAAGTCGAGAACAAGGTAAAAGCTCTCTCTGATGAGCTAAATGCAGCTAAGTGTAAACTAGAGATGATGGAAATGGACATTGAAGATCGGGACGCAACAATTGCTGATATGGCCGACAAATCTGAGAATCTCACCAACAGTACAGACAGTCTCAGGGAAGAAAACACTAGACTAAAGGCATCCGTTTCAAGTTTGGAACAAGAAGCAGATAAATTCAAAGGGAGATGTTTAGACTTGGAAGTGGACCTGAAAAGTGCCTGCGATCAGCTTGGTGACAACATGAGAAAAACAGGAGACATGGAAAACGAACTGAAGCAAAAACTTGACACCATGCTGTCAGAGAAAAATCAAAGCAATCAAGAACTGAAGGCACTGAGTCAAAAATTGGAAGAAAATGAAAGACTGATTTCCCAGAGAAATGAGGAAAGAGAGAAAAGGGATAATGACATGGAAAATGTGAACAAACAATTGGAGGATGTACTGGATCAACTCAAAAACAAGGAGGAAAGCTTACAAAACAATGTCCAGGAACTGATGTCTTTGAAAGATAAATCCATGAAATTGTCAGAGGAGTATGATGCACTAATGATAAAGAACACTTCATCAGATAATGATATGGAAGCCCTTAGACTGCAAGTAGAAAGTCTGACGAAAACACTTGAGGAGAAGGAAGTACTTGTTAGCGAACTTCAAATTACAATAGAAACAAAATTGAAGGCAATCGAGTCACTCCAAGATGAAATGGCATGTCTGAAGGAAAGTTCAGACAAAACCCTGCTTTGTGTAAATGAGGAAAAGCATGAGAAAGAACGAAATATCAAACATCTGGAAGAAGAAAGAGAATCTTTAAGAAATAATCTCCAGGAAAAGCTGAGTGACATCAGTCGATTGGAATCAGAAAAAGAACTACTCCAACAGGAATTTGATGACAAGATGAAGGCATCATCTTCGGATGGGGAGCAGCTGAAAAAAGATAAATATGATTTGCAAGAAAGTCTCAAAACCTCTAAGAACGAAGAAATTGCATTGAAGCAAAATGTTTTTGAACTTGAGTCACTTGTGGAGGAACTGAAATCTCATATTTCTAGCCTGGATGAAAAAAATTCAAAGTTGTTGTCTGATGAAGCTGCTATGGAGGTGAAGATGACCGAAAGAATGAGTGATAGTGAGAGTTCCCTGCAGGAACTAAGGAAGGAATTCCAGGAAAAAGAGGAAGCAAGGTTTGAACTACAGACAAACTTGGAAACATTGACAGAGGAAATTTCTAACAAGGAACGAAATTGGGGAGATCAGGAAAAGACTTTAATAAGTAAACTTACAGAATCAACAGATACAATTTCTAATCTGGAGAAAAATCTCGCGGAGATAACAGAACAGTGTGGGGATTTGGAGAACAAATTGGTTAACCTGACTGCAAGTGTAGAAAATGAAACATCTGAGCTGAATCACACTATAGCTTCTGAAAGGAAGAAACAAGTGGATCTGCTGAAGCAGCAGGAAAAGGAATTTGATATTAAGAAGCAAGATTTGCTAAGTAAACTGGAAACTGTGGGTCTGGAGTTATCTCTCAAAGAACAGGAGAATGCTCAATTAAATAACGAGTTGGATATAGTGAAGAAAGAGAATACACGCCTGAAGGACACCACTAATCAGGAGCATATAGATATGTGTGAGTCTCTGGCAAGTCTGCAGAATCAACTCGAGGCAATGACCAATACTAGTACCATGATGGAGGAGGAAAAGAACCGCCTGGAAAATCTCCTTGACCAGGAGAGAGCAGAGGTCAAGCTGCTTACTGATAAAGTGACCAGTCTGGAGACAGCGGTCAGTGATGCTACTGTGAAATTGTCGCAGGTCAAAGATGAATTCATTGCAAAGGAGATGCAGTTCCAGGAAAACATTAAAGAGCTGGAAACAGAGAAAAACAAACTCAACACTGCATTGGAAGTATCTGCTGCTGATCTGGAAAAGTATACTGCTGACAAAACTGACATGGAAAACAATCTTTTGGAGAGAGACTCACTTTTACAGAGTTCTCAGAATGACCTGACAGTCCTTGAAAGTGACAGGAAGCGTTTAGAAGGCTTGGTAACATCCCTTGAGAGTGAAAAGAGCACTCTTCAGTATAGATTGGACGAGTTGCAGTCAGAGTTGTCTGCCCTGCAGTCAGAGAAGGCGCAAACTGTGCAAACAGCCGAGGAGACCAAATTTGAGCTGGAGACCAAAAAAGACTTATCAGAGACACTCCAGCAACAGTTGGACCAACTACAAGCAGATCATACACAGGCAACAGAGAAAGTCAGCCAACTGCTGTCGGAGAAGGACTCTCTCTTGCACAGTTTTGAGAAGGTGACTGGTGACAAGAACGATCTCACCGTCAGACTGGAGGAATTGGAGAAGTCATCGCAGGACAGCGAGGAGAAACTTATGTTTGAACTGAGCAATACAAAGGAACGTTTGTCATCTGATCGTCTTAAAATGTCAGAAATGAAATCAGAGTGTGAAACCTTGGGGCATAAACTGAGTGAGAGTGTCGATGTCAGTGCTGCTCTTCAGCAAGAGAAGGAAGATATATTACTGAAACTGGGAAATCTGGAACACAATTCCTCAGATTGGGTCGACAAAATCTCCTCTCTCGAGCAGAAGTTGAAGCATAATGAGGAAGCCCTGGATTATAACACGAAACAGTCAGCTCTGATGGAAGAGGAAAGAAACAGTCTCAAAGCAAGGGTGGAGGAGTTTGAAAGAGAAATCATGGACAATGAGGAGAATCAGAAAGTACTGGAATCAGACTTGATGTCAGCAGAAAAAAGAATATCTGATTTGGAAGAGGAAGTAGAAACTAGTAGATCTATGATGGAAGATCTTCAGAGAGAACTTCAAGTTTCTCAAGAACAAGTCAGTGCCAAAGAGGCTGAAATTGTACATATGAAGGAAGAGCTTTCCTCTAATGTCCTCCGGGCCACAGACACAGCTTCTGAAATTTCTACTGTAGAAAGAAGACTGGAGGCTCTAAGTTCTGAGAGAGAGGAGGAGAGACAAAGACTGGAAAATATCATAGCTGAAAATGAGAACAGTATAGAAGAACATAAGGAGAGAATCTCCTCTCTGAATATGCAGCTTGAATCCCTTCAGTCAAAGATAAACAGTGAAGAATCAGAGAAGGAAAAGTTATCTGGAATTTTACAAGTAAATGAATCAAATATGGAGGACATTTTGTCAGAAAAAGAACGTCTTAGTGACCTCCTTTCTGAAACATCACAAGAAAGTGCTGACCTGAGACACAAGGTCACAGAGCTAGAAAAACAGATAGCAACATTGAAGGCTGACAACCGGTACTTAGAAGACCAAGTATCGGAGTCCCAATCACAGCTCCAGGCCACCCAGACTTTCTCCCAGGACATTCAAAACCAGCGAGACTCCCTGGGCACAGACTACAAAGCCATTCAGGATCGCATCAGCCAGCTAAGCACGGAAAACCAGGAAATGGTCAGCAAAGCCCAGCAAGCAAGCATAGAGGTGGAACGTTACAAAATCCAGCTTGAGGAAACTGAAGAACGCTCCGAACAGCAAACTCAGACATTCTCTCAACGCATCTCTGATCTACAGGGTGAGGTTCAGAACCTAGCCTCGCTAGTGAGCTCCTATGCTGAGGACATGAAGTGCTTACAAGGAGACAAAGAGGACCTGAGCACCTGTGTTCAGAAGATGGAGATCGAGATGAAATCGGCCAAAGATGATCTTGAGACAAAGCAGAGTCAGATCAAAGAGCTGGAGGCCATTGTACAGCAGAATCAGAAAATTAGCTCAGATTTAGAAGCAGATTGTCAGAAATGGAAGGAAAAGAGCGAAAGATTAGAAGAAGAATACAGTCAGAAGATGTCGGAGGTGGAATGGATGTCTGTAGAGAAGGGGGAAACACAGGAGACTGTGAGTGGGTTAGCTAAGGACAAGAAAGACCTCTCCCAGACAATTGAAACACTGCAACAGAATCTCACAGCAGCCAGGGATGAAATAGAAACACTGCAGAATAGTGTTAGCACTGGAAACACCCAACTCAATGTGTTAGAGATGGAAAATCAGGAACTCAAAACTTGTATTGTTGATAAAGAACAGAACATTACTAAAATTCAGAAAGAGCTGGAAGATTTCACGAACAAATTGAAGAAAGTTGAGGGTGAAAAACAAGCATGTCAGCAACAGATTGATGACTTTGTCCTTGAAAAAGAACAAATGGTGGATAGAACGATAGCTGCCGAGTCAGATTTGTCTGTGATTAAGGAAAATCTTGTGGGTCTGAGTGCCGCACAGGCAGATTGGGAAACCTCCATGAAGAAGAAAGTTACCAAGATACAGGAGAAAGAGGCGCAGATCACCGGACTTAAACAAGAGATAGACAAACTTACCGGCCAGGTGGATGAACAAGTGAGACAGTTAGTGGAGCTGCAGGGGAAATTGGAGAGTCTGACCAAAGAAAAGAAGGCCACAGAGACTGATATGGAGTGCTTCAAGGATGCTATGGAGTCACTGGAGATGGAGAGTGAAAGTCTGAACGTCGAGAAGGCCACACTCGAATCTGAATTAAAACAGGTAAAGGTGGAGAGAGACGATGCAAAGCAGACTGTGATGAAGTTGGAGCAAGAGTCACAAAAGGTAGATAGGAGTAAGGAGATAGAAATGGAGCAGGAACGAGCATCTTGGATCGTTGAGAGAGAGGACTTCAGGGATAGGATCGACTCACTCAATGCAGAAATCGCAGAGATAAATGATAAATTTAGCTCCTGCTCACAGAAACAAAACAATCTGAGTGGTGAGAATGTGAATCTTACAGCCAAAATACAGGAGCATGAAGACAAAGTGAAACAACTAGAAGCCCAGGTTTCTACCCTTACTGACAATTTAGACGTTCTTAATTCTGAGATGTTGGAGGCGTTAGAAAAACACAGAGTTGTGTGTGAATCTGAGAGAAGTGTAAAGGCTGAGTTGATCGAGGCCAACAGACAGTTGGCACGAGTAACTGACAAGTTGAACACCAGGGAAGATTCAGTGCAGGAGGTCAAAGGACAACTTGAGAAGCTGAGTTCAGAGGTCAAGACACTGACAAGCAACAATGTGCGCTTGACGCAGCAGTGTGCCACACAGGAGCGGGAGAAGGGTGAACTTCTGGGAGACTTCCTCAACCTGGAGAATGATAAAGCACAGCTACAGAGGACTATTGATGCTCTCAAACTTGAGGTAAGTACATTTTATCCAGCAAGTCTGTTCATTTGAAAAAAATTGTCCAAATTTCATTCGACATGGTTTTGACATACTATTAATTAGCAAACAATATTTTCATATGCAGGAGAGAAAAGTCTTTTCAATTCTAAAAATACTAGTGATTTTATTTTGCGCATGGTTATTTTTGCTGCCGTTTAATTATGTATTATCACAGTCTGAGAAAAAGACAGGAAAACTTAAGAAAAAGAAACCCCCAAATTTTTGCCATTTGGATAGACAGATGTTTAGGATTCTTAACTTTTGCTGTGTTTGGTTGTATTTAAACCCAACAATTTTTTTCCTGATATTTTGACATGAAAAATTTAAGCACAATATAGAACATCATATTTTTGCATTTAATAAGGAACCATATAAAATTTACTGTAAATGAAGAACTTTGTGAGATGTCTGCTGTTTAATAGGAATTGTACAAGAAGTTAGCTATGGTTTACTGTAAATGAAGAACTATGTGAGATGTCTGCTATAAAACATGAACGTTATGAGGTGTCAGCTGTGAGATGCATAGTTTTTATGATCATGAAAACAAAATGATTAAATCACTATTTTTCCTAATTCAAATGTGATAACAGAATTATTATTGTGGGTCCTTGGACTGTTACATATTTTCTAAGAGTTTTCTACAAATGTACAAAATTGAGTACGGTCTGGATTGATAGGTTGATGACGTGAAGGGAGAATGTCGTGACAAGGAGAAGGAGACTGAGCATGTCAAGAAGCAGCTGGCAAGTGAGGAGGAACAACGCGTACAGCTGGATGATCAGCTGTGTGCTGTACAGGCAGAGCTAGCCACGACCAGTAGTTCACTCACCAAATACGAGCAGGCCAACACCACCCTGGAAGCCATCAAGGTTTGTGGACTTGTACCATCTTGATATCCCCTGTACATGTAAACTAATTAGCAAGTATTTTAACTCTTTTAACCCCTGGAGACACATTTGAACTCTTCCAATTCAAAGGTTGGAATAGTTCATTATGAAATTTCATAGGTCAATGAGTTAATTGGACATTTTGAATATCCTTTTTGTCTTGACTGTCTAAATATGAAGGTCTAAATTTTTTACTCTTTTTTTCAACATCTCTTTATTTGACTGAAAATGTATGGATACATAATCCAAAGTTCAGGTACCCAAATAAGGACGATACATTTTACTACTTTTATGTTACTTACAAAGATGAAGAGAATTTTTATTTGGTTTGCAGTGATAGTTTTTCAGTTAATATCTCTTGAAAATTAGTTAAGTCACTTTTGTGTGGAGCACTATGGTGCAGGATGAGGACTAGTTTTCACTTTTCTACACTTATGAAATGTGCTGCAAAACACACGTAAAATAAATTGCAGGGAACCTTACAAATTCACTTATCATGACAAACATTTGTCATAGAGTTAGATGTTCATGAGAAAAACTCCTTGCAAGAAGCTGTTTCATGATAAAAGTGCTTTACTGTAATCTTTTGTATACAAGTGCATCATCGTGAACTAACCAGCATTCAATGAATCCTTCATTAGTAGATCAGCAAATTTCGGGGAAGTATATATCAATATGCACATAATTGGTTAAAAGCTTGTATTTGTATTCTCTCTCTTTTTTCTATGATTCAGGAGGAATTCACAAAGAGGTTTGAACAGATGATAGCTGACCTTTCCGAAAAGGACAACAACATTGCAGAAATGGAGTCTGCCCACAAAGCTGAGGTGGAGAGGCTCACTTCATGTCACACAGAGGAAGTTGAGAGGATGATGGGAGATAACTCAATGACAACAGAGAGGATGAAAGAACAGTACGAGTCGGAGTTGCAGCAGCTGCAACTGGCTATCACAGAGCTCGAGACACAGGCTGTGGGAGGTCAGGATAGTGGAGAGGTACAAGCAGCACTTGACCTGGCTGAGAGACAGATCGCAGAGCTTAACGACAAAGTGAAGACGCAGACAGCTGAGGAAGAGAAACTTGTCAAGGTACAACATAATATAAACCAGTTATTGAATGGGTTTTCATTGCAGAACATATTTTGTGAACCAAACAGATATTCTGTCCAAAGATTCCATTAAAATTAAGTTGCAAGACATTCAGAAAGGGAAGGAATCTGATTATACTTGTCAGTTTCCAATGGTCTTGCTGTCTTTTTTATCACCCTGACTAATTTGATGTTCAAATAGCAAAATTATGATTGTATGATTTCCTTAAGTGCTCCAACAGCTTACTGCCAGTCAACTTTTCAAACAAATTTTAAGTAAAAACAGTTAGAAGTTCACCCTTTCTTTTAACCTGTCTGTCTGCATGTTCATACAGACTGATCAACTGCTGTATTACGGTAACTTTTCCAAGCCAAATATCTCCTAAAAAGATGGAAAAGAAAAAACTTATCACTAAGGCTGAAAATTGTCCAGAGAAAAGGAGCAATTCATGAGAATGATTTCCTTATTCTGTGAGTTCAGTGAGATAACTAGCTCTGCTGTCTTTACAGGTGATGAAGAAGTGGGAGAGCCGGTGTTCACAGCTACAGACCGAGCTGTCTGCAGAGAAAGCTCGCTCACTCAAGCTCAAACAACTGCGTGGCAACAAGGAGCCAGACTCTACGCCGGTATGTTTTTCATTTATCAATCGCAACTCAATCAGTCTGTAGTCCACCCCAACATCTGTTAATGCATCCGATCTTATCAAGGCACCTGCCATGGAAGCACATCATTTATAATCCACCCTTTGGTTTGGATATGCTTATTATCTCTCGGGATGTCTGTGATCATTCCAAATCTCTCAGACCCTTTGTCTCTTCAGTTTCAAATATTCACCATAGTTATAGTGTTCTCAGTTGTCGGAGCTTGTTGATATGTTTGTCAATGTATTGTAGGACAACAAAGATGTGGAGGAGAGACTAAAGACCGCTGAAGCAGAGAGGGATAAATACGAGGAAGATTTACTGAAGTCGATGGCCGAGAGAAACACCTTAAAACAACAGAACATTTCACTAAATACCAAAGTGACAGGACTAAGTATGTGATCATTTATCCATCAGAATGTTAACCTGAATTAACAATGCATAAACAGATAGAGACATTAATGGTCAATGCCAATAGCTTGTCGATTGTTTGTCTTGTCTAGTTAATTATAGGTTGGGTTTGTAAAAAAATCAAAATCGGCATGTAGGCAAGCACTCTTAGTATTATACTGTACATCCCTGAAGCTAAAATGACAAGGCGGTTACAATCAGGTGGCACAGAGGGAAGCCCACTCATGTTCATCTTTCACTAACCGCCCAGGGTTAGATACCCTGATTGGACATGAAAGGTATTGGGATTTACATTGGGATCTCAGTTTCCTCCCTTATTTAGACCTCCCTGTTCTCTGTCCAGGCTAATCATAGTGATTAGTAATGTTGTTAGCTTAGTTTTAATTGTTGTTTTAAAAAAAGCAATGTTTAAAAAAGTTTTGATTTTTCTTTCCACTAATTTTCTGTAATATTCCATTTTAAGAAACAGTATCAAAGCAGTTATGAACTTTCAATAAAAACTTTGTACCACCATTGAAATCAAATTCAAAAAGTACCAGAATTTCATCTTATTGAAGCAATTATAAAATTAACTTTACAGTGGAGCAGTTTTGTTTCACCTGTCTGTTTTATTTAGACTATTTGATTGACCAAGATTTATCAATATATTTGTTTACCTTTGTATTTATTGGACATGTTGAGGCATAAGTAAACTAAATATTGTCCCACCTATGTTAAAATTCCATCGTCCTGCATCCATGAAGTCTTATAGCCCCGAAACAGCTGACCATATATTGAGATGGAATTTGAAGCGTACCAAAAATGCAAAATGATTGTCTTGAATATCACACTCCTTGTTTTATCAATTAATTTTAATGAAAATTCAAAATAATAATAAAAATCATATCAACAAAAGGATGATACTGGAAAATACCAAAGATCAATGGGAAAAACGAAACATAATTTTCCTTTTTTAACAAGTAGTAATCATAGTTTGTGAAACAATTTAATGCATAAATGTTAAAAAATAACAAGACTAGATTTAGCAATATAAAAACCTTTTGGTACAATTGTGAGTTTCTAATGATATTTGAACATTGTTCTGACATCTGTTGTTCGTCTATTTTTTTTAGTTAAAATGTTGAACATGCAGAAAAAAGAACCGAGATCAGTGTCACAGGTTTACGATGTGCCTTCTGTCAACACTACCGGGGATCAAGTGACATCCAAAAAGGAAACGAAAGACTTCACTGTAGTGAAACCTGAACCACGACGTCCAATCAGTTCTAATAAATTAGACATTCCAGCCGTTTCTGTCTCAAAACCAAAATCTCCAAGTGTACTCCCAGTGTCTCATAAACCATTGACAAGGTCTTTATCTTCCCAAATCTTCCCAAACTCTTCAAAAGACCTTCATTCAACAACTAAATCACAGACTCAAATGTCTCAGCTCCGAGTTCAACAGCAACAGAGGGATGGTAAATCACCCGATAGGATATCTTCCTCACCGCTCACAAGAGCAATGAGTTTGAAATTATCTAGTGAAAAGTCTTCCGGGATACCAACCCTAACACGATCTCAGGAAAAACGCAAACTCCAGACAGAGGCTCGGGATGAAGTTGTGCCAAAGAAAATCAAAAGTGCTGCAGGTATTGTTCTGGCATATAGTCCGATTTTTTATTTTATTTTAAAAGCTGTATTTCTACAAACATACCCAAAAGATAGAGTAGGTCATTCAGAAATAATTTATTTTTAATTTTTAATTTCAATTGTCCATACAACAACACTATTTCTTGAATCATTTAAATTGACTTCCCATACACACATTTAACAATGCACTTTTTGCCCTTCTCATGGTACTACAATACTTTGTGTATGCAGTGAGGAAGAACAGCTTTGCTCTTATAATCTCTCATACAAACAGTACTACGAGCATATATTTTAGTTCTTTGTTTGTTTGCTTTTGTTTAATTTAGATGATAAAAATGTGTAGTTTTGCGTTAAAAAAATGGAGAGGTTCAGGTGAGGGGCCACACAGCTTTTATAGTTTAAGCTGTATTGTCCTGTCATCACCAGAAATTAATATCATCTTGTATATGGTTTATGTACCATTTATCTTAACTTTTCCAACAGGTTTAAAATCTAAATTCAGGCTTGATATTAGAACCAATCAAGATAGAAAGCTAACAAATATATTCTACTTTTCAGATCTGCAACTCAACAAGAAACCTCTCGGTACAATCACCAACAGCCCTAGTAAGGTCTCGCACACGTCGGACGATCTCACGAAAAAAGTGGGACAAGCAAAGAGAGTGCTCAGTCTACGCAAATCTCCAGAGATGCGTAAACACCTACGTAAAACAGACTCTCAGAGTTCTAGTGCGAAAGACGCAGATAATCAAGACTGTAAAATGCAATAGTTAGGTTATAAGTGTATTTAAGTGTAGACATAATGTTGTGTTCGTCGTCACGGAACAAAGTTTTAGAGATTAGAAATTACATGACCACTTATAGATTCTCTTTATTAACAGATTAAGTTGATTGTACAGTCATGTGTGTATTTTTTTTGTAAATTGAGATATGTATATACACCCATACTAGTAAAAGTTTGATTATATACAGTAAAACCTGCTTTAAGTGGAACTTGGATAGGTCTGTAATACCTGCCCTAAGTTAAGTAAGAAATTTAGTTCCAATCTTTTTATAAAAGCCTTGTAATTTTCATTCCAAAACTTTTAACAAGTTTTACTATATATAAAAAAAATATAAATAGTGATGTATATAAACACATCTTTTCTTTCTGATCTGCCCTTCATACCTACAAGTGTCTAAGTTGTCAGTTGTATCAATTTGTTTTTTTAGTTTTTGTTGATAATTGTTAATGATACAGATTCTGAACATTTTAAATGTCCATGTTGTATATATTTGTGCATGTTCAATGAAGCCTTTCTACTAAAAAAAAAAAAGAAATATATATTTTGGCACATAGCTGCCGTACTTATGGAAGATTTTGGGGAAAGTTTTTGTTCGTTATTGCAAAGACAGAAATGTTGATGTTCGTTAAATGAATTGCCTTAAAAAATTATAGTGAATGCTTTTAATTACTTGAACTAATCATTAGAAAGGGATGGGAAGCTCACTGAAATGTGCTGGTACCCGGTAGTATGGTAACTTAAATTCATAATACATGTACATCCATTTTCAACTCCAATATATATCATACATTGATCTGAAATATACAATCCCTCTATGATTAGTTTTGGAATAGCCTACAGAACGTTCTATTGGACTATATTCTATTAAAAGGGAAATGGAAGACACAGTATTCGAAGTTAATGCAGCATTGTTAATAAGACTAAATGTTATATTTATACATTTTGTGGTTTGTCAGGTTATTATTTGTATATTTAACGACTTAACCTTCATTTTAGCTTAAACAGTAACTTTTATTCGGAGAGGAAACTTAGTAAACAGGATTGGATATGCTACTAATCTGTTCAGTTATGACACTAGGTTAAGCTGAACTATGTTGCCGTTATAACACTTTAATACCTCTGAAGGAAGAAATTTGGAAAATTCAAAGTTCAACTTCTAATATCAGTCTTGATTGTCAATTTTTTTCAAAATGGGTTTTTCATTTCCACCTGGTATTTGATGATTATGTACCACAATTTGGCATACACAGGGATGATTTTTTTTCTCTTTTCAGAGTATTTCCTCTTTTTACCATATTTTGAATTTCCTTACATCCCTGGATCATGCTGTCAGAAATGAAGATGTCGTCCATTATTAGGGTCGTTAGTTTGTAGAGGTAGGAAACTTCCACACATTTTATATGACTAGTATTCACATAACCTATAGCACAACCTTCTTTTATTAGGTTAAGTTTGCAAAGGTAGAATATCACATCTGTAAAATGTCTGGCAGTGGAATACATTGAATACAAAGGCTAAATAAAGGTGCAACTCAATTATTTTTATACCTGGTAATGGAATCTCCAAATATTTGGTCCTTTTGTACATGTAATGCTTGATTTGTATTCAATATTAACACCAAATATGAGACGAGATTATTATTTCGGCTAGTTTTCAGTCATCAAAGACCTTTAATTCTGGTTGATAACCTAGGCCCTTTTGTGTTTTCGGTTCAACCAGTTAAACCCGAAAGAAAACGACAGGCGCAGATCAGAACTGAGGCTTACCTCGGGAATATTTAGCACGTGTAGATTGAGGGGTCCAGCCAGACATGCCTGCCAAAACTAAATTGCCGACTATTGCCATTTTGCATTATTTCTTTATAAAACAAGGTCAATCCACATATAGATTTTAATATATGTTACATAATTTAGTGGACATGGGTAAGAAAGATATATTATTCTTGATATATCGTTATTTATTCTCCGAAACTGCAGGGTTTTTTAGCTCTGCCCATGGTTCGGTCTAAATGCGATCATTTATCATGGAATATTTCCGTGCCACCTGAACTGTTTAACCCTAGTATCCATATCACTAATTTTTCCATCATGGCAGTCAAATGCACAAATGTCATTAGTAAAGTAGAAATTTCTTATGATGACTAGCGTACTACAAAATTATATTATATCCTGATAAGTCTCTGGGTTAACCAGTCTTTAGGGAATTTTTTTAACCTTTCTGGAATCACCCATGTTAACGATATGGATAACTGTGTCGTACAATGTATTTCAATATGGACATTTTCTTTTTATTATCAAGGTACTCGTTAATTTTATCCCGTGAATAAAATATAAAGTGTTATGTTGGACAAGAAGTGTATAATAATGATCACATGCGACGCATCAAATGCAAGTACGGTTTCTGGCAGGAATTCATTACGTCAGAAAATTGTCATATTTTAGATTTTATATGCTGCTTATTTAGATATTAATTTATATATGTTGTTTAGCAGTTAGTGATACCCATGTTTTTTTTGTTTAAGTGGATACAGAAATATACTTAATCTTGACTTCAGTTGTGCAGGAAAGTGAATGACCAAATATTTACTTGCGAACTTTAACCCGGTAAATTCTGTTTCCGAATTTCTCTTCCTTTACTATCTACTTTGACAGAAATTCATGACTAAATGCACAGAGAAAGTTGTGAGCAAATGCATGCAGTGTGAAATTGTGAATGAATTATCTTATTTCTGGAGAAAGAAATATATCGGATATTCAATAAAATGAATAGAAAAGAATCAAGATCTTGTGTTGTCTTCATTAAATAATATTCTGAAAATAATGCCCGTTAGACAAAGACAGGAAGCTGCTAACCGAGACACCATTTTGGTGAGGATTCGTAACACTGACCTTGTAACCTTGACACAAGATAGAGTCATGGATCAGGACACTGGCATGTCATCGTGCACGTGTCCATGTGGTCCTCTATAAATATTCCAGAAGCCAAACATAAAGAAACTCTACATTTGACATTTGCTGCTACCGACATTGGAGCTATGAATCCATGAAAAGGGAAATGGAAGACACAGTATTTGAAGTTAATGCAGCATTGTTAATAAGACTAAATGTTATATTTATACATTTTGTGGTTTGTCAGGTTATTATTTGTATATTTAACGACAACCTTCATTTTAGCTTAAACAGTAACTTTTATTCGGAGAGGAAACTTAGTAAACAGGATTGGATATGCTACTAATCTGTTCAGTTATGACACTAGGTTAAGCTGAACTATGTTGCCGTTATAACACTTTAATACCTCTGAAGGAAGAAATTTGGAAAATTCAAAGTTCAACTTCTAATATCAGTCTTGATTGTCAATTTTTTTCAAAATGGGTTTTTCATTTCCACCTGGTATTTGATGATTATGTACCACAATTTGGCATACACAGGGATGATTTTTTTTCTCTTTTCAGAGTATTTCCTCTTTTTACCATATTTTGAATTTCCTTACATCCCTGGATCATGCTGTCAGAAATGAAGATGTCGTCCATTATTAGGGTCGTTAGTTTGTAGAGGTAGGAAACTTCCACACATTTTATATGACTAGTATTCACATAACCTATAGCACAACCTTCTTTTATTAGGTTAAGTTTGCAAAGGTAGAATATCACATCTGTAAAATGTCTGGCAGTGGAATACATTGAATACAAAGGCTAAATAAAGGTGCGACTCAACTATTTTTATACCTGGTAATGGAATCTCCAAATATTTGGTCCTTTTGTATATTAACACTAAATATGAGACAAAATTATTATTTCGACTAGTTTTCAGTCATCAAAGACCTTTAATTCTGGTTGATAACCTAGGCCCTTTTGTGTTTCCGGTTCAACCAGTTGAACCAGAAAGAAAACGACAGGCGCAGATCAGAACTGAGGCTTACCTCGGGAATATTTAGCATGTGTAGATTGAGGGGTCCAGACATGCCTGACCAAAACAAAATACTGACTATTGCCAGTTTGCGTTATTTCTTTATAAAAAAAGGTTAAACCACATGTAGATTTTAATATATGTTACATAATTTAGTGGACGTGTGAAAGAAAGACATTAATCTTGATATATTGTTATTTATTCTGCGAAACTGCTGTTTTTTTTAGCTCTGCCCATGGTTCGGTCTAAGTGTGATCATTTATCATGGAATATTTCTGCGCCACCTGAACCGTTTCAACCGGAATACGCTAATGTAACCCTAGTATCCATATCACTAATTTTTCCATCATGGCAGTCAATAACACAAATGTCATTAGTCAAGTTGAAATTTCTTATGATGACTAGCGTACTACAAAATTACATTATATCCTGAGAAGTCTCTGGGTTAACCAGTCTTTAGTGATTTTTTTTTAAAACTTTCTGGCATCACCCATGTTAACGATGTGGATAACAGTGTCGTACAATGTATTTCAATATGGACATTTTCTTTTTATAATCAAGGTACTCGTTAATTTTATCCCGTGAATAAAATATAAAGTCTTCTGTTGGACAAGAAGTGTATAATAATGATCACATGCGACGCATCAAATGCAAGTACGGTTTCTGGCAGAAATTCATTACGTCAGAAAATTGTCATATTTTAGATTTTATATGCTGCTTATTTAGATATTAATTTATATATGTTGTTTAGCAGTTAGTGATACCCATGTTTTTTTTGTTTAAGTGGATACAGAAATATACTTAATCTTGACTTCAGTTGTGCAGGAAAGTGAATGACCAAATATTTACTTGCGAACTTTAACCCGGTAAATTCTGTTTCCGAATTTCTCTTTCTTTACCATCTACTTTGACAGAAATTCATGACTAAATGCACAGAGAAAGTTGTACGCAAAGTGAGCAAATGCATGCAGTGTGAAATTGTGAATGAATTATCTTATTTCTGGAGAAAGAAATATATCGGATATTCAATAAATTGAATAGAAAAGTATAAATATCTTGTGTTGTCTTCATTAAATAATATTCTGAAAATAATGCCCGTTAGTCACAGACAGGAAGCTGCTTACCGAGACGCCATTTTGGTGAGGATTCGGAACACTGACCTTGTAACCTTGACACAAGATAGAGTCATGGACCATGCATAATGCACCATCTGTGATGATTTCAAGTCAATTCTATAGTGTGTCCCATTAAAGTAATGTACAAGGCTCAATGGGCCTGCATCGCTCACCTGGTATTAATTTCTCACTATTGTAACCTTTTAAATGCTGACAAAAGCCATGTTTATTGAAATGAACTAAAATCAAGCTAAACTAATCCTCAAGAAGCACAGGAATCATAAATGACGAAAACGTTCAGTGATATTCGAAATTATTTTTATCAAAAGGACAGGCAGCACATATAATATCACACATTTACACATAAATATGAAAATTTGATGAAAAGAACACCAAATGGCTTAATAATTAATAACATTAGCATTGAATGTTCAAATGAAGTATTTCTGCAAGATCCAATATTTTCCACATCCAATATGTCGCCTGTGCAAGTTTACACAGTGTTGCTATGCTTTGTGAGGGGAGCTCCTTCAGCGACGAGGTCAGACTTCTGAAGCTTCCTGTCCTGCACTCATACTTCACATACACACATAGAAGCTGTGGGAACCAACATCTTTCTGTCTTTGTTCAAATAGAAACCCTAAGGGAATCCTTCTCTGGTTGATGTTCGAATAATTTAACGCATACAGTTTACCTGTAATAAAAGCAGAATATATTATTTTAGGATTTTTTTTACTTCTTTATGTTTGGCATTTACATACAGCCCTATTTGATGAAAACAACAGAAACGTTTGAGGTTTGACAATAGAAAAAGAGAATACACAAAAAGAACCTTAATAGGAGTTTTGCAACAGAAACGAGAATATACAGAATACATTCTACTCTATTTAATTGAAATTTTACCGGATGTGACCTTAAAAGAAAGGTCACACAAGAAAATACTATGATGCATGTTACGTTTTACTTACAATATCATCAATTTTCATGATGCTGCAGACAGTCTCGGATGCCAGGTGAATAGCACTTGTAGACACAAGAATGGGCTGGACAACATTCTCCTCCAGGATATTGGTAATGGCTCCCTGCAGACAATTAGGAGTAGATTATAAAGAATTTGTGTTCAAAGTGTGAATTTCAAAGAACAGGTCTACATTTCAATATCAAAATGATAAACTGTTAAAATTTAACATTGTTCAGTATTAACTCCAACAATGTAAACAAGAAGACCCGTCGTAAAATCTGTAACGAGTATGACCAAAATCCAATTTAGGAATTTTTTTTTATTTCATGTTGATGAAAACAAATTTAAAAGTCTTGAGATTTCATGCAATATCTCTAAAATGATATTTATTTTAATAGTACAATTATTTCCATTCTTAATGACACATATTAAATTATTTCTCGTATCTTTTGGGAAAATAAACAAAAATAATAACTTCGTGGATCCACTTTTCATCAGTTAAAACTAATAGATCACTCACATGAAATTTTGAGAAACAAACATGTCTCATATTTGATGAAAATAAAGATAGGTGCCATATCTCAACTTAGAATTGGATCTGAACAGGAACTCTAACCAAAGTCGGTGAAGCAGAAAATATAGGTCAGTGCTCCTCAAGATGTCTTCACATATGGAGTTTGATGACTTGGACTTTCAGTTTAAAAGTAATGGAGCTAAAAATAGTCTTGTTTGAACTGTTATGGAGACACCGGGAAAGTCCAGCATTAAGTGCTCTTTTTGAGCATAAAAATTTATCTCTCAATATCTCCTAGGCCTTTACCTTGCGGACGTTAATGCCAGCAGTTTTCTCTCCGTTGGCATGCCTGTTCCTCAGCTCTGTGACTGTGGCGATTGGGTTGAGACCAGCATTTTCTGCCAGAGTAAAGGGTATCACCTCCAGGGCCTCAGCAAAAGCCCTAAAGCAGTACTGTTCCACACCAGTCAGGGAGTTGGCATGGTCCATCAGTTGGAGAGACAACTCTGTCTCTGGAGCCCCACCTCCAGCAATTAGAGCCCTGATTTAAAGAAAACAAGAATACTATCAAATGTATACTCAACATGAGGGGGGGGGGGGGGGGGGGGGGGGTGTCCCAAAAAACTGGTAATTTCAAACATGCCATTAGAGGGATGTGAAATGAGTATGTTATATAGAGTTTGTAAACATGTTACTGCTGTATTTAAGTTTTTTAAGATCTACATTTAACTCATTCACCTCTGAACACACATTTAAACGCTTCCAATTCAAAGGTTGTAATAGTTCATTATGAAATATCAGGGGTAAAAGAGCTAAATCCCTCGATTTTCTTGTAAATGATTAACTTTCAAATTTAAAATTCATATTAATTTTTGCTGACCAACAGCATCTTTTTTATCGAAACAGATTTAAACGTTGTCCTCCTTCATTTCTGAAAATCATATCATAGAAAGAAACAATAACGGTGCCTACTTCTTCTTGACAAGACAGCGGATTACACAGAGGGCATCGTGGATTGACCTATCAGCTTCCTCTAAGACCAGCTTGTTGGAGCCTCTAATTAGAACAGTGACAGTCTTTCCTTGCGTGGGAATACCTGTAGCCTGTTATAAAACCAAAATATTACAAACCAGGTTATAATTATGTAAATAGTCTACATCAAACATATTGATTAGAAACCCCTCATCAATATTAGTTTTCAAAATTAATAAGGCTCATGAAGAAATGGGACCATCCAGGAAGATAAAATGTTGAGTATAATTCATTTACTTTATATATATAATGAGAATTTTGAAGAATTCTGATAAAAGATTTAAAAATGCCTTATTTTCCTTTTTAAACATCTGTAACTTTTTCTAATAAAAATAAAAATAAGTGGCTCCCTGAACATACCTTTACAATTTTACTAGCTCCAGTTTGAATCTCTTCAAACAAATCTGCAGATCCAAGATTTTCTGGTACAAAATGATCCAGACTGGCAATAGGTCGGCATCCCAAACCCTGGAACCCAAATTCGACGTATTATGAAAAGGAAGTTTTTATCCTTTCTTGGCACAGAAATACCACTTGTTAACTTTTCTCTGCTATTAGATGGCAAAACTTGTTAAAGTGCAAACAACCACAAATCACTGAAAGTTACATTAAGACACAAAGTAGTCATTTGATAACAACATACAAATCCTGTTTTACAGACTGAAATATTTTTCATCATAAATAAATAGATGAGTTTATATTAATGTGTCTTTCCTTCACAACAAATAAATCATAACTACCTTGCAGACGAACTCGACATCGTCCCTTTCAATATCTTTGATGACCATGATCTTCATTTTGGCGAAGAAATGAAGAGCTAAATCACTAACGGCATCTCTGAAACATCAATTGATCAACTTAATGAATCTGGGCTCTAGACCGATCTCCTACTGTATAACACGAAATGTTCGTGGGTACTCTCCTTTGTGGTTTGGAGCCCTTAAGATGGTTTCGTGGTACCAACTCTCATGGATATCCTATGTTAACAAACAGTCGACACGTATATCATTCAAATTCGTTGCATTTATTTTCGTGTTATAATAACAACCACAAAAACCACAAATGTTTATACACAACGAACATTTCATGTTATAAAGTATTTAGAACTTGAGTTCGTGTGCATACATACAAGTTTTGTACAAATCACTTAAACCTTGGGCTATATTACCAGATTGGATTTGTTCTGCTAAATGAAAGATTCATATAAAAATGGGAAAATTCCAGCACCATATTGCTCAACTGTTCCAATGACAGCAGAAAAATTGACTAGAACTACCAATGAGAAGTGATTTCAATGAAACACTTGTTGGTACTTCCTTCAGTTTTATGATAGAGTAAAGAGAACTTTCTTCACAGTTCTATGATATAGTAAGAGAACTTCCCTCACAGTTTTATGATAAAGTCAGAGAACTTCCTTCACAGTTTTATGATAGAGTAAGAACTTTTTTCACAGTTTTATGATTGAGTAAGAGAACTTACTTCACAGTTTTATGATATAGTAAGAGAACTTACTTCACAGTTTTATGATATTATTAAAAGTAAGAGAAATTTCTTCACAATTTTATGAAAAAGTAAGAGAACTTTCTTCACAGTTTTATGATAAAGTAGGAGAACTTTCTTCATTTTTTTTTTTTTGTAATTTTCTTTTTATTCAAGATTTTTTGGCAATATATGGTATATTTACATTCAAACAATTCATATTATATATTCAGACCTCACACGACTCATATTTACTCTTACTTACATCAGTTGATATATTTAGACACAAGTACATGTAATGGTACCCATGTACACATATATTGCCTTTATGAGAACAGAGAGAGAGAGAGAATAGAAAAGAAGAAGGTAAAAAAATAGCAATGAAAACGGAGAAAGTCAACAGAAAGAGAAAGAAAAAGGAGAAACTAGTTTTTCGCACTGCAGCTCAACAATAAACACAGTTTTATGATAGAGTAAGAGAACTTTCTTCACAGTTTTATGATATAGTAAGAGAACTTCCCTCACAGTTTTATGATATAGTAAATAAGAGAACTTTCTTCAGTTTTATGATAGAGTAAGAGAACTTCCTTCACAGTTTTATGATATAGTAAGAGAACTTTCTTCACAGTTTTATGATATAGTAAGAGAACTTCCCTCACAGTTTTATGATATAGTAAATAAGAGAACTTTCTTCAGTTTTATGATAGAGTAAGAGAACTTCCTTCACAGTTTTATGATATAGTAAGAGAACTTTCTTCACAGTTTTATGATATAGTAAGAGAACTTCCCTCACAGTTTTATGATATAGTAAGAGAACTTCCTTCACAGTTTTATGATATAGTAAGAGAACTTTCTTCACAGTTTTATGATATAGTAAGAGAACTTTCTTCACAGTTTTATGATATAGTAAGAGAACTTCCTTCACAGTTTTATGATATAGTAAGAGAACTTCCTTCACAGTTTTATGATATAGTAAGAGAACTTCCTTCACAGTTTTATGATATAGTAAGAGAACTTCCTTCACAGTTTTATGATATAGTAAGAGAACTTCCTTCACAGTTTTATGATATAGTAAGAGAACTTCCTTCACAGTTTTTTGATGAAGAAAGAAATTTTTGTGACTAACTTGGATGTCTTAAGGCAATTAAATTAAGTTGTAGACATTCTTGCCTTATTCATATTTTTGATCCCAAAGTAACAGTGAAAATTGTGAATATAAACAAAAAGCTAAAGCATCATGTTTGTAAAGCATACAAAATGCTGACCTTGTATTCCCAACTTCACCATAAAGACCAACAAATTGAACACTGAACCTTCAGTTTCTTGCATCTGATAAGACATATTGAAATAAGAATGGATATTGAGACTTACCTCAACACGGATTTCTGGATTAGAAGAACATTACAGCCTGATTTTTTAACCTTCTTGACTATGTCTAGGATATATTGTCTTTCCTCTCTTAGTACCCTGTCCATCTGAGAGTAATCTGATACTACCACAGAATTGTCCATCTGTAAACAAAAGTTAATGGTTCAAGTTAAAACAAAACTATCAAAATTGTACCAATTTATAAACAAAGTCAACAACTTACTCCTACATTATCAAAGAAATCCCATCACATCAAACAGTAATAATTGTGAGATATTTTAGTTTTAATGTTTCGTTTTTAAAAGGGACTCTAACCAGCAATAACCAGCAATAACCAGCAGGGACTCAAAATTACATATCACCATACTGATCTTACGATATGAAGCATAATGGTTTCTAATCCAAAAAATTAATTCAAGCGTTAAGGCTAAAGAGTTTTACCATCACTAAGCAACGTTTTTCTTTGGGTATCCTTAACATGTTAATCTCATGATCAAAATGTTGTATGCAGAGCTATTTAAAAATTGTTTTTCATGATCTCTTTTGCTTTTTAGGACTCAATAATAAATAAATCTTCAGGTGTCTATGTGGCGCAGTTTCTTTAGTATTCATTTGAAAATGTGTAAACAAATGTTGAACAACCTGATGCAGGGTATGCCATTAAGACTTGCAACTGACACTAGTCTTACATACAATATCATATATTCTTCTGTTGACTATGACTTGATACCATTGTTGGGCGACTTACGTCTGTTTTTGGAGGAGATACACAGAACTGTATGATTCCAACCTTGGCCTTTTCTACTCTGTTAGGACCACCTGTACCGGCACTCTTTTGGTTGAACACTAAACCATCAATCAACTCAGTATCTTCAATAGTTCCACTGGAAAGAAAAAGTTATTACAAAATTTAAGTTTCACATCACTATGAATGTGATACCTTCTCATTGATGTGCAAGAAAACAACAGATCTACAAAAGTAAGTCACAATATTTTTGGGAACTATCTTTGTCAATCCAGTTTCAACACATGATTTTTATACATAAAGCACACCTGAAACTATATTCTCCTTTATCATTTGCCAAAATACTGTGAAAAAAGAAGGTTTTGCATGCTGGTTTCCATTATATTCATCAGGACTTGAAACCACAAGACAAACAGTAAAACAACCGTTGTTCAAGTATTGGTGCAATATTTACCCGATTTTCTTGACTACTTTAATGTCTCGGAGGTCTACATTGGTAGCTGTTTGTGGATCAATGACTTTCAACACAGCGTCTACAGCAATGGGAGACAGGATTCCAGAATACTGCGACACCACCTGTAAACCAAGTCATTTTGCTATTACATTCATGGAATCCATTAATATTCTTCTACGTATGGACATTTTTTGTCTCATCAATAATGCTTTCCATGGAGTCATTTCACATGATTTGAATCACTTAAAACACAAAAGAGCATTATGTTTTTATTGTACATAGCTCTTAATTATAAGTCAACCTCCAGGTCATTGTACGACTTCTTGTTCACCAAGTGGTTAAGACAAATTTCTCAAAAAACGATTCTGCTTACATGAAAATTGAACAGGAGTCAAAATTGAACAGTAGTTGAATTTGATTTACCTTGGAGTTGAGAGATGTAGATGCACTCTTGAGCAGAGAATCACGGTCAGATAATTCCAGTGGAGTGACTATGCTCTCCAAGATTTCTACACATTTCACTGAAGCTTTCTGGAATGCTTCCGATATACTGGTCGGGTGGATCCCTGTAATACAATTCAAGTTTCATTTAAGGCCCCTTATTTAATCAAACATTCCTAGGTTTACTTTAAATTAAATAAGAAACAACTGTGCAACAACTATCCTGAACCTTGCTTTAATTCTAATAAAATCTTGTGGCTTGTTTTACCACACAAAAAGCAATAAACACCTCCATTATAAAGTTTCATTTAACCTGATGAAACAATCTTCGATAAGAAACATGCATACCTTTGGCGAGTAGTTTTGAACATGCATCTAACAGACTGCCAGCAATGACTACAACAGTCGTGGTGCCGTCTCCAGCTTCAACGTCCTGAGCTTTGGACAGCTCCACAAGCTGGAGAAAAAAAATACATCTTTAATATTTCATCTTTCCATGTCACACGATTCAGGTACCATACTTAACTTAAAGTGACTAAAATTCTAAACCTGCTGTAATAATAGCTTCCTTACCAGACGAAATATGTATAAAACATATACTTGTACTGGTCAATACAACAGTTTTGTCATCATTCTTTAATGTTTAATAGATATGTATTATCCAATTTTATCATATGAATATTGTGCTATGAAGTGTCATAAAGCAATCATATAAATTATGTCAAGGGAGACACGTCATTGTGAAGCGGGCAGCCAAGTGCAAAATATTTGTTTCGGATCACAGTTATACAGTTTACTTTGCATTATATGATAAAAATAATCTGTCATTTGTTTCTCTTCATATCAGATTTATGATACTCGTTTTGGATTTTTCATATCTGCTCTAGATCTCTATAGGCTCGCAAACATGAAAAATCCAAAACGAGTATCATAAATCAATTATGAAGGGAAAGGAATGACAGATCCTCGATTTATTGGTTCTATAAATTTATAAACACTCGACAAAAAAAAATCTGAATGGAAATGTCAAATTTGTTAAAAAGAAAGTTTCTCCACTGCTTTTGGAATTACGAGAGGTAAAACCATAGCTAGCACAAATGCAAATTAACAGGCTCTGTCAATTTTAATAATCTATCAAATTGCCTGGAGAGGAATAATGTGCTGCTTAAATCCTAAAAGGTTAACCAAATGCTATTTGAATTAAGAACTATTAAACACAGACATAATATCAAGCCTTTCTTTTTTCAATTTTATTTGAACTTACCATTTTTGCTGCAGGATGGAGAACCATCATTTGCTTCAGGATTGTTGCTCCATCATTGGTAATTGTTACATCCCCATTTGAGGCCTGGATCTGAATACACAATAAGAAATGTATTTACAAAAGTTTAACAGAAATACTTTTATTATATGTGGTTTAAAGTATAAAATATGGCTTTCTATAACATTTTTTCAGAACATATGAAAGGACATCAAAGAAATCAATCACTGCAATGGAAAGATTCCAATCTTGAGTGAAAGGGAAGAACCTTATAAATGTGCAATATTCTCAATTCCCATTCCAAGTTTTAATGCTCATGCATTCTGTATTTCTGTAAACCCATATTGTATAATTACATCTCGGTGTAAACGAGTTAATTGTCAGGATGAGGGAAGCAACCATCTTTTGCTTGTGTCTAAAGTCAAATTTGTTATATCATATTTGCATAAACTCCAAACTGGTGTAGTTAAGATTTGGATTTTGAAAATGTGGAAAGTGGAAACCAGTACAGACAAAATGGCACATACTTTGTGACTAAATGGGGTGGTACATAGGGTAATAAATAAACAACTTGTTAATCTTTGTCTGTGTAGTGGAACTGGACTCTGTGGATCATTAGTGACCAGGTAGCGTAATTGGCAGAGCATCGGTCTTGAGAGTTTGGAGGGTCCGGGGTTCGAACCCCGGTCTTGCAGCAGGGCATTTTTCCATCCCCTTTTACAGAGGTGCCTGTGACCAACCCTTGTTTCAATTATTTGGTGTACGCTTGACAAGGAGACGCCAAAACCTGGGCTGTAAATAGTTGTGATTTCAAGGAACGAAGACTTAGAAAAAGGAACGAGGCATGTAGCGGAACTGGACTGGGCCTAATGTCGGCGACCAGGTAGCTTACTTGGTAGAGCGTCCATCTAGAGTTTGGAGGGTCTGGGGTTTGAATCCCAGCCTGGCTGTGCAATTTTTCATCTCCTGTTACATATGTATAGTGGAGGTTATTTCATAACAGATTTTCTTTTTGTTAGCACCTCAAAACTTAGCGGTACCAAATGGTGTTAAAGAGATTTTCTTGTTTATTACTATGCACTCTGGCCTCAAACAAAACATCGGTCAAAGTCTTAGTGCTCGTGCCTTAGGGAATGCTTACTGTCAAGATATGGATTTATGAATAGTTAAGACAATTGTTCATGACAATCTTAAAATGTAAATGTCATGTGGGGGAGAATATAACTAGGAGTCATGATCAAACACATGTTTCAAAACAGCAGTATCACCAACTTGGACCTACCATCTTGTCCATGCCCCTGGGGCCAAGACTTGTGCGGACGGCATCAGCAACAGCTAAAAACAAAAGGCGTTATAAATTAAAATTAACCATGCTCAACATCTTTAATTTAATATGTCGGTTTCAGTATAGATTGAAGCCAGTCAAATTCAATATTAGATACTGAAGTAGTCAGTGACATGTGGAATGACAAAAGGAATGTTCTAGCTGGTCTTCTGTTCAGGACTGAACGAGTCCGTGGGTTGAGCCCATTTTTTAATATTCTATATTTGCCCTGGATACAATTTTAAAACACAATGAGGTCATAGAAAGAACATTTTAGCTCATTTATGAAATAAAACTTTTCAATAGATCAATATTTCATTGTAGAAAGTGACAAAAAAAGCCTGTTGTTACGTTCACAACAATGTAAACAAATGCATCGTCTGTCAACCAACCCTTTGCGGCAGTGATGTTGCTGAAGCGGATTTGTGTCGGTTTTTCTTTATCTTTGTACTCTGATTTCCTTTGCCGCATCTGTTTAAGTGCCGGCGGCATGATGGATGATTTTAAAAGTTTCCTTTGGCTGTAGAAGCGACGATGTTAATGGATTTCAACAACAGGTTCCCGCATGTATCACGTTGAATATTCGAGAAGTAACCAATATGGCCGATTACAAACCGGAACACCTCGGTGTTTTTCCCAGGAGCTAGACTCGCTCAAGTCCGTACCCATTCAATCCTTTTATTGCAAATGTAGATAAGGCTACATTCGCGTTACCGGTTGAAACGGTTGAACCGGTTGAACCTGTAAAGAAAACGACAGGTACAGATTTGGACCGAGGCTGACCTCAGGAAAATTTTGTACGTGTAGATTGAGGGGTCCAGACGTACCTGGCCGAAACTAAACTGCTGAATATTGCTAGTTTGCGTTATTTCTTTCTAAAACAATGTCAAGCCACATGTAGTTTTTAAGATACGATATGTAATTTAGTGGACGCGTGAGAGAAGGGCATAATATTCTTGATACATTGTTTTTTATTCTCCGAAACTGTGCATTTTTAGCTCTGCTTATAGAACGGTCCAAGTGTGTTCGTTTATCGTGGAAAATTTCTGCGCCACACGTACCGTTTCAACCGGTAACGCGAATGTAGCC